AGTTATGTCATTAAAATAAAATAGATCCTTTTTTTTGTCAGAACTTACGGCGACGATAATAATCAGTTAATATTTCCATAACAAATGCCTGCGGGAGAATATATTGAATTTTTTTTTTTTTTTCTAAATTTCCGTTCTTTGGAATAAGTGTGATTCTTTGAAAAATACATATATGAGAGAATAGAAAAATTTTTATGTTTCCTTAAATTTTATAAATATTTATTTTTGCGAAACAATTTTATTTATTAGATTTTTTTCTTCATTACAAAGTTTTACAATTTTTATTTATTTATATAGAAATATTAATTTTTTCAATTTTATAACCCGTTTATAAAAAAATAATAAATAATATTACAACGATTATTTTTTACTATTTATTTATGTAATTTTTTATTTACTATTTAAAATCTTGTTTTTTAATTATTATTTGTACAAATTTAATTACTATATCAGAATACATGTAAATAATTATTTTTTCTATAAAAAATACAAAAAAAAAAAATAATGTTGATGAAAAAAAAAATAAACAAACAAATAAATAATTATTTTTATTTTTATAAACTTTAACGAAAGTGACTCATTAAAATTGTAGTTATATATGAAATTCCTGAAATGCACGTCATTATTTTAATAAATAATAACAGAATCATCATTATAGACAATAGAATTTAATCTCGATGTTCTTTTAAAGATTGCAAAAAAAAAAAAAAATTAATTCTGATAACGTTTATATTCAATGTCTGAAAAATCTGAATTGTAAACAAAGCCACAGATACGATTAAGAACAAAATTGTACTAGATATAATAAAATATTTAGGTCAAAAAAATTTTGATTTATATTTTTTTTTCTTAGATTAAGAAATTAATATAATGTGTAAAAAAAAAATTTTCTCTCCGTTATACAAAATTTTTTATTGTCATAATTCAAATTTTGACAATAGATAAAATATTTTATCACATTTTTTTTTTTTTTTTTAAATGTTGAGTCAATTAATTAAAATTACAAAATTTTACAAAAAAAAAAAAAATTAAAAAAACACGGAATTAACCCTTTAATCTTATCTTTTTCCTCTTCATCCCAAATAAATAATGTTTACGTACAAATTGTTTATCCTAAGATAATAATAATTATTCAGATCATTGTTTACTAAAAATTTATTTAAATTTCTGACTGAATTTAATAATAATAAAAATAGAAAAAAATTATAAATCTAAAAAACAATCTAATCTAGAAAAAATTATTTATCCAATTTTAATAAATTATAATATATAATATTAATAGTTTTTGAAGGAAAAAAAATTTTTCGATTTTTTTAGCTGCAAAGTTATAATAGATCAAATTTTTTAATTTGTGTCCTAATGGCCATTTTTATAATAATAAAATTTTATTATTATTTAATTAATAATTTTTATATAAATAAAATATAATAATAATAAAAAAATTAATTATAAATAAAATATAATAATAATAAAAATAATAATCAGGAAAAAAATTTCTGAAATTTAATTAAATACAAATAATAATAATCTGGAGTAATTGGCGATTATCAACTTTGAATAAATAAAAATAATAATAATTGTCCCGTAAATAAATAAATAAAGTTGATTATTTAAATAAAAAAAAATTCAATGATTAAAATTGAAAGAAAATATAATGCCTTTCAGTGGAAAATTATATATTAGAGGAAACTTATAAGAAACTGCATCTATTTTAATACTGTCAAAGAAACTCATTGCCAAATTAATTCTGTAACATATACAAAACAAATGAGATAATTTGCAAAGATTTATACATTATTTTACATATATTTATATAGATACATATGCTTATAGAAAGCCTCGCAATCATAATTTAAGCTCTGCTCAAAAACTCGTGATTTTCTCATCTGGCGCTTAATTGTTGCGCATAATCATAGAATGATCACTTATCAATATATCAATCGATATACTTTATTTTTGTAAATATAATAAATATATAAATGTATATATAAAATATATATGACATACAAGTTGAAAATAATTATTGCACTTCTAGTGTCAGTCACTTAATTTTAGAACTTAATTAATTGGCTTCCATTAATGTTGCCGGATATTTAATTTTACATATAACTTTAAACGAAAAATTTTCCACTTAGAAAAATTTTATTTGAACAAAATAAACCATTTCTTTTGTATTTACCAATTTTTTTTTTTTATTTTTTTGGTTAATTTAAACAAAATTTATTTTCTTCAAATAAATATTTATTTAATCTAAAATAAACGTTTGGTTTATTTTAATTGTAAATTTTTCTGAATGAGGAAAAAATTTTATTGAACCAAATAAAATTTTGATTAATTTTTTTTTTTTGCAGCAAAGAAAAATTTGGTATTAAAATAATTATTTTATTCTATTGTAGTGAAATGAAAACTTTTGAGATCATTCTATTTTAAAATAAAGTTTTAGGCACAGGGGCTACCCTCAACAATCTAAAATAACTGTTAGTCAAATAATAAGGAAGCTTATAAAACGAAAAACAAAATAATCTAAAATCAAATAAATCATTTAAAATAAGTAGGTATTTGAATTTTTTAATTTAAAAAAAAAATATTGTTTTGAATTAAAAATAGTTTTTAAAGTTAAAAATATTTTGTAAAAATTAAAAATATATTTTATAAAAATATTTTGTAAAATTAAAAAATTTTTTTAATAAAATTATTTTTGAAAATTAATTTTGAAAATTAAATTTAAAAAATTTCACACACACAGATTATTCAATTAGTAAAATATTGAAATTTATCAGAGAATTAAAAACAAAAAGGTAAATTAATTAAAAAGAAAAAAAAATGAAAATAATATAATTCATTTGACTTTTGAAAAAACAATTGACAGCAAATATGTAAAGATTCCAAATGGACAGAAGGCATAATTTAGAGAACTAAAAGCATTCGGGAATTGTGGCACAAACTCGTTCGTCGAACTCAAAAAAGTAAAAAATTTTGGCGTCGCTCTAAGATCTAAAGTTAGCGTTACTGGCTCTACACTTAACAGCTCATAGAGTTCTTAGTTTTGCTCAAAAACTATATAGATAGAAATTTGCAAAAAAAATTCTCATTTTTTCTTTTTTTTTTTTTTTAATTTCGAGATTATTTTCATTAAAAAAATAAAAAAATAATAAAATAATAATTATTGAAAAATAAATTCCATAAATAATTATTTATTTAAACATCTAATATTAAATAAATAAATTAATTAATAAATAAAACCAAATTGTATTTAGAAATGATATTACAAACACCAGGAACGAAAAATAAAAAAAACTTGACCACTGTAATTGACAAAGTGCTATAAATAAATTAAGCAGTTGGCAATATCGACTTCGTTGACCTTTCGCGGCATTAGATCGTCAAAATGCACATTCAGAAATTGAATGAAAAAAAAAAGAAAAAAAAATACAATGCAGTTTCATAAAAGTCTCTCTCTCCCCCCCACCCCTCTTTCAATATAGTGATAAGAGTTCATGAAATCAAAGGTGACAACGAAATTGCGATAGATTCATTTAAAGACCTGATTGCAAGATAATGCTTGACTTTCAACCGAGACCAATCAAACAATTATTCTTCTCTTTTGTTCCTTTCTCAAAGCAATATTAAGCCATCGTGAGAAATATGTCCCAAGACATTTTTCTCTCGAGGCCAAAACATTTTTTTTTTAATTATAATAAAAAATTAATACCAAAAATTAAATTAATCAAAAAATAAAAAAAAAATAAAATAGATAAAAAGAAATAAATAGATGAAAAAAATAATTTAAAAAAATTTGCTTTTTTGCCTTAAGAAAAAGGTAAAAAAATTATAAGAAAGAAAATTGAAAAATTACCAATATTACAAAATTATATTTTATAGACTTTAAGTTAATATAAATAATTAATTATAAAAATTGAAAAAAAAATTATTTTGCGTATGAAAATTAATTTTAATTGAAAAAATTGGCTTAAAAAAAGAATTATATTTTTTAATTATTATTATTTAAAATAAAAAAAATAAAAATAAAGGACGAAAATGGCATTATGCCGAAATAAAGACTGACGATTGGAATGCAGTGCACTGTGCGCTCATCTCATTTATCACGTGACTATTTTCGGCATAGATACACGTGTCACTATTTTTGCGTGCCAATTTCTTTTCTTTCAACCCTTCCCAATAGTTCACGTGTGTATTTTCTATTGACTCGTGTCGTATACGCAAACAAAAAAAAAAAATTCCGCGTACAATTGAAAATTCAATTAAAAATTCTATCAACAAAAAAAAAATGATCGAATCTATAAATCTTGTAATTTCTTTTTCAATTACAATTTTTATTTTCTCTTTTTGAAAATAAAAATTATTATTTTCTTTAAATTTTACCATTCACCAATTTTCCAAAAATAGAACAACAAGTTCAGTGTGTCAATTATTCTAAAAATAAAATTTATTTACATTTTATTTATATTGTTTATAAAATAGTGCAATGATCCGTGATCTTTATTTCGCAAAGACAATAAATTTTGCGAATCTCATTATTATTTATGTTTTTATAAAATATACAAGAAAAATGGTGAAAGATTTAATATATGGACTTTTCTTGAAATACAAAAGGAAATAAATATTGCATGTGACGTGTGTTGATTAATATAGTAAATTTTCTTCCCTCAAAATTATCATTCGTAAAAGATATATATCCGATAATAATACAGAAATGCATTATTTTTGATAAGAATAAATTGCACGTCAAGTCACGTATTTCAAAAATTGAATGAGATTTAAACTCTACTGACATATATTAATTATAATTGTTTTTTTTAATTTTTATCTATTTCTTATTTTTAATTTTATCTATTTTTTAAGCAAAAAAAAAATTTCTATTTTTAAATTAATTACATTAATCATAAAAAAATGATAATTAAATGATTATTATAATTATCGTACAATATTGCTTGTATTTTTATAAATAAATAACTGAAATTTTTCTCATATTATTTTAGATGGAATTGCACACGAAATCATCAAGACCCTCTCCAGAAAAAAATTCCAAGGGCAATGAGACAATGTTTAAAAATGACGTACTATCAGGGTAAGCAAAAAAAAAAAATATTTTCTTTAAATGGGAAAATAAATATTTAAAATTATAAAAAAAATTTTTTCCTCATGAATTTATTTTTTTCATATATCAAAAGCAAGTCTTTTTTTCCAAAGATAATATTAATTGTATTTTTAATTTCGTCTTATGATATACGTGAGAAAATAAAAAGAAAAATCTTGCAACTTTGTTTAAATAAATACAAAATTATATTGAAAAAAAATAAATAAAATGACAAGTCATTGAACTTGTAAAGATTGGAAATTTTTTTTTTTAATATAAAAACTCAAACTTGATTATAGAAGAAAAAAATTGAAAGAGCCTTGCTTATTACAGAATCGTTAAAAATAAATAATATTCTATCAGTGACGATGGCCTTTTGCCAAATGAGAATGTTTTATTTCTTTATATTTTAAATGTCTATCTATTTTAATAATGTTTCTAATACTACTTTTAATGACTCTGTGTAATCGATTGCAATAAATTTTACTTTAGTCTAAACGTGTAACACGATACATAGCTAATCTGATCGGAATGTAATAAAATATTTATTATAAATATAAATAAAAAATTTAATAAAAATAAAAAAAATTCTATTTCAACTAATTTAAAATTCAAAAAAATTTGGTTAATTTTGCAAAATGAACTAATAAAAAATTAAGATTGAAACAAAAATTGAAAAAAAAGTATTCAAAAAAAATTAAAAAATATATTATGAATATAAAATGTAAAAGACTATGTTAAAAAAAAAATTACATCAATTAAAATTTACCAGCAATTTAAAAAATAAAAAGAAAAAAAGAATATTGCTCATAAGTTTAATTTTAAAAGATAATAACTAATTTTACGATTTCATATTATGAGAGAGTTAAAATTGCACTCATTTTTCACTGCATTCGAGATGATAGTAATAAAAAAATCCACTATTTATAACCAAATCGTCAGTTTGGTAAAAACATTCTGTTGAGATATGACTAGTCTCTGTGATTCTACAAAAGCAATGTGAGTTTATAATTTTTGTATTGAAATTTATTTGAGTTTATAATTTTTTTTTTTTTTTGAAATTTATTCGAAAAAAAATATTATTAATTTAAATTAAAAAAATATTTTACTCTTTTAAAAAATTTTAAATAAAAAAAAATAATTTTATTTCTTCATTAAAAATTTGTAATTTAAATTCTTACTGATAAATTAATATCTTTTTGAAGAAAAATAGTCGATATCCGCATATTTTCCAAGCACACAATTATAAAATCGCATTGTTTTTTATCAGTATTTATTTAATCAAATTGCAAGCTTAATGATAGTATTAAGTTCGTTCTTAATTTCCCCCTCATTTCCATCAATTTCTTTTGTTTATGAATTTAAAAAATTTTTAAGAATTCTTACCAACTAATTTTTATACTTAAAAAAAAAACAATTAAAAAGCTATAAAAAAAATCGAAAAATAAATTATTTAACAAAATAAAGAGATTTTTAATTTTAACTGTATGAAAAATTTAATAATTCGTTTTTCATTATTCTGTTCTATTTTTCTCATCAGGTTCCTTTTTATTTTTATTTATTCGCTATTTATTTTTTTATAACACTAAATTCTATAGATTCATTAATAAAAAATTTTTTTCCTTTATATTTAGAAACTAAAAAATTAATGAAAAATTGAAAATTTCAATTCAGGAATGGGACAACCTATGGAGCCTTTCAATCAAAAGATCCGATTCTATCGATGGAGAAGGGAATCAATGAGAAACAAGGTGACGATGGCCATGGAATGAACTCGCATCATCCAACCTCGTAAGTGTAATTTTTAATTTAAAAAAAAAATCAAAAATTTGAAATTAGAAAAAAGAGACTCATGAATAAGTGCTAAAATTAATTTGTTAGAATTTTCATTTTGATTTTCTTTTTCGTTTTCTATTACCTAGAATTTACTTTTAGCCGAATTTTCATATTTTCAAATTATTAACAGAAATTCCATTTAACCAAATTATTTGGTTTAATTAAATATTTATTGTTTTGTAAAATAAAAATTCTTTCAAATAACTGTTCAGCCTAATAAAAATTCGAGCAAATTCTACAAAAATTCAAATTCTATCAAATTCGGTGAGATAAAAATTCTGTAAAATTTACTTGTTAAATAAATAAAAATTTCTTTAACAATTCTGTAATAAAAAAATTCGATTAAATGAAATTTCTCTCAAATGACAATTCGAAGAAATAAAAATTCATCTACAAGTAAATTCAAATGAAAATTCTATCAATTTTCCAACTTATTTAACCGTTTAAGAACAAAAAAAAATTTTTAAACAAAATTCATTGTAAATAATTAAAAAAAAAAAAAAAAAAAAATACTTCCAGATATTTGGAGACGATGATGCACCTGTTCAAAGGTAACGTCGGTTCAGGAATCTTTGCACTGGGCGATGCGTTCAAAAATGCTGGATTGTTGCTTGCACCACCACTCACGATCTTTCTTGGAGTCATCTGCGTTCACGCGCAACATATTCTTGTACGTAGACTGCCTCGTAATGCATCGCACCCGTTCATCTTAACAATTGCAACTTCGGGTGGCGTTATGCCAATAATCTCCAGAAGTAGGTACTATAGACAGTACTATCAAATAAAATTAACAATCGTCACTCACTGGACCCTGGGTTCAATAAAAAAAAAAAAAAAAATTTTAAAAAGAAATTCTTACCCACTTTATAAAATTGCCGGTAGGATTCTCAAAATCTTTTTCCATCTCTCCATTAAATCAGCAATCCTAAAAATTAACAATAAAACATTAATTCATTTTTATTCAAACTCAAAATTTGAATTCGTCTTTTAAATTCGAGGCGTATGATTATTTTACAAAAGTACTTAGAATTTTCATTTGTCAGAATTTTCATTTGCACAAATTGTTATTTGATAGAATTATTAAAACGTCGAATTTTTATTTGTCCAAAATTTGCAAATATACGAAAAAATAATGGATAGAATTTTTTTTTTTTAAATTAACCAATCAAAATTTTATTGATAATTTCGAATTGGTTAATTTTAAAAATCGCGCAAATTCTGTCGATTTTTTCCTCGTCCATTTTCAATTACGAAAAATAAAAATTCTGCATTTTAAAAATTCAATCAAATCAAAATTTGGAAAAATGAAGATTCGATGGAATTAAAAATTCTGGCACTTATAAATTCGAATCACATAAAATTCTGTTGAATTAGAATTCTGCTAATTCAAAATTTGGCTAAATTAGAATTTCTTTTAAATAAAAAATTTGGTTAAGAGAATTTTTGTTAAATAAAAGTTCTGTCAAATAAATTTCGATATCTAAAAATTCTGTTAAAAATTCGTTTAATAAAAAATTTGGCGAACTGCTAATTTGAAAAATAAAAATTCATCTAAAAAATAGATTATTTTTATTATTATATCAAATAAAATTCTTTATTAAAATTAAATTCCTAATTAAAATTCTAATGACAATGGATTTAAAATGAAAATTAATTATTTTTACAGAATAATCATGGGCCCCTTAAATTCATTGTAACTAAAACGTTAGAATTAGTTTTAAATTTTCTAAATTTTATTTCTTATTTTTCAAATTCAAGGAAGGAGTAATGGAAATTTTTACAAAACAAATAAAAGTTAATTTTTTCATTTAAAAAATATTCTGTAATATCTATTTAATTATTCTTAAAAGAATAAAATAAATTAAATTATTTCGGTTTTGTGAAGAAAAAAAAAAAAAGAAAACAGGGACATCTGAGTGGCAAATTTTATTTCTATTTTTGGAGTCAATTGAAATAATTTCTCGTTTATATATTTTTTTTTTTATCGAAGGAAGCGCACTGATTTTTTTTTAAATTGTAGTGTGTACCTTTTTTTTTGATTTAGTAGCCCATAATATAATAATTTCGATGGAGACGCGATACTGAAGCTTCGAATTGAATAATTTGTTGTTTCAAGATTTTCTAATTGAACATTTTTACAGTTGAAATGCAATGAAGAAGTAACTAGAAGACTGGGCGATTCAATTACAACAAAACCCGGTTTTGCTGGAACGGTAGAATTATGTTTTGCAACAGGTCCTATTCCATTGAGGAAATATTCTGTTCTTATGAGGTAAATTAAACTTTATCAAATATGCACCAATAACGATTAATCGAATATAAAATTATTTTTCATTAAATTTAGACTATTTTTCTCCAAAATAAAAAAAAAAAGAATATCAATACATAATTTTTTTTTAATACTAAAATTTAAGCTCCGGATAATAAATAAATAATATTAATTACTTACAATTTCTGATAATATTTTTGTCATTAGTATGCCAATGTCATGGAATCATTCTCGAGGAAAAGTCATTGATTCGATTGAATGTCTGATTCAATAAAATGATAATCGCTATATAGTATTTTTCCACACTGTAAATGTAAGAAAAAAAAAAAAACATTAAATTTTCAAGATAACAAACTAGTGAAATATTTAATCATTAATTAGATATATTTTTCTTTGTTTTCATTAAAATTAACGATGTTGAAAATTATAATTTTTAATTTTAAAAAAATAATTTGTTTTCTAATCGTTGATCATAAATGACTGCAGTAACGTTAAAATTATTTATGAATAAGAAAAAAAAATTTATTTTTTAACGACTTTATATTGGTGACAAATTTTTGGAATTTTGTATTTTAACTGATTCTAGAAATTTTCAAATTCAGAAAATTTGAAATTATTTTAATTATTTATAATTTACGAAAAAAAAAGAAATACCTAGAATAACATTTAAAAATCTAACAGATGAGAGTGACACTTTTGCCAAAATGATCAACTTCCTCAATAAAATATATTGTGAATCAAAAGTTTCTTCAAAAGGCTTATACATAGTCACGAAATTATTTTTCATGACTCACAATGAGCATAGAAAATAACGAATTACTTCCTATGAATAATAAATGACTGTCATATATTTATTTTCGCAAAACGAAAGTTTATATTATAATATATATATTTTTAGAAAATTTATTCAGTATTTCTTTTTTTTTCCTTAGATAACTCGATTATTCATTTTGTACTTGTTAATCAGTGACTTCAACTTGTTAGAAATTTATTCATAAACATTTTCAAAATCATAACATAACATAACATAAAAAATATTATCAATATTAATAAATAATAATTAATAAATTATTAAATTATTATTATTAATTAATAAATCCTAATAGTAAGTAATAAATAATAATAATAATAATAATAATAAATAACAATTATTACTATAAATATTATTAACATTTTCATTACCATTATTTTTTTTTTTTATTATTAGAAAATTATTTATTTTGTTTTAAAAAAATTACCTACGTACAATTAAAAACTCATTTAATCCCCAAGAAAAAAAAATTCTCGGTAATTTGATAAAATTATTCATTTCATAGTTATCTTAAGATTATTATTTTGTGTCTTTACAGAAAATTAGTTAATATCTTTCTATGTGTTACGCAACTCGGATTTTGCTGTGTCTATTTTGTCTTTATTTCCACAAATATGAAACAGGTGAGAAAGCTTGATTTTTATAAGAAAAAAAAAAATTCTTAAATTTTCCCTTATTTATTCTAAATTTGTATCCTATTATGCATTATTATTTAATATAAATTAACGGATTTTTAATAGGGTTATCAAAAAAAAAAATTTCCAAATTTTTAATTTTTCCATTATCTAATTTTCGTTATCTCATCTTTTTTTTTTTTTTTTTTTTAATTCAAAGGTACTCGACGTTTACGGATGGGAGTTAAGTGTTAATCTTCATATGGCTATTATTCTCATACCAATAATTTTAAGTACTTGGATTCGAAATCTTAAATACCTGGTGCCAGTATCGTCGGTGGCCAATTTTTTGGTACTTTCTGGATATTTGGCCACAATGTATATTATGTCCCACGATCTACCTCCAATCAGTGAAAGAAGATATGTTGCAGATTGGAAAGCAATTCCTCTATTTTTTGGCACTGTAATTTATTCCTTCGAGGGCATTACTTTGGTAATTATTTTTTTCCTAATTTCCTGTTGAAAAAAAAAATTTTTTTTTTGAAAATTATTTATTTCAATTTAATGTCAATAAAAATGTAAAATTAATCAAAAACACAGGTATTACCTTTGAAAAATGAAATGAAGAAACCAAAAAATTTCAACAAAACACTTGGAGTCTTAAACGTTGGAATGGTCTTCGTTGGAGCGATGTTCGTTGCAATGGGATTCCTCGGTTATTTGAAATATGGAGACGCAGTTAGAGGATCAGTCACCTTGAATCTTGAATCTGGACCGTAAGTGATCTGAAAAAATAAATTTTTAATTAGTAAAATTAAAAAAAAAGTGAATTTTCTCAATTTCACTTGATCGTATCTTTTTTTTTGTACATAAAGGGGGCAAGGAGATTCAGATAATTTCATCTATACCAGGTCAATATAATTTTCAGAAACGTGTTGCATGTGTTTCGAAAAAAAAAATTGCACACACAACTGCAATTTCAAATTTTTTTTTTTGAGCATGATTTTAGTTTTAGGTGTAATCAATTTTTTATTTTTGTTTGGTTAAAATTTTTTAATATTTAAAAAAAAAAATTTCTGTAATAAAAATTGAAAATATATTGTATTTTTGCAGATTACCTCAATGTATAAAATTGGCAATCTCTCTCAGTATTGTGTTGACCTATGCCTTACAATTTTACGTACCAATTGCAATAATTTGGCCAAAAATTCTCGAACAATATGGACCATTTCAATATCCGGTGGCTAGTGAAATTATTTTCCGGTCCAGTTGTTGTTTCTTAACTTGTGAGTAATTTCCGAAAAATTTCGTATATATTTTGTTATTGTTTTTTTTTTAATATTTCGATTTTTTTCAGTCATCCTCGCAGAAGCAATTCCACATTTGGGTCTTTTCATCTCGCTCGTTGGTGCAGTGAGCAGCACAGCTCTTGCACTTCTTTTTCCACCAATCATCGAAATGGTCGTCTGCTGGCAGAGTCCAAAATTGGATAAAATAACAATAACAAAAGACATATTCATATTATTAATTGGCCTGTTAGGTTTCGCTACAGGAACTTACGAGAGTATTACAGCAATTGTCAGTGAATTCAGTAAAACTGATTGACAAAAATTCCACACACACACAAACTCAAATAATTTGACAATAATTCGAATTAGAAACTTAGTGATAGTTTTTTTTTCTTCCTCTTCTTCATTAGAATCGAAATTAGCTTTTTTCTCGTAGAAAAAATTTCGAAAAAGTTTTTTAAAAAAAAAATCAGCCTCTGTAAACTAAACATGTATATAAAATTATTAGCTTTTAAGTACATAGTATTATCTACATTACGTATAGAATTTATTTCTATTAAAAAAAAAAAAAGTATTGTGAAAAAAAAGTGACAGAATCTCTAATCAAATAACAGTGAAATTTCAAAAAAAAAAAAAAATTGAGAACAAAACATAACAAGGACTATGGGAACAATGAACGAACATTTCTATTTTTTTTTTTTTTTTTTTTTGATAAATTTATAAATGCAGTTTTTTTTTGCAAAAAGCAAGATCACATTGTTGATGAAAAAAAAAAATTTGTAATATTTTTTCTTTTGATAACAGTATAAAAAAAATTTTGAAAAACTTAAAAGTAATTCACTTTTGCAATAGCCACACAGCGTTTTATAATATTGATTAGATTCTTTTTTTTTTTTTTTTTTTCTTTTGTTAACTTTTTAAGCTGGTGTAAGTGCAACAACTGTGAAACCCATTTCATCTGGATTTCGTTTCATATATTCTTTGCAAACACGAGCGGCGTCTTCCAAAAATGTAGAGGGACTAGAAACCCCATGATTAATTGGACCATCTCTCCGTCCGTCTGTCAAATTATAAAAATTGTTTGTTTTTTTTGCCAAATTATAAATCTAGAAATATTAAAAAATAACGTACCCAATTCATAAATGTGACCATCTTTTTCTATAAATGCCACAAAGTGATGATAAACCCTTGTATTTTCATTAGGAGCCTGTAAGATATATAAATAGAGACTAGACAAAAAAAAACAATACAAAAAATGAAAAAGTAATTTAAATTTCACTGTCAAATCCAGTCATTCTATAGTCATAAATCGTAAAGAGAATAGACTTTTATATTTTATAGGCGAAATTATATAGGGCAACGAAATACAAAATACCTCTAATAATAATTATTATTATATAATTTCTTTGCTCAAAGCGACGAAAGATTATTAAAAAAAAAGAACAACAAAAATTGTATTTGCCCTTTTTTATTTAAAAAAAAAGATAATGTAGATTATTTATCTATTAAAATTGATACTTCCTGATGTTATTGTATCTTTTTCCATTATAATTCTTTTTTTTTGGGATTTAAAAAATAACTAATTTCTAAATATAAAAAAAAAATATTACCTCAGTTTGACCCTCTTGTGCTAATTCTTTGTGAGTATCGGCAATATCGCCAGCGATCATTAAACGTTCCCCGCGTTCAAGTGGTGATAAATTTTTAGTTTCCTCTAGAAACGATTTTAAAAATCCGTCTTCCAATTTGAGCCTAAAAAAACAAATAAAATTATAATTATAAATAAATGTGAAATAAGAAAAAAAATAATTTTAAAAATAAAAAATACTCACTCTTCAACATTATTGGCTAAACTGTGAATTAATGCAATTGTTCCACATGCATTAGAAATAAATTGTTTTAAAAAATAAACATCCGAAGAAATAGGCGCATTTTCTTTTGTTTCACTCTCTTCTATCATTTCACGATTTTCTTCCTATGAAAAAAAAATTTAATTTTTATTTTAAATATGATTTATTTATTCTTAGAAAAATAATTTCGAATATTTTTTTTTTTATTACCGTTTCGGAAAGTGGATATAATAAAATCATGGCAAGAACTGGTTCTGTTAAAATCGCCAATAAATCTGGTTCCAAACCATAGACATCGACAATATTCCATTTCGTTGGTACACCAACTTTGTGACATAGCTTGAAAAAAAAAATTATCTTCAATTTTTGCTAATAAATAATTTTAAAAAAATAATTAAAATGTTATAAAAAAAATATATATATAAATGTAAAAAAAATATTCATAAATACAGACTGTGTTTATAATTATATATTATGAAAACGTCAATTACAGAAACTGATTAAAAAATCTAACACTTACCAAAAAGTGATCGAAAATAAAAAATTACAAACAAAAAAAAAATTGCAGATTTTTCCAAACAAAAAATGAGCGTGCCAATAGCGAAAGATTTTAATAATTTCTTTTATCGCAAACTCACCTTTGTCATAACCTATAACAAAGAAAAAATAGGTTAGTAACTACGCCGCATACGATTGAAAAAATAAAATGAAAAAACAAAATAATAAAAATATTTAATTACCTCAGGATTTGATTCTAAGGGTACCCAAGCCATTATTCCCTGCTCCATGTATTTATTTTTAGAAACAGCGATAAAATTACTTCACAACAAAGTGCGTCAAGCCGGCAGAAGCCTTTACTCGAGAGTTTATCTGAAATAAATGAAATAGTGAGGGGTAAATTTCTCATATTGAGAATAAATTCTCGGCGCGAAACTTTCGAGTAGAGATTTAAATTCAAATTCAAAATTTAAGTACAAACTAAAAGCAAAAGAACTTTTTTTAAATACGTTTTTTTTATATTGAAATAGGCAAATAATAATATATGCAAAAAAATATAATTTAAAAAAAAGTGATATTTACAGATGTGCAAAATGGAATGCTATCTGTCAGGAGCAAATACTTTATCATTTTCAGTATTTAATTATTTGTCTTTTTCGGTTATTAATTTGTTTAAAAATTTAAATATTTGAAAAATAAAAAAATATTTAATTAGATAAAATTAAATTTTCATTTAATTTTCCCTAATAGGCAAAAATTATTGAAAATTTATTTTTGAATTGAATTTAAAAGAATAATATTACGAATACCTAAATAGAAACACGTGTATTTAATTATTTGTCTTTTTCGGTTATTAATTTGTTTAAAAATTTAAATATTTTAAAAATTAAAAATTTGAAAAATTAAATATTTAATTAGATAAAATTAAATTTTCATTTAATTTTCCCTAATAGGCAAAAATTATTGAAAATTTATTTTTGAATTGAATTTAAAATAATAATATTATGAATAAATAGAAACACGTGTATTATGACAATTTGCATGTAAATTTGTAAAGTATATGGAAAAAAATTAAAAAATCTAGTTCTCAGAAATTATACCACATTCATTTTATCTAATTAATACTTTACAATAAATAATTACCAGTCTAATATATAATATATAATAAAAATTGATGTACAATTGACATAAATATATATTCAAAGAAAACAGAAATTGATTTTGACATTTATAAATGATAATAAATTCTTTACTGAAAGTAAAGTGTCACTTCCCCTGTATTCTTGCGTAGTTTAACACATTAATTTTTTTTTTTTTTTTTTTCTAAAGATTAAAAACTAATTCGCAAAACATTGGCATTGCGTATATATGACAGTCGCACATGTTAAGTGGAGCGTAACTTGTGAGTCATTGATGCAGGAAAATAAAAGTGATGCTTATTGTCCTTTTTTGTATTTATATTTTATCATTATAATAACGATAGAAAAAAAAGAAAATTCTCTACGATTACGTGGTTTTTCCTTATTTATTTTTCCATATAAAAAAAAACTTGACAATATTTTCAAAAATTTTTTAATTTATTTTTTTTTATTATTATTTATAATTATTTAACCGAATTTACATGTAACTGAATTTTTATTTAATAAAATTATAATTTAATTAAAATTTTATTTAATTCAAATTTTATTTAACCGAATTTCCATTTTACTGAATTTTTATTGAGCCTATTTTTTATTTAATCAAATACTAATTTAACGAAAATTTATTTAACCGAATTTCCATTTAGCTGAATTTTTATTTATTTAAATTATAATTTAATTATTTAATAAATATTTTATTTATCTAAAATTTTATTTAACCGAATTTCTATTTAGCTGAATTTTTATTGAACAAAATTTTTTTTAATCGAAATTTTATTTAATAAATATTTTATTTAATAAATATTTTATTTAACTAAAATTTTATTTAACCGAACTTCTGTTTAGCTGAATTTTTATTGAGCCAAATTTTTATTTAATCCAAATTTCATTTGGCAAAAATTCTATTTAATCGAAATTTTATTTAATAAATATTTTATTTAACTAAAATTTCATTTAAACGAACTTCTATTTAGCTGAATTTTTATTGAGCCAAATTTTTATTTAATCCAAATTTCATTTGGCAAAAATTCTATTTAATCGAAATTTTATTTAACCGAATTTCTATTTGGTTAAATTATCAATTTGGCTAAATGACAATTTAGCTTAATAGAAAATTTAGCCAAATACAAATTCCAACAAATAGAAATTAAATTTTTTTACTCTTTCTATAATTGATTCTGAATGAAAAATTAATTTGTTGCAATTTTATTTAATAAAAAAATTACTAAAATTTTTTTTTTCAAATTGCAATAAATAAATTAACTTTCACGGGAAAAATAAATTACAATAAAAATTAATCACCATCAATTTGCCATTAAAACATCATTACAATTAAGAGTTGATAAACCCGTAAAATTAAATGTTTCATTGAGACTCAATTTCATTCACTTCCAAGTTAAATTCACGCCTCCTCAAGATATAATAATGTATTTTTAATCTTGATAAGGACTCAATCGTTATTTTCTTGAATGAATCGTGGGAAGAAAAAAAAATTATAATAATTTTTGAGTGATATAAAAAAAGAAAATAAAATCGAAAAAAAATAGAGGTATGGGAAACGGGTGAATGGCTAGTTTTGAATCAGTGAGGACAGAATCCAGGTAGTGAGAAGCATGACCAATTACCCCCCTTTTCCCTCCTCTAAACCTCCCCCCACCATAACAATTCTAAGACTTGGGGCCCCAAACCCCCGCCAAAGGTCCACACACAAGGGCCCCTCTTCTTTTCTATACGTGAGCTGGACTCTATAACGCTGTGAAAGTAATTCTCAGTGATTCTCAACTTTTTTGCAAAAAAAAAAAAAAAATCAACAAAAAAAAACCCAAGAGGGGGTGTAATTGAAGTCGGAACCGCAACCTTCGACTTTATTTTATCAGAAGGACATTGAGAACGAAAAGTAAAATTTATATTTAATATTTAATTATTTTTGATAAACTTAAAAAAAAAATTATAATAAAATAAATTAATTTTTAAAAAAATTTAATTTTAATAAATAAATAAATTTTACTATTTTTTTATATTCTTTTTTCTATCCGAACTTATTGTACGAAAACTATTTTTCTTTCTTGTCAAGGTACATAAATAAATAATAAATTTTTTATTATAATTATTTTAAATTATTATTATAAAAAAAAATTTTCAAATTGGATATAAAATATAAATATTAAGAAGGGACAATTATGAAAGAATATTTTTATTATAAAAAATAACGTAAAAAATTGATTAAAAAATAAAATTCAATTTTTTGTCAAGTTTTTTTGAAAAAAATAAAATGAAAATAAAATAAATAAATATATAAAAAATAAATTACAATAATATAAAAGGCAATTAAAAGAAATATTTTTATACTTATAAATAACGTAAAAAAATTGGTATGAAAAATTAAATAAAATTTTTTGTCATGTCGTTTTGAAAAATTTTTCTGTAATTTTTTGTTGTTGTCAGTTTTTGATATACGTTTTGAATTAAATTTTTTGACGCACATTTTTTTCAAAAAAAAGGGTTTAAAAAATCTCTTTCAAAACAGAGCTCCTCAATTTGAGGATCCCTGATACCGGCATCATCGGCGTTACTTCGGATCATGGAACGCAAGCAGTTGTCACTGCGACACCAATCGAGAAACACTTAATCATATTTTCAAAAATAACATAATAACAAAGATTTAAAAAAAATCCGATAGAAAAATAAATTTACTTCGCGCAAAAAACAAAAAAAAAAAAATAAATAAATATACAAATTTGATTTTTTTTCTATAATTTTACAAAAAAAAATAGTTGACGCGATTAATATGAAAATGTTTTTTTTTCATCTTTTTTTTATTATTTAAAAATTACTACGTCAATTTTTCAATAAAAATTATCACGTGAAGTGTGACATTGTGAACATTGAAGGAATAAATAAATAAATGAAGGTGAATATTTAATATTAATTAAAAATTAAAAAAGTATTTTTTTAAATTATAATAATTAATTTGTGTAAAAATTTTTTTTTTACATTAGTAATTTAAATTAAATTTGTTGTTTAAAAAAAAATTATTTTCTACGAAAATACATTTAATTTAATTTGGCATCATCCCACGTGCGAGCAATTTTATTCAGAATCCGCATTGATGTGCCTGTCACAACATTAGCACATTTTTACGATTTTAAAAATTCTCTTTTCAGAAATTTATTTTATTTAATTAATTACGTATAATTAAAAAAAAATGTAATGAACACGAAAATTGTTTTTTAATTAATTTGAGACAAAAAGACAAAAAAAAAATTTTTTTCATTATTTATTTATTCATACATTGAAAAAAAAATTATTTAATTCAAATAATCGTTTTGTTGACTATTTATCAAATAAATATTTTTTAATTAATATTTAAGTCAATTGATTATTTGTTTTAAATACAGAAATTATTGGAATAAATAATTTATTAAATTCAAATAAAAATTATTTGGTCCAAGTAAATGCTTTTTTGATTTGTCAATTATTTGAATCAAATAAATTTATTTTCAATGTAGTTAATTTATTTTCTTACAATAAAAAATAAGTCTTTCATTTTGTTTTTTAGTGTTTTTCAAATATTTTATAATGACAATAATTTTATATTGCAAAATTAATTTCAAGATGCGCATTTAAAAAATAATTGCTCAATCTATTTTTTAATTTAGAAAAAATAAAATATCAAATTTCACGTGTGCAAGAAAAAATCATATTCGTTGCGGATAAAAATCGTTTCATTGGTTGCACTCGTTCGAGTTCATAAAGAAAGAAGATTAAATTAATTAGAAAAAAAAATTGCAGTTAATTAAAATTTATTATTAAGCAATTAAATAATTGGCAATTTTTTTTTTTTTAATTAATTTTTGTGTAAAATTTTTTTCTATTTTTGATATTAAAATTATTTGCCAAAAATGGAAAATTTTACTTTTATGTAAGAAATGTATATGTATATATTCATAATATGAAATTTAATTTTTCTCGTTTATTAGTTACAGTTAAAGGTAATAAACTTTTATAACTTGACTTTTATATTTTATCCGCGCGCATATAATCTTAAGAGAGAAATGTTGATTTAAAAAACTATGAACCGTAGCGCGATGGTCAGGTGAGGAAAACTTAAGAAAAGATACTTGATAGCTTTAATGCATAATGAGTTTCAGTTATTATAACTACTGTTATTTCGAAATTATTTTCAGGAAGCAAAAGATGTAATTACACATTTTCAAATTGTTTTGCGTATATTATTTATTTAACTTGCTAACACTTTTATTTTAAAGACAAAAAAATAACTTTCGAAAATTCAATTTGTAAAATTTTATTTTCGAAAACAAAATTTCATTTATTTATTTATTTTTTTATTTTATTTTTTGTATTTTTATTTCTAGTTTTAGTTTTACTTAATTTTTTTATTTTTATTATTTCTTATTTTAAGGGAGAAAATTAATTATTTTCAATTACTGAATTTTTAAGACAACTTTCCGCGCTATTTATTTATTCAATAGGGAATAAAAATTTGATTTCTTTCTAGAAAAATTATAAAATACTCTTTAGATGAAAATTTTTTTCTTTTTAGAAAATTTATAAAATATCTATTTATTTATTATTAATATTTATTTAATTTTTTGAGAAAAGTTGTAGATGAACAATTTTAAGGTCATCGTAACATTTGATAAAAAGTGAAAATAATAATAAAACTATAAAAAAAGTGATACAATATTATCAGAATATTATTATCACAAAAAACCTTTGATATTAAATGGAAAATAATTATCAGCATTTTACATAAAAGAGATAATGAACATCTGACATTAAAGCGCCCTTAAAATATCAGAGTGACATTATATAATATATACGAGACAGAACAAAGGACTAAGAAAAATTGTACAAGAAACGAAAAAAAAAAAATTAAAGAACCGAAAATAATTTAATAATATTTAAATAAATATTATTTTAAAATATACAAATATAGGCAATATATATTTATTAGCGAATAAAAATCTCATAGGAGAATCATAAAGAGGCTCTTACTTCTTCTCTTTTACGATAAAGTTTATATTCACGAGTCTATTTAATTTATATTTTTAAAGCCCCTATATAACTTGATACATGCGACATGGTTACTAACTACTTAGTATAATTTAAGTCTAGAAGATGACACACGTGATCTTGTTTAGGAATGAACTTCTATCTAGTCTCATTAAAATATTCATAATAATTCTCTAGGGCACCAAAAAAAAAAAAAAAAAAAAAAAATTTGTTTCCACAACCCAAATTCTTTTTTCCCAACAAAGAAAATTCCACAAATTTTTCTTCTTCTCTATTTGAAAATAATCCTCAACTATTTTTTAGAATAGAAAAAAAATTCTACCAATTTTTCCTCCGGAAAAAAAATTTTAACAAAACTATTCGAATTTCAAAAACGAATTTCTGGAAAAAAAATTTCTAGAAACAAAATTCAACAAAACTAATGTTTAGAGTTTCAAAAAAAAAATTTCTAGAAACAAAATTCAACAAAACTAATGCTTGGAGTTACAAAAAAAAATTTATAGAAAAAAAATATTTAACAAAACTAACGTTTGGAGTTTCAAATAAATTTTTCTAGAAAAAAAAAAAGATAATGATTATAATAATGACAATAATAATAAAATGAATAATTAATAATAATAATAATAATAAAAATAATTTAATAATAATAAATAATAATAATAATAATAATTTAATAATAATAAATAATAATAATTTAATAATAACCCGTGTGGAAAAGTGATGTGGGCCCCCAGCGGGGGCCCTTATGGATCGCCCTCATGCCATGAGGGCCGCATATGGATGATCCATAGGGGCCCCTCATGGAAACGACATGCTCATCGATGAGGGCGCCCGCATGGGCGATCCATGAGGGTGCCCCTACGGGCGCCCTTATGGGCCCTCACGTTTGCCCTCATCTTGCCCTCAAGTTTGCCATAATGTTTTTTAATCAATAATATTAATAATAAAAGTTAATTAATAATAAATAAGCTTAAGTTATGAATAAATAACATATTTATTTAATAATTATTCAATTTTAAATTAAATTCTTACTCAAATTCAATTTATTAATTAACGTTCTAATTAATTAACTGTCGGATATAATTAAAAGTAATAATAAATTAATTAATTAAAAAATTAAAAAATATTTAATTTATGCATACTATTAACGGATATTTTCATTTTTCAATTAATTCATACATAGAATTAATGATTAAACGCAAACCTGAGAAATAAATAAATCTAACGCATGGGGGGAATCGAACCTACGACCTACGGACTATGAGTCTAACGCTTTACCAACTACGCTACGTACGCTACTTCAAAACGAATGCTAACTTCTTGATGCTATTTAAACTTCAAAAATACCTAACAAAGAAAAGTGCTTAACATCATTTAGTTAAAGTTAAGATATTAAATTATATTTTCCAATCAAATGCAATTTATAAAATATAATTAATTATATGCTTTATGATTATTATCATGAATCATCTCAGGCGAATTTTCAAAAAAGTGTAAATATATTTTTATTAAAAACGCGTTTTTCGTTGTTTTAAATCATTGGGAACATTCATTTTTTGTTGATAAAAAAATATTTGATTTTTGGACTTAGAAAATTTTGCTAATCGATCATGAGGGCGATCCATGCGGGCCCCTACGGTGGCCCTCATCTATTTTGCCATAAGTGTGAGTGTTATTTTCAAAAAAGTGTAAATATATTTTTATTAAAAACGCGTTTTTCGTGGTTCTGAATCATTATAAACATTAATTTTTTGGTGATAAAAAAATATTTGATTTTTGGACTTAGAAAATTTTGCTAATCGATCATGAGGGCGATCCATGCGGGGCCCCTACGGTGCCCCTCATGGATTCGCCATAAGTGTGAGTGTTATTTTCAAAAAAAGTGAAAATATATTTTAATTAAAAACGCGTTTTTCATTGTTGTGAATCATTATAAACATTAATTTTTTGGTGATAAAAAAATATTTGATTTTTGGACTTAGAAAATTTTGCTAATCGATCATGAGGGCGATCCATGCGGGGCCCCTACGGTGCCCCTCATGGATTCGCCATAAGTGTGAGTGTTATTTTCAAAAAAAGTGAAAATATATTTTAATTAAAAACGCGTTTTTCATTGTTGTGAATCATTATAAACATTAATTTTTTGGTGATAAAAAAATATTTGATTTTTGGACTTAGAAAATTTTGCTAATCGATCATGAGGGCGATCCATGCGGGGCCCCTACGGTGCCCCTCATGGATTCGCCATAAGTGTGAGTGTTATTTTCAAAAAAAGTGAAAATATATTTTAATTAAAAACGCGTTTTTCATTGTTGTGAATCATTATAAACATTAATTTTTTGGTGATAAAAAAATATTTGATTTTTGGACTTAGAAAATTTTGCTAATCGATCATGAGGGCGATCCATGCGGGGCCCCTACGGTGCCCCTCATGGATTCGCCATATGGATCAGCCCTCATGGGCCCCCGCCGGGGGCCCCGAACTCTTGAGGGCAAGATCGTGGCTTTTTCCACACGGGAATAAATAATAAGAATAAAAAGAAATTCTCAAGGTTCTCTTTAAATTTAAATTTTCGATTTTTACGTTGAATGAATTAGGTAACCTTAATAATTCGCCTTTTTCCTTGGAAGTAATATGTAATTAAAGAAATTTTGGCGAGGTCTTCACAACTTTACCAAGTATTGCGTAAATAGAATTTTAGTTTTGGTAGACATCGTCTAAGAGTTTTACTTCAGATAAGTCTATCTCGAGAGTGCCGTGCACCCTTCTTGCTAAGTAATCCATAATAATTAATGTTAATTTGTAATTATTACTTTAAACAAAGAAGGGCAGAGCAGGTGCACTCAAACTTACTTCTCATAAATAAATTACACTATTAAATAAAGAAAAAAAAACAAAATACTTAAAAAAATATTAATAAAAAATTCTATTAATTAATAATTAATATTAATTAATAATTCTATTCTAATTAATTTTTCAAATATTATTTTAACTAGCAAAATTAACTTTTTTTAATAAAATGTGACATTTTTTTTTTACATTTGAAAAAAAAAATGTAAATAAAATACATTTTTTTAGTATAAAATGTAGATCTTCTTCAGATCTTCTTCAATTCAATTATTTAACAAATTTTGAACTAAAATGATTCTTCACTAAATTAATTATTTTTAATAATTTTAATGAAATACATCACAAATTCAATTATATCAAAATTATACTTTTTCAATTAAAATTTTTATGAAATTTAACAATTGTTCATAATTTAAAAAAAATATATCACAATAAATTTGAATTATTTTTTAAAAATTTCAATTCAAAATAAACTAAAATTCAATTATTACCCGAAATTTTAATTCAAAATCAATTAAAAATCCAATAATTATCCAAAATTTTCAATTTAAAATTTAATTATTTACCAAGTTTTCAATTTAAAATGAAATAAAATTCAATTATTTTCTAAAATTTCTATTCAAAATTAATTATCCAAATTTTCAATCAAAAATGAACTTAAATTAAATTATTATCCAAAATTTCAATTAAAATTCAATTATTTCCCAAAAATTTTCAATTCAAAATCAACTGAAATTCAATTATTTTCTAAATTTAAAATCAAATAAAATTTCATTATTCTCAAAAATTTGAATTCAAAATTAATTGAATTTTCAATAATTTGAATTTAAAAGCACCTAAAATTTAATTATTTCTAAAATTTTCCATCGAAATTTTTTTTTTGAAATTTAATAATTTCAATTATAACTCTAAGAAAATTCAATTATTTTTAACTATTTTAATAATATTCTTTGAAATTTCAACTATCTGAAACCATTTTTCAATTAAAAATGATTTTCAAATTATTGTATTTTGTCCGCATTATCTAATAAATTTTTTGTGAAATCATCTAAAATTTTAATTACAAAACACTTAAAGTTTCAATTAATTTCAAAAATCTCAATTTTAAATCTTTGAAAATTCAATTAAATTTAAAAAATGTTTTCCAAAAATTGTTTGATAAATTATTTTTAGTACTGTAAAATTTAATAATTGTTTGAAAATTAACAATATCTTTTGAAATTTAATTATTTCTAAAAATTTCAACTTTAACCCTTCGAAAGGGAGTATTATTAAAAAAAATTTTTTATTTAAAAATCTGTAAAATATTTTTGTTAAAATAAAAAACAAATCCACTTTTTTTTGGAATGTAAATCGACTAAAACGATTTTTTGTGTCTTTCAGTTGATTCGAGGCCTGTGTTTTTATAATTAATATTTAATAGGTATTCGTTGGCCCCTGGTACCTTAAAAATTAATTTTTAAAAATAAATTTTTTTCAAATTACTATCTTGTACGAAATTTCTTGGCGCATCTTTTTTCTTATCATAAATTTTTTGTATTTGTATACAATTTTTGAATAAATATACAACTTTAAAAAAAATTTCGTTGGTAAACGTTGTGTAATTCAGTTTCGTGAATTGAAGTTTCGAATTTGGAATTTTAAAGAAACTTATTCCGAAATTTGGAAACACAATTATACAACTTTGGCAAAAATGAGAAAAAGAATTGTCAAAATTTGACACGTCATAAGATTACTATTCAAAAAAACACGTGAAATCAGAAAAGACCAACTTCAAGTTAGGACAGAAGGACAGACCAAGCATTTTATTATTATTTTAATTATTACATTTTTTATTATTATTGTAGATTTTTTTTATTATATTATTTATTATTCTTATTATTATTATTATTATTATTATTATTATTACTATTATTTTTTTTATTATTATATTATTTATTATAATTATTATAGATTATATTTTTATTATATAATTTTTTATTATTGTTATTATATTGTCCCGACATCAAATTTGTTAGTTTCGAATTTTTTTTCTCTTTCACTCTAAAATCAAGATACAAGAAAAATGATAGTTTCTCATTTTATAACGCACGTGTGAATGCAATAAAAAAAAAATTTTACATTAATTCGTATATCTATACATAAATGGAAAGTGAATTAGAATTTACGATTCTTTTTCTTTTCTCAAAGTGAATATATAAATTTCTTTCTTTTGAATAATAAAAATTTCTATGAATTGTATAATTAATTGCATTTTTGATGAGTCAGGAAAAAATTAAAAAAAAAAAAAGAAATAGAATTTTTGTATTTGACGTCTTTTCGATTCTTGAAAATATATATACTATATATAAGAAAAGTAATAAATAAAATGACAATGTTTGTCGTTGGTTTTTTTTTAAATTGTTTTTCAATAATCCACACTAATCATTGACGTGTACTCGATTTCTTTTACGTAAAATGCGATCAAAAGAAGTTGTTTTGCATAGAAAATGTCATTCATATTGCAAGACTTTTTTTTTCTTCTCACTTTTCTTAGAAATTGTTTCGAATCGTAAAAAATTGCATACAATTTTTCTTATATTTTACATTTATTTTTATATCACAATTAAATTGAAAGTATTAAATTGATCAAAAATTTTTGTACACTTTTAAATAGCAAAAAAATTTAATAAAAAAATAAAAATCAAAAATAAATTTTTCACTAAAAAAATTTTTTTTTTTTTATTTAAATTATTCAATAATTAAATTAACAAAATATTCAAATTCGAATTTATAAATAAATAAAAAGAAATCAATTTTTTAAATATTTAATTTTTTTTAAAGAATATTAATAAAATACTTTTAATGAAGCAGATGTCATTTTTTCCATTCTATAAGTGAAACTTTTGTATGCATTCTTCAAGATTTCTTTTCATGCAAATTATAAGGGAGGCTCTACTTTCGCAAATCTTTTGTATATATATAATCTCTAACGATGATATTGCCTCTGGCAAAATATTCAAGTGACACAAAAAAATGATTCACGGTATTTTATTTTCAACATTTAAAAGTCCCACACAACTGGAAATAAGTAATTTACTAATTTCATCATTAAAACCATTTTACGTTATTTCTTCCTGACATTTATAAAATGACTGAAATAAATTTTACAATTTATTTATTATTACACAATAGTCTTGTGAGACAAAAAAAAAAGGAAATTCATTATAAAAAACAATTTATTGAGCAAATAAATATTCAATTGAAAAAAATCTGTTTTTCCGAAAGAAAAGATTTTTTCTGATTCTCTTGAGAATTACTAAATTACCTTAGCACGTGACACATAGAAAACTTGACGTACAAGTAAAAAAATTGAAAGTGAAGTCACATTAATCTCAAGTGTGGTCAATGGTATATCCCCTCATTTAATCTCATAAAAGCTAAGAGAAAAAAAAATCTGCAAAAACCCACAAAATTTGATTTTAGAATTTTTTTTTTCCTTTTTATGGAATTGCAACTATACATAATTGAAATATTCTTTTTGAAAGAGAAAAAAAAAATGTTGAAACTAAAAATATTTTAATTTATTATAAAAAGTTTATTAATAATTTATTATTATCATAATATAACAAAATTAATTTATTATAAATTAATAAAAATTAAAATATTTTTAGTTTCAACATTTTTTTTTGTTTATATAAATAGGCACCTTAAAGGATTTAATAAAAAATTCAAAAAATAGATAAAATATCAGTACCAAATTTTTGCTGGTAAATAAAAAGAAAATTAATTATCTAGAAAAATGGTAGTAAAATGTTGCTTTTATACCTTTTTGTTATCTGCATTAAATCGTAGATCAAACAATAATTTTCATTTGTGATGATAACAATATGCTTGAAACTTTTTTGCATTGATAAGAACAGCTTCACTTTTGGATCGCATCGTAATTGCACAATTTTAAAATAGTTTTCAATTGAATCTGTAAAATTGAAAAAAAAAATTACATTAAATAAAAAATATAGAGAACTTATTTTATTCTACCGAACAAATTTGTAAGGAAAATTAATAGAAATAATTTTTCTAATTTTTAAATTATTTTTATTATTTATAATTTCTTTTTTTAAATTTATTTTAATTTAAAATTATTACAATTTAAAATAGTTTTTAAATACAATTTTTATTGAAAATAATTGACTAATTTGTTTTCACGAAAAAAAAAAATCAATTAGAAAATTTTGTTTTGAACTCAAAAAAAAAAAAATAAATAATTTTTTACTTTAAATCTGTTACAGGTGAAGTAAATTAAGAAAAAATTTTGAAGTTAAAAAGAACGCAGGTGCAGAATGTTAAACGCGCGCGCGCAAGAATTACCCGCGAATGCAAACTTGCAACAGCAACAAGCAGACGATGAACAGTATGCAACAAGAAGCCGGCCCGTTAGCTTCTACGATAATTATAAGGTGAGAGAAAAAAAAAAACAAATTTTCATTATTTTCAATTTCACAAATATCAAAATTTGTCAGTAAAAAAAAAAAAAAAAAAAAAAAAAAAGATAATAATAAAATAAGAGATAACAAATTATTAATTACCAATAATTTCCATAAAAAATCGTAATTAAATTTTGAATTATTATTATTCAAAAAAATAGTTTTTAAACAAGAAAATAAAACAAAAAATATAAATAAAATTTTATTACTCCAAAAAATAAGAATTTTTTTGTTTCTTTTATTATTTTTTATTTTAGTTATTTTTTTTTATTATTATTTATATTATAAAAAATATTTTTTGTGACTATTATTATTATTATTATTATTATTGTTTTACTATTTTTATAAACAATTTTTATTTTAATTTTGATCTATATTTCGATTTTATTTAATTTTACAATTTTATTTGATATTTGTTGAATAAAAATGGAATTTTCGGATTTTGATTTTTTTCAAAAGTAAAAAGTCAATTTGAAAAAATGTCAAATATTTAATATATTTAGTTCATTAAATATATGTTTGTGTAATTTTCTGAGAAAAATTTTTGTTTTTAAAAAAGCATTTTTTATAATAATAATAATAATTCATTCATCATATATATACAAAGTATAAAGCTGGTGCAACATTAATTGAAAATTAATTTATAAAATGAAAATTAAGTAAATTTCTTTTTGCTCCCTTTTTTTTAATCAATATAAATATCGCTATAAGTAACATTAGAATCAATTTACATGCGAGATTCATTGATATGGAAAGGAATGTATATCTTTGAAATATATATATATATATATATATATATATATATATATATATACTTGTGTACATACATTCACAAGATTGTATAAATTCGATTCCTGTCTGCCTTCAACTTTCTCATAATCTCGAGATGTATATATCCACAACATTCTGGTATTAGATTATGTGCACGAAGTGTATTATATAATAAATGTGCGTTTCTATATATTGGCATGGACACCATTTGTCTTTGTTAAAAAAAAAAAAATCCTCGTGTTCTCTCCATTAGCGAATGACCTATAAATTCCAGAAATTGTAGAAAATGTATTAATGTTAAAAAAAAAATTTTGTTCACAAGCAAATTTATCCAAATTTATTCAATTTTAATTTATTTATTTCTATAACTATAATTAAACAAAAAACAAAAATTTCGGAAACAAATAAATTTTTCTTATTTTGTAAATTGAAAAAAATATTTTTCTATGCAAAATTAATTGAAATTTTTCGAAAAATTTCAAATTATATTTTTTCAAAATAATAAAATTTTGAGACACCAAAAATTTTTCAGCAATAAAAAATAACTTTTTCTCTAAATTAAAATTATTTTATTAAATAAATAAATTTCATAAAAAACAAAATTTTCATCTGTCCAAAATTGAAATTATTTTTTCTAAACTGATAAAATTTTTCGGATAGAAAAAATCATTTTTTTTTTTTTCTATTTTCTCATAAAGAAAGCGAAATTTCTTTTTTTTTTCCTTGTACAAAAATGAGGATTCACGTGACAAAATATAAACTCGTGGCATAATTAGCAGTTAAATGTGATTTTAAAAGGCCATTTATAATATAATATGTTGGAAACGTGAAAATACCTTTATTTTTTTTTTCAGGATGCACCGACAATGGCACCTTGCGTGACTTCCGCGATGAGTGACGGGAATTTAAGTCAAGTTCGTGACGGGGATGCACCGGAGACGGTCCAGGAAAATAACAATAGCAACAACAATAACAACAAAAATAATAATAACAATAACGACTATAGAAATAGCCGTGTAGGCAATGCCATAAGCGCTGGCAATATTACAAAAATTCAAACTTCAAAAGTCAAAGGTAAATGAAATCAAAGTTTAAGAAAAAAAAAAAAAGAAAAAAAAAGAAACTAATTCGCACAAAAAAGTCAAGGCCCAAAATTGACAAATGTCTCTAATTTACGAGACAAAAATTACGAAAGATTTACTAAAAAAAAAAAGGCAAATTTTTTTTCTCAAAATAAATTATAAAAATTGTAAATGGAGAATTTAAAATATTCTTAGGATAATTTCAATTAATTTTAATTTATGAAATTTCCAAACAAAAATTGTAATATAAATTCTAAATTAAAATTTTTTTTTTTATTTTAGAATTAAAAAATTAGAAAAATTAAAATTGATTAATAAATTATTAAATTAACTATTATTATTATTAATAAATTATTATTTATAAATTAATAATTTATATAAGTTGACTTTGTGTGTAAATAAATAAATATTGAAAAAATAATTTTTTTTTTTGAAATTTACCTTGATTATCGGGATTTTTTCAGGAGCAGTTTCGACCGGCAATATCGGCAAAATGTATCGATCAGAAAAAGAAAAGGAATTAGGGAGAGCACCCTCAATGGCAAATTGCTTGTCAACGACAGTTCCAGTGAATTTGGCAGCGGCTCAAATCGCTGGAAGACACACACCAACGAGAAATTCTCTTAGACACAGTCGAATGATTGTTCTCCATCGAACTGGAAATTGTAAGTTTCATTATTTTTTTCATAAATTTCGAAAAAAAATTTGCCACTCAAAAATAATAAGGAAACAATTTTTCATTACAAAAAGAAATTCAAAAATAATAATTAAAAAAAAATTTCATCACAAAAAGAATTCGCCATTCAAAAATAATATAAATAATTTTATCACAAAAAGAATTCACCATTCAAAAATAATAATCTTCCAATTAAAAAAAAAATTGTTAAAAAATTAACGTTTGAAAATTTGAATTCAAAATTCGGTGAAAAACTCAGGTTTTGATTTTACTAGACAAGAAACAATCAATTTTATCTACATTTGACAATTTGTCACATCAAAAAAATCTGAAATAAATAAGAGTACAGTAACGAGTTTTAAACTACCTGAAAGTTAATAAGCTGTCATTCACCTTAATGATTCCCATATAATTTTTGCGTTAAATGAATTTTGTCATTAACATACAAAAGCTTGAAAAATTATTTTTATATTATTTACTGTTATTTATCAATTCAATCAATGAGAGAATGCCATATATATATGTTTATTAATCACGAAAAGGTGATTGAATCATGAGTCACACGAAACATCTAGTCATTCACTATAAAGATTTGCAAAAAAAAAAAATTATAATACATACACACTATATTATTAAAAAATTTTCAAGTAATGATTAAAACAAAATTATATTTATGACACAGCAGAAAATAGAAAATTTATTTTATTCACATTATTGCAACTTGATTTTACCGTAAATCAAATATAAAATTACATGCAATTTAACGGATAAATTAATTAAACATTTTTTTTGATCTTATTAAAAAAAAAAAAAATAAAAGCCTCTTTGGAATTAATATTTATTAACAACTATAAGCGGTTAATATTGACTCCTGTTTAAATATTTATTTATGTCAGGCATAAAATTAAAATCAATAATTAATTGTCTATTAAACTGATAAATTAAAATTTTAATTAATAATTTTAAAATTAAAAAATGATTTAAAACGTATAGTAATAAAAAATTTACAACAATCATTGTATCATTGTTTTTTTAAATTAATTCAATAACAAGAATAATGAACAATGCAAAAATTGTTAATTACTAAATAAATTGAAATAAACAATAAATTGTAAAAAATAAATAAAAAAACTAAAAATAGAAAATAAAACAAAAATAAAATAGAAATAAAAAAAATATGAAAATTAAATATTACTAAAGAATTATTAAAATAAAAAATATACATTAAATAACGGAAATGAAAAAATAAATCCATCAATTAGTAATAAATAGATGTGAAAATTGAAAAATATAAAAAAAAATTGATTAATAATATCGATAAAAGTTAAAGGACAAAAACTTGTAAAGTAAATCTTACATAATCGCGCTCTACGGTTGAGAGGGTTTCTGCAATTGAAATTCTAAGAAGTTAAAAAAAAAATAGGAAGTTAACAATTTTGCACAGTAAAATTTAAATAAAAATAGAATTTTTCTTTCAAAAATGATGTCTTCATTACGTAAACGTAAAAAAATAATTTTTCAAACAAATTCCAAAAATACAAAAAAATTATTTAAAAAAAATGTATTGTTAAAAAAAAAGTCAAAAAAAAAATTAACCAAAATTGTCATAAATTTTTTTTTTTTTTGTAATTAAAGCTGTACTTTGTTGCACATTCTATTTTATTTTTGGATCGGCCCATTGACATCGTGACACAGTATTTCTATAGACTGAAGCCAAATTTAATCTTTGATGAAAATTTCTTTTTTTCAGATTTTCTCTCTTTATTTCTTTTTTTTTATGGGACTGCAATTTTATTCAAACGGTTTTTAGTCCAAAAATAAACTATACTTTGTAATTAAAACAAAAACAAAATTTTTCCATTCAAAAACAGTTTTAGCAAAATATTTTTTATTTAAAAACTGTTTAAAGAAACCAATTTTATTTATTTATTAAAGAATTTAATTTTTGTTTATATTAATTAAAAAACAATTTTTAAATGCAAAAATTAAAATACAATCTGATACAAAAAATGTAATTATTAAATTGATAGAAACAATTAATTGCTAACGATATTTTATTTTAAAATTTATATGGACTAAAATGTGTGTTGAATCGGAAATTGCCAAGCCGGAAATTCTTTCAGTCTATCTCTCTTATTCCGGTTTTCACGCGGTGAATCATTTTTATTTAAAATGCACAACCTGCCTGCGAAAAGTATCTGCATTTTGCATCAGAATATTATATTTCGAAATTTCATTTTATTATTCCATCCCTTGAAAAAATACATCATAATTAAAAAAATAGCTCACTGTTTTTTTCCCTATATTTAAAAATATTTAATATTTATTTACAATACAATTTTAACAATAAGAAAAAAATATTCTTGATTTCATTAATAATTATTTTTAATTAAATGAAAAATTCTTATTTTAAGAATATTATAAATTCTAATTATAGGAATAAAAAAAATTTTAATTTAGAATATATATCGTTGGTTTGCTTTTGAAATTGATATTAATGAAAAAAATTATATGGGAACATTGTGAAAATGACAGTGAAAAGTTGACTGTATATCTTTCACAATTTACAATGTGAAGAATTGCGTAACAAAAAGGTAATTGCAAACTTGTACTTACGAGCATTAATGGCATTAAACATGTATTGGGGCCACCGTGTGTGATATAAACTCACATCCAAAGCCTTTATCCTTACGATGTGTGTAGGTCGGACGAATTTACGACAGTTTCCTTGTTGTTTTTTATTTTTTTTAATCATAAAAATAAATTTCTATATTTTTATATAATTTCTCGAGCAAAAATATAAAATCAACAAAAAAAAAAAAAAACTCTCGTTCACCTCATCATCATCATCATTATTATAACAGTTGTAATCCTTGCGCACATCCTCGCTCTCTCGTATATTAAAAATCCATCAGCCGGAAATATTTTATTTTCATCCATTGATATTTAATATTTATAGGCTCACCTGTTCTTTTTATAAAAAAAAAAAAATTTAATTTCCATCCATTGATATTTAATATTTATAGGCTGGTTTTTATTAATTAAAAAAAAATTATATAAAAGGGGATAAAATTATATAAATAAATTGTGGTATACATATAATAATTATCAAGGGTTAAATTTATAATGAAGAAAAAAAATTATTTTTTTTTTTTATATTTTATAAATGAAAATCAGATAAATATTTCTCAATTTATTTCACCTGTATCTTATATTGATGTGATCCCACGTACATATTACGCGTTGCCCCCGTAAGTTCACCGACCTGTCTGCTATGTTTTATCACCTACATTGTTTTCAATTTTTTTTTTTTTTTGTTCCTTAAATTCCATAAATTCTTTTGGCAAACTATTTTTTAATCACAGCAACACATGTTTCCCACATTATCTCTGAAATGAGATCAAAAATATTTATGATTAATAATTTTTCGAATATAAATAAAAAAAAATAAAACAAAAATATAAAAATAATAATAATAAATAATAATACGAATAATAATTGAAAATAATAATAAAATTAAAAAATAATATTTAAATTAATTAAAATTAACAAAATTAGAAAAAATTTAATAATGAAAATAATTTGAATCATTAAATTTAAAGGATCAAATTTTATTTATAATTGCGCGTAAAAGAAAGAAGTAAAAAAAATAAGAGTCAGAAAGAAATGTTTTTAACGCTTAGAAAACGTGATGAGAATATAATTGCGGGGATTAAACGATTATTCACCTCCTTGAATATTTGAAATGTCTGCATCATCCCTAATGCAATTTTTATTAGGATCCATTATTCATCATTAAGATTAAGAACCCTCCTCTATTTTTTTCCCATGAACCTAAAAATAAAAAAACAAATATTAATATAAAAAAAAAGAAAAACAGTCTCATAATTATTTTTTTCCTTATATTTCAAAAAAGAATTTACAAAAATTGGATAAAATTTAAAAAATTTAATTTACAAATTATTAATTATTATATATTATATTATATATTATATTTATAATTATTTTAATATAGATAAAATAAATTTTTAAAATTAAAAGAAATGATAAAATTTTTACATCTGCCCAACGTTTTTTTTTCTACCCTTTTATATATTTTGGATTATTTTCAATAGTATTTCTTTTGAGAGGATTTACGCCTTCATGATCAATTGCAAGGTTTCGTTGTCAAAGGGAAATTATCGCTGTGAGATGAATTCTAAGTAAAATCTTCTTTAGCCACAAAATCCGCGTATTATTTCTGATTGTTCGAGCGAAATAATGAAACTCGGACCAACTGGTGTGTTACATTAATTTAAGCCAAGAAAAAAGAAAAACATACTTTTTTTTTATTTTTTACTATTTTTATTTATTTTAAATAATTTTTCTTTAACAATATTATTTTATATTTTTTTATTTCTACCATTATTCTGTGTGATTATTATTTTTATTAATTTTTATTTATATTTATTTATTTTTATTTATTTAATAATAATTTCTCTGACTATATTATTTTACAATTTTATTTTTATTTCTATAATTATTTTGTGATAATTTTTTTATTTGATAAATATATTGAATGAGATTCTTTCGCAGTTTTTTTGAAAAAAAAATTTTCTACTTCCGCGTTCCCTGGTATAATGGGATTAGTAGAAATTTTCTTTTTTGTTTTTAAAGACAAGTCAATAAGTCAAGGACGATCCGGGTTGTTGGACGAGATACCATCTAGGGAGGGACATCGGGGTCATTATAAAACTCACCTTTCCTTTAAGTCCCATACGTGGGGTCCTGAGAAATCATGTTTCACATGGATATCGATAGACTTGGATCATAGGACACTAGATAATGTGCAACGGAGTGAAAGTGGGACACCCCGTTAAAAAAATTTTTTTTCTCTTTAAATTCATAAAAAAAAAAAATTCCCAAAGAATTCTATTATCAAATTTCCATATTCTTCCATAAATCTCCAAATTGATGAAACTGGAAAAAAATAATTAAAATTAATATAATAATTGGCAACTAAAATTATTTAAATCTAAATTATAAATATAATTTTTTATTATAATTGTAAATAATTTTTAATTTTTAATTATGAATAATTTGTAATTTACAATTTACAATTTATAATTTAGAATTTAAAATTTGAATTTTACAATTTACAATTATTATAATTAAATTAAAATAATTTTTTAATGATTAATTAAAAAATAATGAATAAATGCAATACCCACAATTAAATAAAGAAAAAATATGATTAATTTTCAATTTATAATTATTATAATTAAAAATAATTTACAATTATAAAAAATTAATTTATAAATTAATTTAAAATTCTTTTTTTGAAATTATTATTTATTACATTTTTTTTTTTTTATTGTTACAGTACCAAGAAAAGCGAAGCCAGCACTTCTCGGTCATCCTTGTTTAGCAAAATCATTGGCGGGGATGCAAATGTTCATCGGCATAACTATAACATCTTTATCATTATTTCTTCTTTTATGGACGCCCAGTTTGCAAGATATCGACAATCCATATTGGAGCGGTTTACCTGTAAGAGAAAAAGTCTCATTATCTGTTCTTAGTAATTTTTTTTTTTTTTTTTACATAATCCTAATTACCACAGTGAAAGTTCTGCAATCGTAATGTGATTTTGTTAATAGAACTTTTAAAAAACCATTCCGGGAACATAAATAACAAATAATTACTATTTTTGATAAAATTACTGTTTATATTAAAAATTAATATTTAATAAAATAATAAAAATAAATAATAGGTATAATAAATTGAATATTAATTTTTTATTTAATATTAATATTTAATTTATTATTAATTATTAATTAATTTTCTAGTTTTAAATAGAAAATATTTTTTTTAGCTCTTCATCTCCGGCAGTTTTGGAATATGTCTATTGTGCTGCTTCAAAAAAGAATACCCAAGAATGAGTCCTGGCTTTTGTCTGACCACAACAAAGGTTTGCAAAAACTGCTATTATTATTATTATTTTTTTTTTTTAAAAATATTTGTTTCATTATAACGAGGGATTTATTTTTTTATCTTCTTTTTCCATTCCACAGATATTAAGTGCCTTTCTCTCAATTGTGGCGGCCATTGCTTGCATAATTGTTTGTATTGCAACAATAGTTCATCTTGTACGACTCTCAGGACTTGAATGCAGTTCGACAAGTCTCATAAGTTCAGGATCATGTGTTTGTGGAACAATTATTAATAATTCAACGCTCACACGTGAGCCAATACTTAAATATTACGATCTCACATGTTCCGAGGTCAATAATTTATTTACATATCTTTTAATTTTTTCTGCATCGTGTAATGCACTTGGAATTATTGTTGCCACATGGTATTCTTATTTACATTGGAATTCACAAAAGCAAAAACCACAATATTTTCAAGTGAGAAGTAATATTAATTCAGCAGGTAGTAGTTTGAATTCTAGACAAATTTATAATCCAAATCATAATGGACGATGACGTCCATTATGGCCGTCGAAAATTCGACGGAATTATATTTTATTTGAGGCCTATGTTGTTTAAGAAGTTGACGAACAAAAAAAAAATTAATACTTTTATCATTTTATTCCATAAAAAAAAAATTTTTTTTTTTATTTGAGGAAAAATAATTCATTTTTTTAAAATTAATTTATTTTGAAAAATATTTAATTATTACAAAAACTTTTATTATTATTCATTAATTTAAATATATTTTTTTTAATTGAAAATTTCTTGTTAAATAGTTAGATTGTCACTGGTTCACTAAAACGGGTTTTAATTGCAAAAAGTAGCTTTTGTATGGAATATGGAATTAAATTAAAAATTAATTTTATTAGTAATTTTTAAAAAAACAAAAAGTGATAAAAGTTTTAAAAGATTTTTTTTTACTCATCAATATTATAATTCAAACATCCGAATGTTACAATTTAGCAAGAACTTCAGTATTTTTAAATGTAATGTATGTCTGACAAAATGAGAATTCATGTGCACGTGTAAATTTTACATATAATTAAAAAAAAAATTAATATCCCTAGAAGTAAATTTAAATGTTTGCAGTTGAATTTTTAACAGTCTGCAAATTAAAATTAAAATTATTTTTTGTAAAATTTCATTTTTACTATTTTTGATATTTTTTTATGACAAAAAATATGTATATCAATTTTATTATAAATTATGCAAATGTAAGATTTCAGAAATCATGAAAAAACAGAAAATTTCATTAAAAATTTAATTTAACATTAAAATCATTATCATTAAAAATGAAATTATAAATTTTTCTAAAATTTAACATAAATTAAATTAAATAAATTCTTTTAAATTTTCAATTTGAAATTTTCAATGAAACATATTCGCATATGAAATAAAAATTATTTCAAGGGATTCTTTACAGAAATTCAACTGGAAAAATAAATCCAAAGAGAATTTTTAATTTCTGTAACAAAATGCCTTTAATTATAATATATATATATATATATTTGTATTTATTAAACGCTTTTACAAAGTTATAATGTATTACGATAATAATCATCAAAGAATAATACGAGTGTACCTTAATTAATACTTAGTTAAATATATCGATATTTAGAGAATAATGCTCACTAGCCTGTACATATTATAAAAAAACGAACGATTGATATTAATATACTTTTATTTTAATAAATAATACTTTCAAAAATATTGTAACATTTTTTTTTTTTATAAAAAATTCCTTTAAAAGGACAAAAATTGACAAAAAGTTAATTCCCCAAAAAACTATATTTTAATCCCTATTTTTTTGTTTAAATATTTTTTATTACGAGATAAAACGCACCTATTAAAAATTTTGAATTTATAATTTAAAAAAAAAAATAAATAAATTTCAGTCAATTGGAATGGAATGTTTCACAAAAATTGATTTTACAATGAAATAATTGCATATATTTCTATAATAATTTATAACAATAAAATTTTAAAATATCAATTTTTTTCAAAGAAAAAAATAGTTTTTTCATTTTAATATATTTTTAAAAATATCGAAACAATCAAAACAAATTTAAATTTATATATAATATAAACGAGATTATTTTTAATTTCAACGAAAACAACATAAAATGCTTTCCACGAGGATAAGCAAATATTAAAAATTATTTACCAAATTCTTTTTTTTTTTTGGTTTCTCAGTCGATTACAATTAAAATTTAATTACACTTAAAATAATAGTAATGATAATAATAATAAAAACAGTTACTTAATCCTCTCGTAGACAATTGAATTGAGTAAATATTGAAAACGCTTTTTAAGGCAAGTAAAAGGCTCGTTATAATTTTTTTTTATAAACATTAAGCATCCATTAAATTAACAGCAGATGGAATCAAGTTGCATTGATATTCGCCAAACAACATTGCTGCCAACCATCTATACTGATCGTCTTTTGATGCACCCGCTAAAGTATATCCAAAATATGGATTTTCCTTACATCTACAAATAAGCAAATTAATTCTCTTCATCTTAGTTCTATTTATTTATAGTTTAATTATTTAAATTACTCACCTTGTTGGCTTATTATTTTTCAAAATGAAAGTAATGGACCAACTAGAACAAAAATTTAATATATTAAAATTATACAATTTATTAATTTAATTAATATTTTTATATTTTTTATTATTTTTATTATTTTTATATAATATTTATTATTTCTAAATATAATTTTCCCTCTCTCTAAAATTAGTATTTTCGCAAAATATTGAATCTATATTTACCCCATCTGTGGATTTCTTTTTGGCTCATGGCCCAAATACCAAACGATGTCTTCAATTTTCCATTCGTGCAATTTTATAGAGCAAACTTTATCTTTATAACAACAAAGTTTTGCCTGACTAAATTCAAATAAATAACTTTTCCAATTTTTCGTTTTTGTATCGGCAAATTTTAATTCACCTGAAATTGTCATGGGAGGTTTCACCTGCAAAAAAATTGAAAAAAATATTAAATGACAAATTACTTGATCCTGAAGGAAATATTAGTCTCATTTTTTTTTTCTTTTTTTTTTGCGTTGAGAATTTAACATTGTCAGAGTGCATGCGTAAATAATTGACACATTTCAAAGCTACGAAGCACTCGGTCAAGTCCAATTAGAGTTACATCCTGTTTTTCACTATGGCAAAGTATTTCTTTCATCTTCTCTCTGACTCACGCAATCTGATCCGCCCTATTCCAGTATAAATACACTATATAGTGGGAAAGTTTTCACCCTCGTAAAAGTTCTCAAACATACATGACCCTGAACCTCTTTAGCTTTAATTCATTTGCCTTTTTGATTTAATTCAAATTCTACCTCATTTCAATTCTCAACTGTTCCCATTTTTCTCTTTTTCTCTCTCTCTCTTTCTGTGCGAAATTCATGTACTAAATACAAATTTTATAAATAAAAATAAATAAAACTATTATTAAATTGATAAAAAGAATTCAAAAAATGATTTTCTAAACCAAATTTTTGTGAAAAAATCAAAAATAGTTATTTAACGAAAAAAATGCAAATAAACTTACTAAAGGTACAATATCCTTGTAAAGTCTATCTTTTCTGAGAATGAGAACATTGTCCTTTCTGTCCTCGGGATCCCAATATCCCCACCTGGCAACAACTTCCAAAACTCTTTCACTGTGATGAAGTGGTCTCTCCAAAGCACCTGCGAGATCGTATTCCTCTAAACAAAGTTCATGTGGTGCACAGCCGACTTTATCACCGAATTCTCGACAAATATCAAAGGCAGTTTTTTGTGGTCCAATCTGCAGTTTTAAATAATCCTTAATTACAATACTTAAATACAATAAATGAATAATAATTAACAATACTATCTTTTTTTTTATAAAAAAAAAAAAATTATCTTTTTCATACAGAAAAAAGCAAATATTATTTTCACTAACCGTGACATTTACACACTCGCCCTCTCTCGATAAAAGATAAATCCATATCTTCAAATCACCGGATGGAGCACCGCGTAAACCATTATTCGAAATATGATGACGTTCAAGTACTTCCAATATTTTTGCCTCTCTCGCAAGATCAGCGGCAGATAATTTATATAATTTTGGATACAATCGAATTAAATCGGCAACAACTTTTGTCTCTGAACGATTCCAATCCTCGGCGCTATTTCCACCGGCGTGCATTAATGTTGGTCCCCATATTGCCGATATATTATCAACGGTCATTAAATTTTTTGAACTCTTTCGCGTCAAACAATGTAGATGCTCAAGAATTCTATGAAGTGTCGCTGTTGTAACGGTATCCAAATTTGTGAGAAGATTTCGATAGGTCGTCACTTTCTCCTCATCATTGGTTAAATCTAAAAATAAATTAAAAATTAAAATAATTAAATTTCTTTTTTAATTCTACTTTCTTTTTTCTTTTTTTTAAAAAAAAGAAATTATTTCTCTATTTGCTGATTTTAAAAAAATAATTCGATTCGAAAGTTATTGATGTCCTTCAATGATTGGTGTATGAATCATCGTCACGATGGACGAGAAACTTGTGTTTGATTAAATCAACACTTAAATATACTTAAAGTTTAATGTTTTATATTTTAACTCAAACGAAAAATTTAGTCAAATTAAGAAATTATCAAATTATCAAAAATAGAAAAATATAATAATAATATAATATACCTATTTATTTTATATATAATAATTATATTATAATAATAAGTAAGTAATATTAAATCATAAGAGGAGAAATTATGTAAAAATGTACCATAATTGTGTTAAGGAATTTGTAAAATCCAAATATAGAATGAAATAAATATTTATTTAGAAAATTATATAATTGCAAGTAATAAAAAAAATTGGGATCATATCTATTGCATTAGTATTGATTCTTCGAAATTGAGGAATATAATCAATTGTAATTAAATTTCATAAACATAGTAATAGACTATTTTAATGAATAGACTCCTTTGACTTTTCTTTATAGACTGAAACCAATTAATTTCTATTCAAACGCTTTGAGATTAAAATTTTGTAACATGATTTATAAATTTAATGAAATATTTTTTTAAATATACTTCATTGATTTTTTATTTTTAGAATGAAAAAATTTTAAATTTTACATTAAATATTAAGTAATTAAATATTAAATAAGTAAATGTAAATTAAATATTTAATTTGACGTTAATTTTCTTTTTTTTTTATAAAAAATAATAGAAATAAAAATTATTATTACCAATTGTGCTGCAAAGTTGATCGTGAATTTTTGATGGAAATAATGGATCTGGCAAGTCGCGGAGAAATCTTCTCAAAACAGTTGCAACATCGTGCTCTGAATAGAAATCTTTTGTAATTTGTGTAGCCCAAGCGTCTCTTCTGAAAGCTTCCAATAATTTGACAACTGCGCTACTTGAGCCACTTCGACGATAAATGCCCTCTGTCATTATTCCTACAAAAAGAATAAATAATATTCGCCATTTTCCATAATCTAGTCATCAGTATATTATATCTTTCACTATATAATATACTTCTTATCTCAATGAAACATTTCCTCTCAATTTCTGTTTCTATTTTTATTTCGAGATAAATTTAAAAATTAAGAACAATTTATAAAGTTTTTTTTTATAATATTTTATTTATTTTATTATTTATTTAATAATGTTGTTTATTTTCAAAACTGTTCTGTAAAAATAAAATAAGAAATTCTTAAATTAAAATTATAATAAAATATGTAAATTGTTTCACATAAGAAAAAAATTTAGAAAATTAAATTTTTACTATAAAAAAAATATTTCTCAAGTTATTTTTCAAGTTTTTATATTTCAAGGCCGCAAACAATATAATTGTCATATTATGTAATTATAGACTAATATATTCTTTAGACAATTCTTTTCAACTACTGCATCAATAATTATTAACATCCTTTGTCATAAAAATATTTCACACACATTTTTTTAATAATATAACACAAGAACAATTTCTTCCTATCGATTATATGATTTCAAAAACAAACATAAATACGACAATTAAAATTGGGTAAATTTCAATAAAATAAAAACTACTATTTTACATAAAAAAAATTTTAAATTAAAATCTAAGAGATAAAATTAAATTATAGAATAATTTATTATTAGAATATAAAAAATAACAATTGCATTTAATATAAAAAGAGGCAAATAATGTCAGTAGTTCATAAATAAACAAATTAATCAGCGATATAAATGATAAAACAATCGCAAGAATAGGTCAGATAAGAAAATTAGATTTGTCAATAGTGATCGACTGAAAATTAATAAATCAACAGATATATACAAAAGATAAATAAAAATAAAATCTCTTTCTATTCTTTTTCTTTCAAAGTGAAGCAATTTTTCAATATTTTTTCTACAAAACATTAATAAATCTATTAATAATAAATGTATCGTTAAAAATAATGAAATAATAAATAAAAAAATATTATTTATATATTCTTAAGAATCGTTAAAAAGTAGGTAATTAAGAAAAAAAAATCGAAAAATGACCTATATATTAAAAATTATTACGCATCTATGAAAAATTAAATTGAAATTCAGTCAGAGATATTTTTTTAATGATCAGATATTATAAACAATTTTTTCTCTGAGACTTACCATGAGCATAGATGAAGTTGATACATTTATCAAGAATGACAGGCACGTTATCTTGATTAAGTTGTTGTTGATTTAAAGCAGGACCAGAATTTGTCGCAGCCTGATAAAAAGCGTGTCTCCATGCAGCAGCCTCACTTGATAAAGGTGCCACTAAATGAAGTGCTCCAGAACCACCAGCATCCACAACAACTACAGGAATATTTCCAGCTTCAGGTTTCGGACCATCTTGCTCTCTTAATACTGAAATAATTTTCTAAATTTAATTTCTTCAATTTATTTATTAAATTCAATAAATTTTAAAAGTAAGTCAATTAAAATTTCATAATTTTAAATAATTATAAATTAAAATTTTAAAAAATATTAATATTTTCAAATAAAAATAAAATATTAATATTTTTAAATAAAAAAAAATATTTTTGAATAAAAATTTTTATTGGTAAACTAAAGATAAATTTTAGTAGAGATGAAAATATTTATTATCTGTTATGAATAGAAATAAGAATATCAAAAATGATCATTTGAATAATATAAAAAAAAAAAAAAAAAAATTCTAGGTTTCTATCTAACGATATCAAATGAACTGCTTTTATATATAAACTTGAACTTAGATGCACTGCGTCTGAAATTTAATATACATTCATATTCAGCAAAAATAGAACTAGGAAATATAAAACTTAAAATGCTATTTACAATTTTTTTTAAATAAAATATCGCGTTTGTCTTATTCACTGGAGGTCTATACAGAATAAGATAAATACAGAATGATTCATAAAGCATATTATTCAGCTGCGCAATCATTAAGCGCAGACTTCCACTATATAATTACTATTAATAATTGAGGTTTGGAAATAAAATAAAACACTTCAAATATTTCCAAAATATATTAAATTTTTGTAATTTAATTGTAATTTTCATTTATTTTTTTTTCCTAAAAATTAAAATTTAACATCAAAATGTGAATACAAATTGAAAAGTAATTAATTAATTTATTACATATCAAATATTTTCGATTCCATTGAAAAATTATTCATTCGTAAACAAATTTCTGCCTCGCGAAGAAATATTTTTAAAAAACTGATTTCTTTTTGTTGTTTCTGAAGATACACTAATGGATCCGTAATTTATCAGTCTCAAGGTTACATTAATAAGCAATTATTATTATTATTTTGCAGAAAGCAATGATCGTTGATTAGACTAAAAGAGTTGAAAGTTAAACGGTACTTTTAAAGTGTAACGAATAAAAATGTTTTACAACGTAAGCAAAAAAAAAAAAAAAAACTGCTGTCTCATCAGAATTTATCTCTTCATTTCTGTAACTGATCTACTTTTCTCTCAAACGTGAAAATACAAATTTTCAAATATTAACAACACTTTTAATCTAAAGAATTTAATAATTAAAAAAGAAAAATTCTCTTATTTTTCAACTAAAAATAGTATTTTTAAAATTATTTTTATTCACTCACCTATACAACGAGCTTTTCGGAGATCAATTTTTTCCAAAACAACAGGATTTAATGTTCGTGTATAGACCAATGTTCTTTGATGAAGAAGAACCCAAGCCGGAAACCACGAGCCCGTGACACCTTCCTAAAAAAAATAATGAGTGGCTAATTTTAGAAACTAAATAATCATTTTTTTCTCTATCACTTGAAAACATTTCCGACTTTTTTTTTTGGTTAAAAATACATTCTTTTTCCGTCACAGTTTCCGGTAAATCTTTTCAAATATTTTCATAGAGAAAAAAAAGGATAAATAAACATTTTTTTAATGAGTATCAAATTAAAAAAGTATTACGTTAAATTCTTTCACATGATGAAATTTGCACTACGTGCCTTTTAGAAGAAAAAAAAAATCTATATTCTGCAGTTTCATCACGTTTATATTGTTTCTGAATATAATTTTATCAATTAATTCATTTATCTTTGTTCTTACTTGCATCTATTAATAATAATTATTTTTTATTTTATTCATTACAATTTTTTAGTTTTGTATTTTTTTTTTTTAGTAAATTTAGGAAAATAAATTTTACCTTTAAATAAGCCCAGCCAGCTCTTGTCAACAATGAGGTATATTTAATAGGGAACACAGGAGTCATGGCTTCTAAAATTCTTTGTGCCCATATTCTTCTTTCCGTAATACCTTTTGCATAAAAAACATGAACCCTGGGTCGTTCTTCACAATGAATTGCGATGCAGTGAACATTTTCGCCATCGACTACTCTAAAAATCGAAAATTAAAATTAAAATCAAAAATTAAAGTTAACGTCAAAAATTAAAATAAAAAATTACAAACAAAAATTAAAATTAAAATTGAAGTAAAAAATTACAACTGAAATAAAAAATTAAAATTAAAATTGAAATACAAAATTAAAATCAAAAATTAAAATTACAATTGAAATAAAAAATTAAAATTAAAATTGAAATACAAAATTAAAATTAATATCAAAGATTAAACTTACAATTGAAATAAAAAATTAAAATTAGAATTAAAAAAAAAATGCAAAATAATAATTTATTAATTTTTATAATTACTTTTGTTTAACAATAAAACAATTTCAAAGCAAAAAAATAGTAATTTCATTACTTAATCAGATGCTAATAAACAAAAATTGCAGTACGCCCTGGTATTTATTTTCTGATTCGTTGCTCATTTACAAATATCAAATTATAACTCTTCGCGCAAATAAATGATGAGGGTTCCGGTTTCGCATTTGAAAATATACCCCTTGTGAAAAAAGCAAAGCAGAAAGGAAGTACATGCGGGTAAATAATAATTAGAAAAAAAAAATTGAATGACCATCATTGTGTGCACTAAATAAAAAAGGAAAAAAAAATTGAAAGATCCTCTACATTAATAAAAATTAATTAACAATCTTTTATACATTCGTGGGAATAAACTCTCTCTTTTAATACACATTGAAGATTATTTTCTGTCCTTGTGTATCATAAATCGGAACTTTAAACCGTACATTTAAAAAAAAAAAACACAGAAAACAAGTGATATATAGACTAAAAAGGTCATATTATATTGATATCAGGAAATTCAACTAGTTCAATAATAGAAGCTTTTATCACAAAAAGCGATAAAAATATATTAAATCCTTTTCCGCGTTTGACATTATATTTTATACTCCAATAATGAATGAGTTATATTTCTTTCAATTTTACTTATACATTCCCGATTTTATCAGGTCAAAAATGAATTTATGAATAAAATATCATATTCAAAGGCAAATTCCATAAGCAAAGAAATTGCGTTCAATTTTTTTTGCTAAATTATTTATTATTTTTGAGTTATTATTATTTTGATTTTGTTATTATTATTACTATTTTGATTTTATTATTTTTATTTGATTTTATTACTATTATTTTGATTTTTTTTTTTATAAATTTAAAAAAAACTCACTTGACATCCTGTAACAGATGAATACTGTGAATTTTTTCGAGACTAATGACTTCCTTCAATGTTGACATACTTTTATCACTGTAAAACGATAGTTTTTGATCAATTAAAACTGCGGCTCTTGAAACTAAATCTTTTGCTCTTTCAATACCAACACCAGATCTATAAATTACACCCCTATGACTCGGTGGATTTTGATTTCCCAATGATGTTATTGGTCTTTCCAATTTTTTCGAATTAACCCTTTTCACACTAACTTCAACTAATTCTTTATTTCTTGACAATAATTTACTGCCATTTTTCACAAAATTTATCATATTATTCGGTTTCATTAGCCTTTGCATAACACTTGTACGTTTTTCCTCGATATTTTTTACAATTGCACCACTTGCTAATGATTTATTGAAAATTGTCTCCTCAACAGTATCAGAAAGTGATTTATTAGTCGATAAATTATTATTGTTTTTAATTGCCGATTTTCTTGGCGGTACAGCTGGTTGTTTTCTCGATGCAAGATGTGCCAATTTTGGTAATAGTGCAGGACTTTTTTTCGTTAATTTCTCAGGTACTTCAACCATTTCAACTTCGTCGTATTCATTTTTTGGTAATGAATCAAATCGTCTTGGTGGCGTTGGTGGAATTGTTAAAATTTCATTTTTAACCTCCTCCTCTATTTGAATATCGTCTTCTTCTTCTTCTTCTTCTCTTATATCATTCGCACTTCCTCCACTGCTCGCCGATTCATTGTTCTCCAAAAATGCCTTCAACAACAGAAGATCATTATTTTCATAATTACTGTAAACATTATTCTCATTCTTTGCGAATGGATCGAATTCATATAGAACCGATTTTGATTGCTCTCTTCTTGCACCTGAAACAAAAAAATAAAATTAGGAATATTCTTTAAAAATTCAACTATCTGAAACTATTTTTCAATTAAAAATGATTTTCAAATTATTGTATTTTGTCCGCATTTTCTAATAAATTTTTAGTGAAATCATCTAAAATTTTAATTACAAAACACTTAAAGTTTCAATTAATTTCAAAAATCTCAATTTTAAATCTTTGAAAATTCAATTAAATTTAAAAAATGTTTTCCAAAAATTGTTTGATAAATTATTTTTAGTTCTGTAAAATTTAATAATTGTTTGAAAATTAACAATATCTTTTGAAATTTAATTATTTCTAAAAATTTCAACTTTAACCCTTCGAAAAGATTATTAAAAAAATTTTTTTTTTAAATCTGTAAAATATTTTTGTTAAAATAAAAAACAAATCCACTTTTTTTGGGAATATAAATCGACTAAAACGACTTTTTTGTGTCTTTATGTTGATTCGAGGCCTGTGTTTTTATAATTAATATTTAATAGGTATTCGTTGGCCCCTGGTACCTTGAAAATTAATTTTTAAAAATAATTTTTTTTCAAATTACTATCTTGTACGAAATTTCCTGGCGCATCTTTTTTCTCATCATAAATTTTTTGTATTTGTATACAGTTTTTGAATCAATATACAACTTTAAAAAAAATTTCGTTGGTAAACGTTGTGTACTTCAGCTTCGTGAATTGAATTTTCACATTTGGAATTTTAAAGAAACTTATTCCGAAATTTGGAAAGACAATTATACAACTTTGGCAAAAATGAGAAAAAGAATTGTCAAAATTTGACACGTCATAAGATTACTATTCAAAAAAACACGTGAAATCAGAAAAGGCCAACTTCAACTTAGGACAGTAGGACAGATCAAGCATTTTATTATTATTATATAATTGTAAAAATATACCTGATGGTGAATTATCTTCATTCTTCAACGTATTCTCATCGTTTGAATTTTTCTTCAACACCCAATTTTCGTATAATGAATTTTGCATCGACACATGACTAATATTCGAATTTGAAGAAATTCTCTTTCTAATTGGCGGTTCCTTGTCATCTTCATCGGCACTAGATATTCTGTCCAATTCATCATTACCTTCAGTCTTATCAGATTTTCCCTGTGCAGCATCATAAAATGTCCATGAATCTGATCTTGATAATTTTTTAGCCACTTCTTGACTATCAGATATATTTAGACTCTGATCAGAATCACTTGCATGATTTTGGGCAAATTTCAATAAATTAAATGGCTCGGAAAAATCACGTTCTCTTTCGGAAAATGTTGAACTCAGTGTATCATATCGACTACCACTATTTCCCGATGTAACTGATTGTAATTCATCGTAAATTGATTCATCTGGAAGTGGTGGTGGTGGATAAACAGGAGGCGGTGGACTATATCTTGCACCAGTGAGATCTTCTTCATTTTTTATACTCTTTAAATTTGTCTTCAATGGACTATAAAAGGAAATACTACTAAAAATATCATTCGCCGGAAGTGATGTACAACGATCATCTTCAATTGGACTTTTCACCTTGCTCTCAATATCTTGTAAATCATCTTGATTTAGTGATGCAAGACGACGTGTTATTAAATTTTTCACCGATTTTTCAAGACGAATACTTGCATTTCGTGTACTTGAAATAACAGCGCGTCCTTTTACTGTCATTTTTTCTGAGATTTCATCTTTTAAATTTTTAAAAAATTCTGAATTCGAACTTTTTGTCTCCGTTTGAGATTTTGTGTCGTCACTTTTTTCCGATTGACTCGATTCACTTGGACTTGTTGATCTCGTACAATTATTAACAGCAACTTGTAATGTTCTTGGCGCTGGAATTGGAATCGATGATGACAAATGAATTGATCTTGGTTTTGGTACCGGTTTCACTTCCATCATGATTTTTTTTTATTTTATATCATTTCTTCTCTGTTGAAAAAAAAAAATAGGAATTCGATTAATAACTCTGAAAATTATTTGCAATTTATTGACATAAATATTAGTCACTCACATTATTCTTTATTGAAATAATGGCACACACGTTTTGTAATCTGTTGATTATACGATCCTGAATGAATCACACATCTGTCTACTCTTCTAAAATGTCTTTCCGGTTTTTAAAAGCTTTGTTTTTATTTCCTTTCAAAAAATATATATACAAATTTTTATATTAAGTGTCGAATATCAGAAATAGAAACTCGGAGATAATTTTTTTCTTGCGCTTCGTGTGTAGCTCTTCTGTAATGAAAAAAAAAAAAATTTCTGATAAGGTCGCTTATCGATAATGTAAGATTTGTAAATCTTTATTAAGTAAACTTAATTCGTTAAAGAGGGTAAAAATATTTTCAAAAAGGTAAAAAAAAATTAATAAACGAAATTAAAAATAATAAATTAAATTTTATTTATTGAAAAATATTGAAAATTTAATTTAATAAATGAAAAATTAAATTATTAAATTAAAAGTGAATCAGCGGGTGAAGATTATAAAGAATTTTAAATTCAAAGAATGTAAATAATAAAAACATATTATATGTAAATGAATTTGATAGAAATATGATCTAACGAATTTAAAAAAATACAAGAAAAAAAAAATTCTTGCTAAATAAATTTGAGATAAAATAAAAATTACATTCTTTTGATAGATTTAAATTATCGAAATCAAAAATTGGAATTTTTTAATCAAATATTAATTATTTAAATAAAAAATTTTTAAGTATATTTAATTTTATTATTTTTTATTCGATACAATGGCTCTTTAAATAATTTTAAGGCGCAATAGGATAATGCTATTTATCATTATTTGCGTGCTGTCACTATAATATTGATAAGTACAAGAAGCTTCAAATAAGTTCGACAGAAAGTTGAAATACGCGAAATAAAATTTCAAACATTTTAAAAAAATCGTTTTTTTTTTATTAACTATTTGAAAAAATAATTTATTTCAATAATCATAAAAAAATAAAATAGAAACGTTTTCTAATTCTGAAAACTAATTCTACGAATCTTCAATAAAAAAATGTTTTTATAAATTAAATTTTGAAATATAGGAAAAAAAAATCTCACCTGGTCGTTGATCCTCGTCTTTGGCATTGTGACCTCTCTCGAGACTCTTTCTCTCTTTTTTTTCCACGCAGACGGAAAATCACGGGTGCAAAACAGGCTCCAAAATAATTCCACACAAAAATATTTAAAAAATTTTTCTTCTCAATTCATAACACTCACATTTATTCGTAAAAAATGACTTTGCACTCACACACTTCTATTATAATCAGATCAAGGATTTATATAAAAAAAAAAAAAGATTAAAATACACATTCTTTGTCATTGATGAATCCATGCAGTCTGACGCATTTCTTCTTTTCTCTTAACACTATAGTAGCACTAATCCTTGATAATATTCAAACAGCATCACAAAACAAAAACTTTTTCTTCTTTCTTTTTACTTTCTTTCGTGTTTTTTTTTTTTTTTATGAAACTTCTGGTGTTTGGATAAGACTCAAAGCGATTTCTTGTACCGGGTCAGTCAACTCGGAGCTGTTACAAACTATTAATGAGCGCTGAATGTTGACAGCTGTTTTCATTGAAAATGATGATGATGATTTAGTGATGAAATTTTTAACAATGAAAATATTTAACTAGAGATTTTTTTTTCGATGAATTTGTAGGTAGATTTTTTTTTTTAATGAGACGAATGAAACGTGTGAATCCATGTAAAATTGAAAATTCTGATGGGTGCTGTCTTATTGAATAACAGCCAAGCACTGAACATCGTGGCCTGGCACTCGCTTTGCTGGCTTCTCGCTGCTCGCCCCATTTCGCCCACACCATCCTCTTATTCTCCTTCCACTTTTATTATTACACTCATACCATTCTGATAGTGAATCCAGTGTGAGTCACTCCCACTATAGTGTAAACTTTTCAAATTGTAATTTATAAAAAGAAAAACTATTGTCAACCATTTATTGTTGTACGATGCGCAGCTTCGAATTGATAATAACAGTATTATTGAATTTTAATTGATCCCAATATTCCTGTTAATCCTCAGATTTTTTTCAACTGAAAAAGAAAATCAAAAATTAATTTCAATAAAAATTAAAAATTAAACTTAAAAATTAAAATTTTAAATTAAAATACTAAAATTAAAAATTAAAATTTTAAATTAAAATAAATTTGTTTAATTAATAAAATCAAAAATTGTTTTTAATAACATTTTTTTAACTAAAAAATTATTTTTAATCCTTCACCTTAAAATTACTTGCAAATACAGCTTACACTTTTTTAAAATTAAGGCCCAAGAATCTAAATTTCATATTTTAATTTCGTGGAAAAAAAATTCTTTTATATTTAAAAACAAAAAATTTCATTTATAAAATAATAGATATTAATAGATATTAGATATTAATAGATATTAATAGAGCAATTTGTAAATCACATAAAAATTCATTAGGTTAAATATAACTAAATATAATCACGAAAATGAAAGTTTCACGTTAATTATTAAAAAGAGGAAAATTTCAATAACGAATCTATTTTCACTAAATAATTGTTCAAAGAAACTTCGAAAAGAAAATATTTCAAAAATATCAATTAAAACAGTCAAATAATTAATTAAATTAAAATAATTCATTAAATTAAAATAAATAATTATTAATCAATAACTATTATTACAATTAATTATTAATTTACTAATTATTTACTAATATCGAATTTTTAATTAAATCAATTATTAATTAATAAATCATTGCTAATAAAATTAATTATTAATTAATAAGTAACAGTTAATTTAATTAAATAATTAAATTAATTAAAAAATATAAAAATTCACTTTCTCACGATGGAAAAAAACATATTTTAAAAAACGAAAAAAAAAATGCTTTCAAATTCCGAGAAAATATGCGTGTACATAATCCACCTTCGCAATTCTTACATTCCCAAGGAATGTGTAACAGATAATTATAATAGACTTAGTATACTAAACTTCATTAAAATGTAATTTCAGTTACATTAGGTACTTTTTAACCGAAAGGATTATGAGTCATTCTGCACATTAATTATATATTCTCGGTGAAAAAATGATTTATGTATATGTATAAAAGTCAGAAGAATTAATTATTTTCTCAAAAAAATCCTCCATTCCACGATGTCCATGAGATGGAAATTTTTGTTCCTAAAACAAAAAAAAATGTGTTATAAATTTGTTGTACAAAAAAATTCTATTGAAAAAATTTTAAATTATAAAAAAAATTTTTCATTTTAAAATGAAGAAAATAAAAATATAATTTTTGATTTCAAAAAAATTTTTGTGTATACAATTTAAACAAATGGAGAAAATAAAGAAATAAATAAAATTTACATACACGAAACTACTACAACTATGCAATATATTAATGAGAAACATAATTTTATTGAAATCTTTATTATTTTTATACGATTTAATCGTGACCAAAGTCAATCAGGCGACTTTGGATTATACAAATCGGCAAATTCTCATTAAGTAAATAATTCCTTTTATCAGGCGCAATCAGAATTAATTATTAAAATTAAATATTTCCATTTTTTCAAAAAAAAATTCATTTTTTATATATTTATATATTTTATTAAAATAATAATTATTTCACTGTATTAATCTATTAATAATTAATAAAATCAGTAAATTTTTAATTTAACCAAATTTATTTTCTGTTTGCACCTGATTTTTGAAAAAAATACCGCAGAGACATTGTACCTTAAATCACAATGGCGACAAGTTTTTTTTTTTTTTTTTTTTTTTTTGTTTTAATTTCTTAAAGATCATTTAATCGTACGTAATATTGATGGTTCATTCAAATGCCATCACTGCAATGAAAGACAATAATATTGAAATTTTTGTAAATTTAATAATACTTTGTACAAAAGTGAAAAGCTTTTTTTTGGCTTTGGAAAAAAAAATTTATTTATAATTTAAGTGAAGAAACTGACAAAATTTAAGTAGTCACTTCTTTTATATTATAAATAATTTTTTTGTTTCTTTAAAAAACAAAAAATTACTTTCATTTGAGTTTATTTATTTTTATTTCAATTTTATTGTCTCTCACGAGTAAAGTGCATTTTTTTCTTCCTTTTTTTTTTTTTTGTTCTTCAATCTATACGCATACTGAGAGCAATTAGGAAAAAGGGCATATAAAGAGAAAGATGAGAATAGAGAAGAGAATTGTGGAACAATTGAGAATTGGAGGAAGCTTTAGTTAGAAGAAAATAATTTGGCACACCCACGCATACATTTATAATATATATATACGTACATTTATAATAATTGAGTAACGCACAATTTTTTTTTTCACGTTAAGATTGCGGTTCGCTAAAAAAAATACCATTCAAAATTAATAATTCTCAAATTTTCGACTCGAAATTTAACTAAAAATCTGAAAATATAATTATTAGCGCATAATTAATTATTATTAACTAAATCAGTAATTTTTTTTTAAATCAAAATTTGATCATAAATTAAATTAAATCGAACTAATTATTAATAAAATTGTCTAATAATTTAATAATCAATCGAATTAATTGAAAACTATTATTTTTGAACAGTTGAAAGAAGATATTTTTTTGAAAAACGAAAAAAAAATTTACGAATTTGACTTTGTCTTTAAATGTATACTGTAAAGTGCAATAGTTGTAACATATATCTGTATAATATATGTAATTATTATTACATTGTATAATTTAAATAGTAAATATATTATCACATTTAGATTGTATTAATGTTAAGACGTGTTCCTTTCACAAAGATCCTTTATCTGAATTTCACGTTCAAAATGAAAATTAAACTTGTACTCTTTTTTTTTGTCCATTATTCAATATATAAAAATATTTTCCAAAAAAAAAGAAATTAAAAACAATTTGTACTTTTAAAAATTTTTCTTAATCATAATCTAATTTTTTTTTTCTAATTAAATTGAGTAGAAATGAAAAAAAAATTAACGAAAAATTATTTTGAACATGATTTCATTAAAGAGATCTTTTAAAACATTAAATCTAGGAAACATTAATATAGAATATATTATCATGTAGTTTATGTAAGGTATAAGTTATAGGACACTTATGATCTACAGCAAAAATTTCAACAGTTAAAAGATTATAACAACTAATTTTTCTCCAGTCACTTGGTAAAAAAAAATCTCCCCATTAGATTTTTTCCCTAAATATAAAAAAAAAGTTTTTTAAAAACTATTTTTCAAATTTATAAATAAAATCTAATTTTTATAAAATAAACAATGTCAAATTTTTTTTCTAAGATTATTTTTCACCAAGTGTTCGATACTTGTCAAAAATTTTTCAAGGAGAAAAAATCACCCAAAACTTTCATCCTAGTTCCCATTTTTTTTTTTCGTTTTTTTTTGTATTTTTTATTCTTTTGGCACGTAATTTTTTTTTCGTAAAATTGTGGCACAACATTTATAATAGAATAATAATTATTTTAATATCGTAAGTCTGTAATTAATTTACAATATTATCGTATTATTAGAATAAGACCCCATTATAAATCGAATGAAATTACAAGCCGACTAATTAATTATTCAAAAAAGAAAGTCATCATTTCTAGAGAGAAATAATTGATTAGAATTATTTAAAGTATTTTACAGAAATTTGAAACGAAAAAATATAATTAATTAAAAGTTAAAGAATTTTTTAAATATAAAAAAAAATTATCAATAATTTAGGAATTTAAGCTCTAGCCCTTAAAATTATCATTTGTCACAAAGTTTGTTATTTCAGTCGATAAAATTTAATAAAAAGAAAAATATTTTTTTTTTAGTTGCAAAGCTTATTGAAATTGGCATTGCATTTGTTTTTCATTTTTTTTCTGCGATTGACATATTATTATTAATATAGTACTTTTTTTTTTCTTCACCTCAATATTGAATGACTCATTGACGGTCATTGTTAACAATTGTGTGTAAAATTATGCGTATAAAATTGCGCGCATTGAGCCGCAATACAATAAAACCGCGTACAAATATAAAATATCATTTCGAATACAATATATATCAAAAGCAAAAAATTATTCGTACTTATGACATCTTTGCTATATTATTCGTTTATCCGCTATACAGATGTGTGTACACATATAATTAGTTAAATATTTTTTTTTTTTATAGGCAATTTGACGAAAAATCAATTCGCGAGTTTTTCGGAAAAAATCCGACGTATACACTTTGAATGGATCAAAAATAAACCTTTCTAAACGCTCAATCTGATTTAATTTAATTGATTAATAAAAAAAAATAAATTTTTTCAGTATTTACATTGTGTACAAATTAAAAATTATTTTCAATTGTAATATTATCATTTTTCTACTCAAATTATTATAATTCAATTAATTTCCAATTTTTAATTTCGTTAAAGAAATCTAAAATTAAAAATCAGATTAAACGTCCGAAGGGTTAAAGTTGTCCTAAAATCGACGGAAGTAAATTTTCTTTTTTTTTTAATTTAATAAATAATGATTTTTATATAAACGCGCGAGGAATGATCCAAACTTAAATTTTTTTTCCATTTTTTTGAACTCAGAAAAACGATATCAACACAAATATATGTCAAAAAATAAATACAATTTTTAACTGTACATATTTTACTAAGTCACTGTATTTTGGATCATTTCTCGTTTAATTTTATTTAAAAATCCCTTAAGATATTTGACTAGAATGAAATATTGTATGATACATTAAAAATTGACACACATTTATATATTTATATATATATATATATATACCTAGTTGGCTCTCTTTTATTATTATTATTATTATTATTTTATAAATAATTGTTGTCGTCGACATTACAACCATTTCAGGAAATGAATCCTGATTTAAAAAGGAAGAAAAAATAATTCTAGTCGACAATGATTCTAATGAGACAATAGTTGACAATTAATAATAATTAGGCTTTAGAATAATAATAAAAAATTGGAAGAATCTTAGGCAATAATTCAATATTAATAATTGCAATAACAATCAGAAAATTTTTCAGAGAATAGGGAATATTATTTTTAATTAGGATCTTAGAGAAAAAAACGAGTTTTTTTTTCGTTTGCAAAATAGCACCGTTTTCCTTTATCAAAATGCCAGAGAACCCAAAAGAATAATAATTAAAATAATTATTATCAATTTCTAGGAATTAATTTTTATTTATCGTCTACTCAGTCTTCAAATCTTGTAGCACCAATGAGGAGAAATAAATCAATTAAGATTAAATTTTCCATATTGAAAAATAGCCAATTAGGAAAAATATCTTTATTTTCAAATTTAATTTATTTTCATATCCAATTCTTATTGCTAATATTTTTCAAATTAGAAAATAGAAAAAATTTTGGACGGACACGATTAATTAATTATTTAATTCTCCTTTTTAATAGGGTATCTCTGGCAAAATCGCAGTCTTTTCTATAGCCGACAATATTTTTCTTACAAAAAACTCGAAAAAATTTGAAAAAACAAATTTCTTTTTTCTCTCTATACGAGTTTATCTTCAATTTCAGTCTTTCTCCATTTATCCAGTCTACAAATATTCTAGCACCATGGCGCAGCATTTGAATCATAATTTAGTTTTCTTTTTCAACTTTTATCCCCACATTCATGGGACTCGATTATATATATTGAATTTTAATTACCAATTAATCAACTGCCTTAAGAATATATTTATAAGGTCCAAAGTTTATTTTTTTTTTAGATTAAATTATGCATGCATGTTCTAACTAGCCTAATTGTTAAACTATCTATAGGAAGAATATATCCTCGGGATAAAATTCTCATTTGTCAAATATTTAATTATTAAAAAAAAAAAATAAATAACTTACCCGAAATAATTTTTTGAAAAATAATCAAAAGAGGATTAATTTCTTCCCATTTCTAAATAACATCTAGATCGCTTATTGACGAAATTTAGGACGTGTAAAACTGTTATTTTCTTTTTTTTTTTCTTCTTTTTCTTTTTTTTTATTCCGACGGAGACGTCGGACGGAAATCCTCTTTCGGCGAGGACGATCATTTTATATTTATAGGCATATTGAATTCATTTTCTTTTTCTTTTTTTTTAATTAATTGGCCGTTTCCGGATTCGAAGAAGGCGAAGAAGGCGATGAGATTGGACTTTGAACAGCTGCTGCAACTTCCCTTATCGTTGGAGCAATCAACATCCCTCGAGGACTAAATGTATCGCAATAAAGATTTTCCTTTTTATGCACCCTTCTCACGTGGCTACGCAAATTGTCGCGTCTCGCACTTCTGTAAGCGCAATGTGGACAAAGATGAGGTTTCTCCCCTGTGTGCATTCGTCGATGTTGAATTAACTGAAAGAAATTTGTCAAAAATAAATAAATAAGAAAATTAATAAATTAATTAATGAATAAGATAAAATAATTAATAATTAAATAATTTAATTAAAAAATTAATGAACCCTCTAAAGGATAATTTCTTTTTAAAGAAAAAATTAAACCTTTTTTAATTGGACAGTGCGAAAGATGCAAATATCGCAACAGAAGTATCTATCATCGCGATGCCTTCTCATGTGTTTACTAAGGTCAACTTCCGAAGATCTGTCAGCTCCACAAACTGCACAGCTCACCCTCGTTTCCGGTGCTGTCCCTTTAGCGTGTGCCCTCAAGTGTCTCTGAAAAGCCTTCTCAATGGTGCATGCATATGAGCAAAGGGAACAACGATATTCTTCTCTCTCGTATCTATAATATTCCCGTGAGGGGGAAGAAAAAAAAATGCAAATAATTAAAAACAGTATCTAATGAAATCAAATTCATTTTTCGTGTAATTATATAATTTTATAGAATTTCAGTATTAAAATCAAATAAATTAATTATTAATTAAAATCAAATTAATAAATTATGAATTGAAATTTGTCCGAATTTAATTAATTATAAAAATGTTAATAATTATTTCATAATATTCTCGAATCGACTTTACGGAGGAAAAATAGTTGTTTTAGTAAATTTACTTCACAAGAAAAGTTGATTTTTTATTTTTAATTAGTTTTGAACTCTGATTTATGAAAATTCAGGGGTTTTTTTTCAATGTCCAATTTCGGTGTAGAAATTATGAAAAAAAAAAATTGTAGAATATTTGAAAACAATTTTTTAAAAAATTTTCTAAAAAATGAAATTTAGGAAATTTGAATGTCAATTATATACCTATAACGGACGCGTTGTAGTGCAAGGGTGCGTTTTTTTCCTGTCGACGTAACACTTTGTGTCACGTGTGTTGCCACGTGAGTTTCCAATTCACATCGGCTGCTCGTTGAAAAATCACAACCCGAAGAAGGACATCTTTTCATCTCACTAGTTTCATTTTTAGACAATGTGGGGTGAGATTGAGCAATGTGTTTTCTCAAGGCCGGTCTCGACGGTGCAACCACGTCACAATTACCACATGAATAACCACGATGAATACCGGGATTTTGACTGCTTCCGCTAGATCTAAAAAAAAATCAAAAAATTAATAATTTACTTCTACCTTATCAACATTTCTTTTTTCCACAGATTCACTTTTTATATCTTTTTTTTTTAATGCAGTAAAAATAATTTTAAAAAAATTTCATTTTCTATTGAAAGTAAAATGGGATTTTTTTTTTACTTTTCAGTATATGACGAGTGATCACTGTCTGAATCACTATCGGACGGGATGCTGGGTATTTCAGTGGCTTCAAGAGCCGCAGTTGCAGCAGAAAGTCTTCCCAACATTGCAGTGTATGCACCTAGGACCCAGCCATTTAACACAGGTGTCACAGTTTCATCCTGAAAGAAGATAATAATTAAAAGTTCCGAATGAAAAAAAAAAAATCTTTTTTTTTTGTGGAAAAAATACAATTTTTTTTTTAAAAACCTTGTCAAGTAGTAGACAGGACAATGGATCCGGTGATTTAGAGGAGAAATTATTATTAGCCGATCTTGAACTTGTACTTCTATCATCACTATCGTCTCCTGCATCTTCGTTGTCGTTATTCGCTGTCGTAACTTCCGTCTGAAATAATTTCTATTTAGAATATTTACAAAATTAATAATTAATATTCGATTTTTCTGCGAAAATTTAATATTTAAACGTACCTCATTTTCATTCTCATCATCCTCGTCGTCATCATCTTCGTCACGTTCGATGTTACTTTCGTTGTCTTCTGATTTCCGTGATGCTTGATCAGGCGAAACTTTATCGGATTCATCCGAGTCCTCTGACGGTTTTGAAACCAATTCCATCGCTCCAAAATGTGGAGCGTTTGCAGTCAACGGAAGTGGTATCATGTCGGAAGATCGTTGTAATGCACTCAATGCAAAAGCAGCCCTCGGTAACATTTGCGTTGCTCCCGGCGGAAGGATTGGATGTCTTCCGGCGAGCCGCGGATCGCCCCAAAGTCCGCCCGCGGCATGCAGACCCCAGATCCCATATTCCATCTGAAAAGAAATACAAAATTGAAAATAACATTCCTCACAATATTAAAAAAAAAAAAATTCTAAAATAAAATTACATACTGAAAAAAATTGCAAAAAAAAAAAATTATTTGGAAAACAAATTTCATAAAATTCAAATTTTATTTTCCAAATTTTTTTTTTTTTGTCAACTTAACGTTACAAAATAACTTAGAAAGAATTAAAAATTTAATTTATCAAAATTAAATAAAGTGACACGATTTGTTTCATATATGTATATATGGAAAATAAATGGCACGTTGACAAGTGTAATAAGATACTAATTATGAAAATATGAAACAGTAATTTAAATGCAGAGGATGAAATCCGATATAGATTAAATTTGGAAAGGCAAGCCACTCTCGCATTCGACCTCACAACCCTCTCATCTTTCATTCTCATTAGTATTTGATTATCTCGTTACCCATCAAGAGCAATCAATATTACAACCGTATTTTCGATTTGACTATACAAAATATATTTAATTAATTTCATCCAACACTAATATACATTAAATAAAAATAAAAAAAAAAAAAACTCCATTTCACCTTTTATGAAAATTTGAAACGATAATTTTACAATTTATCACCAGCAATTCTCTAATTAATTATTTTTCATTACATTAATTAAAGATAAATATTATTTTTTCAAAAATTATTTTCTAAATTGAATATCAATTTTATTTTGTACCATTTATATAAAAAAAAAATCTTTTGAAATTTACTGTTAAATGAATTATTTATCTCATCATCAAACGGCAGTGTTTCGAGATAAAATATCAAAACGATTTTGCCCAAAGGCTTCTGATATAATATATCATTTCTGTATTTATAAATTAATATATACCTATGTATAATTCAATCATGAAAATGTATTTAAAAATTTTTAATCTACAAAAACGATTTTTTCAAAAAATTAATTTCCCCTTTTTGTAATTTTATTAATAGTATTTTAATTTAGGTTTTTTTTTTAATATTCCTTTATTATACTAAATTTAATATTATCAATTTTAATCAACGATATATAAATAATACCATATAATTTTATAAATATATCGAGATATCATAAATTTTTTTCACAATTCTGTATCGATTAATAAATTACTTTTTAGATAAAAATATCCGTTTCATAGAAGTGAGATGCTGGTTGCTTTATTTTTGAAAGAAAATATCGATTTTCAATATCTTCATGCTCGAAAATTTAATGACATAATTCACATCGAAAATATATATGAGGTGCAAAGTGAAATTTTGCACACAACTATTTCTAGAAAACCCATCAGTTAAATGTATAAATATTTGATATTTATTATTCTTTAAATTCTTCCATTTATTTAAAAAAAAAATAATCGATTTTGAATTTGCAATTAGAAATATTTTTTAATTTAAATAAAACTAAATTATTTTTTTTTTTACTTTTTCAGAAACGATATACAAATTGAAAAAATAAAAAATAATGTTTTATCCTAAAGCTAATAATTTCCAATTCAGAAAATAATTTTTATTCCCTTTTCGATTTTTTTTTCCTATTCAATTGTAATTAAAATTGTACTAAAATTTTAGTATTTGAAATTTTAATTCGTTATTTACAGAAAAAAAATTTGTGAAGAAAAAAAAGAATAGGTAAATTATAAAAATTCCCTAATAATCAAAAAATGGCTGAAATTAAAAAAAAACACAAAATCTAATTCCGCTATTTTAAAAAAAAAAGAACGAGATAATTTTTTAATATAATTCATCTCACAATTTAATTTAATATCATCGATAATAACCGACCATCGTTTTCCTAATCGATCCACTTAATCAAAAAAAAAAAAAAAAAAATCTTGTCACAGTTTGCTCTCGAGACTGTCAAAAAAATGAATATTTTTTTTTTCTTTTCTTTTCACCTTGATAAAATGGGGGAAAAATTAGTTCAGGCATATCGCGACATTCCTGACTATTTCAGACTGGACATATCCAGTATACTTCTAGCCTCCAGCATACTTTGGCATACATAAAATCTCCCACATATATACATATTCTCCCGCTACATCGAAAGAGAGTCACCCCCCCCCCCATTTCAAAAGCCCCCATTATATCCCACACACATATATACACCCCCTTGAGCCTCCACCCGGTTGCACAACGAGCTGACCCCTTCCCACTGCCCTCGCGAATCGATTTGTTATTGTTTTTGTGTCTGCGGTCTCAGAGAAGTGGGAGAGAATAACTTCGTCGGCAAAAGAGGAAAAGAGGGCGGGGGGGGGGGAGAGGAGGAAAAATTATTTCGTTAAGGGACTAATTCAAAGCACCACTTAATTTCGAAAAAGGAAAAAATAAATTTCAAAAAAAAAAAAAAAAATAATATTTTTAAAAATAAAAAAAATAGATTTTAAAAAAGGAAAAAATTATAAAAGATTTACAATTGGAAAGAAAAATTAATTTTTTTTTTTTTTTTTTGAAAAAAGAAAAAAATAGAAAAAAAGAAAAAAAAGGGAAAATAGATCAAGGGACACTTGAAATGAGGGGAAGGGCATCGGGAGGCTGAATCTGGGCGCGAGGAGCTATTTGGTGGTTTGGTAGGGGGTTGTTAAAAAGGGGGGAGGGAGGGATGTGATCCGGAAGGTGTAAGCGCCGAACGGATATGTTGGTTGTTCAAAGTGGAAAGAGGGGAACACACTTTAAAGGGTGAGGGTTGGAATCTGTTGGCGGGGAAGTAAGGCGAGGGATCCGTCCGCTTGACAGGTGACAACCGATTGGACCACTGACGTCACAGATCACTTGCTCGACCACCCTCGTGATCGCATGCTTCACACACGCACCTTTCACAAATACGCATTCTACGCACGTGTCACTTTCATACAAAAACAAAAACAACGTAGAGTCAAAAATTATCAAAAAAAAAACTAAAATTTACACACAAAAAAAAAATTAGGAAAATAAATTTTTTTTTTCCTCCAGACAGAAAATAATGCAGTATTTACGTGCCGACCGGCCGATAGCCTCGCGACGCCTCTATCTGGTTACCATTACACTCGGGGATGTATGAAATGCGCCAACATACACACCATCCCCCCACAATAGCCCTATTTATGATTGGGCAAAATTGCTTTCCATGCGCAGAATAAAATCCAGCTGTCCGCCAGGAAAAATCAGTTCCTTCAAAATTATCAGCTCTCAACATGGTTTTTGTATTATTTTTCCTTGACGAAAATTTACCCCTTGCTTAATAATAGTGAAGACTTATTCTTCATAAATAAATTGTTGTCAATTATTTAAATTTACAAAAAATTTTCCATTAAATTCGTGAATTCCTTAGAAAATGGAAAATATTTTTCATTAGATTCCCCCGTTACGGAGAGAAAATTTGCGGAAAAATTAAATATGGCGTTGTCCGCGGACATGCGCGTCCCACCTGCGGCAATTCCAACGCTTTTTGCGTCGCTTATACAGCATCCCGCGCATGATATACCCTTTTGTGGTATAGAAGAATCAGCTCAATATGGCGATTGCAATAATATTTATTTCTTTTATCGTTTTTTTTTTTTTATTTTTTGCTCCAATTCCAAAAAAAAAATTTTTAAATTCTAATACCTTCTGAAAAAAAACAATTTTTGTGGAATAAATAATAAAATTAATAATTATAATAGAAATAATACTGAAAAAAAATTTTAATTAAAATTAATCTCTGTCAGGCAAAGAAGAAGCCAAGTTAATTATAAAAAATTGTATTCTTGGCACTGAAATATACAAATTTATCATTTCGAAAATGTATATTTACAAACAAGTGTCGATTATTATTATTATTATTATAATTATCACAAAATAGTAATTATTAATTCTTACCGTAAGGCCACATTTAATAAATAAATTTCTATTCTAGTTACATTTTAAGGCATATTCTCGGCAAACGATTGCGATGACGATTTCATAACTGATATTTGTAAATTATTCATTGACGAATGAAGATTTTTTTGAAGACTCTCAATTTTTCTTTGAATATCAATAGATTCTTCAAGTTCAAATTTCACTTTTTCAAGATTATCACCTTTATCCTTCATTAAATCACAAACTTCTTTTATTGTTTTATAACATTGATTTAGAGTTTCTTCAAACTTGCATTGTTCAGCCGGCGTTAATGGAAGATCAATTCCTTGGCATCGTAAAAAATCAAATGGACTCAATTGAAGTCGCAAATTGTCGAGATCATCCTTCACGGAAGAATCGTTCAGAACTTCTAAAAATTAAAAATAAATTTAACGATTAATGCTTTTTTTTCTTTTTTATTTTCTAAATGGCAAATAAAAAAGAAAAAAAAAATTTCCTCACCACATTCTGATCTAATTTGTGTAACTAAAGTATCGAGATAATTTTGTAAAGCAGACAAATAATTAATGTCCTTTTCCCTTGATTTCATTTTCATCAATTTTTCATCACCCAAGTCTTGCTCTTTACTTAACGACGCTAATTGATTTAAAATTTTCTTTTCATTTTCCTTTGCTTTCTTTTTAACTAGAACATCAGCCATTAACGTTCTTAAATAATCATCATAAAGTAAACCAGTTTCTGTATCTGCATTATCGGGTTCAATTTTTTTTAATCCAAAAGAATTAACTAAACTCGTTGGTGCTAGAGATTGACGAGTACTACCAATTTTTCTCTTAAGTGCCGAAGCTAAATTTGGAAAATAGAAAACAATCAATATTATTTAAATATTAAATTAAATATCAATTTTTTAAATATAATTTTAGATGTTACAAAAATTGTTTTAGTTTTAATATTTACCTGAAGTAACATTGAGAGAAAGATCGTGCAAACTCGTCGTAGATTTGTGACGAGAAATAAAACGAGCACCTGCTACAGAATTTAAATTCGACTTCTTGTCACTGTCTGGAGTTACACCAATCCTAAAAAAAAATTTGAAATGTTAGAAAATATATTTAATCTTAATTTTTTTTTTTTGGATTCAATTCTATCTTACCTTTTGATTTTGAATTTGTTTTTAGGTGTTGTTTTTGGTGTTGTTGATGAATTTTTATCCATTTTGAAAAAAATTTGTTTCAGTTGTTATTATTATTATAATTCAAAAATAAATGAAAACATTTATTTTCCCAACAGATAACATATTTCAAATCAATACCAACACATTTTTTAAACAAAACATTTAACTTTTTTGTTATAAATAAAAATTTTGAGGTTAGGTCACAGAATTATAGCGAATTATTATACTTTTGTAGCACAAAAAATGATCCATCAAATATCGTATTTCAATGTTTTAATGCTATAAAGCATCGCTGATATAAAAATTATTAAAAATAATCTAAGTAAATTAATATTTTTCACTTTAAAAACAGTATAGAAAGGTGAACAAAACGGTTTCTGTCAAAATCAAAACACCATTAACGTCAATTAACGTTACGCACCGTACGTGTATTGCGTGTAGTTATACATAGTTACCGAAGATTGCATAAAGTTAGAGAAATTCGAGGTTATGTTTATCAATTTTGACATAACCGCATAAAAGTTAATTGAAATTTGATAGAAAAATACTTGTATTTAAATTATAATATATAACTAGAAACGAATAATAGTGATAAGCGATATGTGATAAGATTATAATTACCATTACCTTTCTGTGTCAATTAAACATTCTTTTAGTGACGATTTTCTAAAAACCATGAACGAGGTAAATTACTCTAAAAATATTTATATATTTATAAATAGGCTTTTGTTATAAATATAATATAATTTTTTTTTATAATTAATTTTAGTTTTTCACGATTAATATAGATATTAATTATGAAAAACTAAACGTAAATGAATTTTCAAAATATATTTTTTAATATAGTCATATCTAATAAATTATTCATTATTTACTCTTTGAATATTAAACATTTTTTTTTTGTCATAAATTATTATTACAGACAAAGAAAAGAGAAGTTCCATCCACAATGAGAAAAGTTCTAGCAGTAGATGCTTATATTACAGATAATTTTGTAAAAGCTGTGGATAAATTTTTGCCTTTCCGTTCATTAAAGACGCATTATCAAGCTCTAGAGGTAATAAAATAAAATTTATCATTCTCTAAAAAAAAAATTAATCTAAACTGCTTTCAGATATCATGTCATGGAATTCTTTGGATCGCGTCTTGGCTCGCTTTTATATGGATATTAAATAGTAAAAATCTATATCAAATGCAAGTTAACTTTTTAATTGGTAAGTAAAATTCAATCAATTATAAAATTATTTCCAAAAATTAAAAAACTTCAAAAATTTAATTTTTAAAAATTATTTTACAGGTATATTTACCGATATTTTAATTATTGCTATTATAAAAGCATTAGTGCGAAGGCGAAGACCAACGCCAAATACTGATATTTTTGGAATAGGTCCTGATAAATTTTCCTTTCCATCTGGTCATGCTTCGAGAGCATCTTATATAGTTTATTTTTTCTTCAATTTGTGGCCAGTGAATTTTATTTTCATTCCTCCTTTATTGGCATGGTCATTTAGTATTTGCCTCTCGAGGGTTTTAATGAGAAGACACTATTTACTCGACGTTGTTGGAGGAATTTTACTTGGAATTACAAATGGAATTTTAATCAGTACGATATATTTAACTCAAGAAACAAGTACAGAACTCATTTCATGGATTACTGATGAGAAATTAGACGGTGGTGAATATCACGTATGAATAACAAAATTCATATCGTTTAAAGAATTTATTTTTTGAATTATAAAATTTTGAAAATTCATAAGAAAATTCTTTACAAAAAAAAAAAAAATATTTTTTCTTTCAAAACTATAATTTCCAAAGTGACTGTTTTTATCTAATATTTAATTGCCTTAAAAAAATGTTGCACATTGAAAGTGATAAAATAAAAAATTTATTTTCTAATCAAGATTAATTTATTTTTTTCACTTTGATTTCTAAATTGTAATATAGGTAAATAGAATGCAAAAGGTCTGTTACTGAAAAGAAATTTATTTTAATTAAAAACAAAGAGTTTTGATATACATAGAGTATATAATTTTCACGTAATAGGATTTAATTAAGAATAGTTAAAAGAAGAAATTTATTTTCATATTAAAAATTCTGCCTTATTGTTTAGAAAAATACATATTAAAATCTAACGCAAAAAAATGTTAAAATATTGCAAGAAATTTAAGGATATAACAATAAATAACGTAAATTAAATTCTAAATCTTAAAAAAAAAAAAATAAAATTCAATCTTAAGTAAAAAAAAAAACAAGAAATAAAAATTTAATATTTACAATTATAAGGAAACTATTTATAATCAAAGGAGGTAAATATATAAAATTTGATATTTTTTAACTATAAAACTAAGAATTTGTAGATTATTTTTGCGTGCGCTAATCAATCTCCTATTTTCGCGTAATGTTTAATTATTTTGCCATTCTATCTTTAATTTCTAAGTTATGTTGCACAAAAAAAAGAAGAAAAAAAAACTAAAATTCGTGAAATTAGGTCCGTATTTTATTTTATAAATACTAAACATAAGATCAATATTCATATCGGTACTTTGTGCTGCTTTCACTATTCTCGTGCATTTATTAAATACCTATTTAGAAATATACGCAATAAAATAATAAATTATCAAATATTATTCTGAAACAGGCAAAGCTCTTTTTTAATAAAAATGAATTGTTCCTCGTTTAAAAAATAATAATTATTCGAAAAGTTGGATTAAATTTTTTTTTTGACTTTACAAAAAGTCTATATAAATCTAGGATTATATAGTTTACACCAGTTACAACAATTTTACCAAAAAATGAAAAAATTTTTCAAGGCAGTTTCGACATTAATGTCGAAAAATTTGCTAAAAAAAGAAAAAATTATTTCTATTGTGCAAAAACTCAGAATTGACACGGACGATTTTTTTTTTACTCCTTCCCTTCTTTTTGCGGGTAAAAAAATTTACCACAGAGGCGAATGGTAAAATTTGAGATCGAGATGACCAGCTTGAGTGGTTCCTGCAACTTCCTGTCCGCAGGAAGGCGAGGATTTCACGCTATTTTCCCTTGGCTTCTCGATAATTTCCGATTCACTATTTTCCGGAATTGACTCAACGTCCGGCTGTGAAATTGATGGCACTTCTGATGGTGGTGGTAATATTTCTGGCTCCTCTGGAACTGCTGGAGTTTGTGGAACTGAAGGAAGTGGTTGATCATCCGGTAATATTGGAGTTGGAACTGTTGATAATTCATTGTTTCGATTTTTTTGCTCCTCCTCAGAATATAAACTGAGTGAACGTGGTCGTTCGAGTTTTGCACTTGGTGTCTGTAGACCACGTCGAAAATCCGAAATTTCACTGTAAAAAAAAAATTTGTTCCACCATCGGGTGAAAAAATATTCCGATTCATTCACAAAACATAAATAAAATAAAAAAAAAAAAAAAAAAAAAAGGTGAAAATGTGTCGCACGTACATATAAATGCAAAACGAAAGGTGAGGAATAAAAATAAAAAGCACTGATATAACAAAGGAAATAATTTTAATTATCAAAATTTTTTACGACATTATAAAATACAGCGATAAATAATAATATAATCTATGCTTGTGTCTTTCTCGGGAATATGAAATACACTAAAAAAAATTAAGCTCACTTTTCTTACACTACTGACTATTTTGCTACTTTTTTTTTTTTTGAAAAATAAAAAGTGCTAAAAAATATTAAAGAAAATCACAATAAAGTGGAAGACTTGTCTTCATATCAGAAATTTAATATATACGATCCTTTGAAAGACACATAATTAAAATATATAAATATAATAAATACTCATAAATTTAAATATCTATTTACAAATGATCAAAAATAAAAATTTATGAATTTTTATATCGAAAACTTGAAACTTCTAAAGTTACAAGTACTGTTCATTTTTGTCATTTGATGACTAATAAATTCTTCTAGAAAAATAATAATACTTTCACCAAAAAAATTTAATTCAGAACTATAAGTGCATTTTATGAATCACCGGCGAAAGTCTGTTTTCCCATCCAGTAATGATCCTTCCACTGACTAACAAAACGTAAAAAAAACAATATAATTAAATAAAATAAATAGCGACAGCAAAAAAAAAAAAAATAGATATTGAAGAATTTCCATTTCATAAAAAAAAAAAATTTTCTAATTTTTTAAATTAAATTTTTTCAATTTAATTTTTTAAGAAATTTTTTTTAAATGGAAATTCTTCAATACCTAATTGACATTGAACAATTTTTTGTAAAAAAAATTCACTTTTTCAAATTGCTTGAAAAAAATTCAGCGTGAAAAAATAAATACGACAACAATGATTACAATATTGAAAATGTATAACATGCTTATAGTTATCGACTAAATTTTGAATTTCACATTAAATTAAATGCAAATATTTATGATTTAGGGAAACATTTTTTTTTTTTTTTTTGAAATTTATTTTAATTTTAGTCGACGACTAGGAACAAAGCTTGATAAACTCACCTTGCTCGCTCGGCAGATTGGCCAAGCACTGCAGTGTTATGAATTATCTAGAAAAAGCGTTAATCTATTATTAAATTATTCAGTTACATATTACACCACATGCCCCAGTTTTTAAATTTATTGTTAATATTATAAGGCAATTAAACATTGAAAACCAACACAGGTAAATTAATTATTAATTAATTATTACTACTAAATTAATAATTAATTGATAATTATTAAATTATTGATCAATTTATTATGTAATTTTTATTAAACCAAAAAAAGTATTTCTTTATCGAAAAATCGGAAAAAATTATTGCAAAGAATAATCATTTTTTTTTTAGTGTAAATTTCTATATGTAACAAAAAAGAAAAATTTGCCATTTATGTAAAACTGTTAAAAAATATTTGAATGATTAGAAAAAAATTAAATTAATTAAAAATTAAAAAATTAATTAAAAATTTACAGTTGCCATAGAGCAAGGTGGACGGGCGGCAGCATATCTTCCAAAAGCACTTCGAGGTAAAACACTTGCGGATTGTGAGCTTCCATTCAGGCTAAAAAAAATAATATTTTTTTAAACATTTTATTTTTTTAATTTTATTTTTTTTTTTTATATTTTAGAGAAAAAAATACCTCCTTCCATTTTCACTACTGCTACTATAACAGGAAGATCTGTCAGAAAACTTGGCCGATTGACTGTATCTGTTACCCTTTGTTTCCTGTTCCTCTGAAACAGAAAAAAAATTGAAAAAAAAATTTTTAATAATGAAGACAAAAAAAAAATTAATTTTCAAAATAAAAAAAAATTCGGAAGATAATTTTTCATGGACAATATATAAGGTGAAGTTTCATGAACTTATAAATCAACTATAGCATTTGTATAGCATTGACCGCGATTTTAAACTCACCCTGGAATTACCAATTTAGGACGAGTACCGCGTCAGCCAAGCCGATTATAAAGTACAACTTACAAAGTAAGATTGATCGTCCTTCGATGAATCTTGGCATGTCTTACATGAATCAAGTCTATGTTAAAACGAGCGAGTTTAATAATACTTATAATTATTCTTGGAACACTTTCGATTATAACAATCATCTTTTCTTCAAAAAAAAAAGTATAATTAACTGGAAGTCGATAATTTGTAATTTACAACAGTATTTCGATCCTACATAACATTCAATTACAAAATTGAAACTTTAATTTTTAAAAATCTTTTCTTAAAAAAATTCAAACGAATTAAATTCTAAATTAAATTTTAATTTAAACAAATAATTTAAATAAAATCTTAATACAACTATGCAAAAATTGATTTAAAAAAAAACTTTCATTATATTTCAATGCTGACAAAAAAAATCAAATTTAATATCCAAAGTCGATTAATTCGTTCATGACTTTCTAAATGAGAAAATTTTCAATTATTATTATAGAAACTTTCCTTCCCATTTTAATAATTAGGTTATCAGCCTTTTTCAATCTGATATAGTCTTCTCTAAAGTATCGATTCGTGAAAGGTTTGATTAGTTTCAAGTATATCAGAACTCTGATTAAACTTCCTCAGATATGAACTTTACAGAAGTGAGATATGCTGAAAAAATTATGACTCTATACAGTTTCGCGTGATATTTTTTTTTCTCCTTCGTTTTTTTTTATATAACATTAAGATCACGAAACGATTAAAGTTCAATAAAACTTCCTATATATTTAAGACAAAGAAAAAATTTATATAAAAAAATCATACCATCATCGAAAAATCCTTCGAAGACGACAAATTTATTATTTTGCGGTATTATATCAGTTAATCCGTAATATTTGTTCATAAAAGATAGAAATTTCTCAGAGGGACGATCGATTGCTAATTTCACTGGTCGTAGATTTTCCTCCTAGAAAAAATGAAACAGAAAAAAAAATACAATTAAAAACATTAATTTTTTTACTTTCTCGAAGAAAAAGCTATTTATTTCAATTCTTTATATATAGAATTTAATTAAAATAAAAAAAAAATTAAATGAATAAAAAAAAATTTATTTATATATAAAATTGTTGCCTAAAAACATGAGAGAGATTAATGAACTTTTTGCGAATGTTACGATAAGAAGATTAAAAAGGGTAGATAAGGAGCAAATTGCCAAATCGAAACTATAAACGCAAACGAAACAAGTTGTTCGAGTTCAGTCACCTTACAATGTTAGCTACCCACTTCACTCATGCATAATAAACTTTTGTAATACTGCTACCAAGATCCATTGTTGATGAAACTTTCGAGGGATATAGAAAGTAGAACTGATTTATTAATTTTCAAGAAAATAAAATAAAGATGCTTTTTTTATTAAAAAAATTAATTTTTTTTTACAAATAATTTTAATTAGCATTTAATATTAATTTCTTTAGCTATAATTAAATAAAATAATAAAAATAAATACTAAACTAATTTCATAGAAATACTAACAATAATGATAGTAATAATAATAATAATAATAATAATAATAATAATAATAATAATAAAAATAATAATAATAAATAAATAAATAAATAAATTTGGTAATAAAAAAGCTACAATTTTGTTGATAAATAAAATTGTCAATGAAAAATTTTCACTCAGTTGAATTAAAATTTTCCGCTGAGAAACATATTAAAGAACATTAATCTTGTTTAGAGGACAACAACGGGATCTTTGGTTAACACGCGACATGCTCTTTTCTCGAACAATAAATTTCCCTAAGAAAATTCCTGTATCGTATAATATATATATATTTTCACACGAAATAAGTGGGATCCACGCGAACGCTATTTGTTCATTTAATTCATGTCAAACTTTACGGAAACAAACATTAATATCACTTGTTAAATAAATATCTTTTCGTACAAGATAAATTTTATGCTTTCTAACAAATGGAAAAAAAAAATTTACCCCAATTACTAATATTCCTGACAAAATAGTTAATAATAATTATATTTCTAAAATTAATTTCTAATAACAAATAAATACCTATGAAAAATAAATATTAAAAAAAAAAATATAAAAAATAAATTTATAATATATTTCATAAGTAAATATGGAAAAAATAAAAATAAAACAGATATAAAAAAAAGAAATAAATTTCTAAAAATATAACGATAAAAAAAGAAAAAAAAAATCAGTAATTCAAAAATAAATATTTACTTTTTTCTATTTATTTATTCTCACTATTTAAATGAAAAATTCTAAATTTTTTCTTAAACTAGAAGAAAAAAAAGTATGTTATTGCATCGAGTTTCTTATAAATATAATAAATGTATAATATGAAAAGTAAATCAATACCATAAACTATTAATGACAAAAATATGGAAATTAAGAAAATCAAATATTCTAAAGGATGACAAATACATTATTTAACCTAGTGAAAGAAAGTTTATACTGTCAAAGCATAATTCTCCTTGCAATATAAAGGAACCTTGATGATTTGCTTTTACAAATGTATATATATGTACAATGACACAGTTTAAGCCATAATTTTTCCTACTTATAGAATCCACGTTGATATGTGTCGACTTGGTTGTACGAACAAAACAATGAACAAGATCAATAATCTATAAACTTACAGTGAGCATGTGCTGATAGAGAAGATTGCCCAACCCCATTCGTTGTCGGGATTCGTGAATATAAAAATCCAATATACATCTTGGCTTCAATTGATAATGGATCCCAGTTTCGTCAAACATAAAAAGATTCTTCGATCCAACTTTTAATAGACCAATTATACTCCCTAAGCCACTGTAAAATAAACAAACACACACAGAGCAATTAATCACCATATTGATTATTCATGAAAATTACATATACACAAGGCCACAAAGGACCCTTTAACACCTATTAAATCAATCCAATAAATATTTATCTTTTCTAATTTCAAACAAAAAAATAAAAAATTTAATGTTAACAAAAATATAGAAATAATTTTTTATTAAATAAAAATGTAAATAAATTTTTTTTTTTTAATAAATATAATGAAAAAAATATTTATTTGATTCAAATAATCGGTTAGTTGACTATTATCAAATAAATATTTACTTGAACCAAATAATTTTTATTTGAATTAAATAAATTGTATTTATTTATCAATAATTTCTCTATTTAATACAAAAACTATAGGTTTAAATACAATTTATTTAATTTAAATAAAAATTATTTGGTTCAAGTAAATATTTATTTGATAATTGGCAAGTAATAGTAATTTAAATCAAATAAATTGTTTTTTTCAGTGAATGTTAATAAAAATTGTCAATAAAAATGTAAATGTGTTGGGTTATATTTTCCACAGAATAAAACACTATAAATTGGTTAAATAAATATGTAAGATTTATTTAAATATAAAAGTATTCGTGACAATTTGTACACAGATTTAAACAAGAAACTTTAGTAACGCAGTTACTCAGCTGAAGGTTTCTTAAAGACTAAATTACAAATCATACCTGGATCTTGAGGGTGGCAAGAGTAATAAAAATACGGTTCCTCAGCTACAACATTGCTAATAGGTAACCAGTGAAAATGAAGGAGAACACAATATTCAAAATACATAGAAATATTATTTTCAACACTCCCACTTATTTTTAATGACCTGATATACGTAATTGTGTTCTTAAGAAACAAAATTGCTGTTTTGCTATTGGTTTAGTAAATATGTCAGCTAGTTGATCTTTCGATTGAACATATTCAATTTCAATTTGTTTCTTATCAATCATATCGCGTATGAAATGAAAACGTACATCAATGTGTTTTGTTCGTTTATGATGTTCGGAATTCGCCGACAATTTTATAGCTGCTTGATTGTCAACAAGAATTTTTACTGTTTCACATTTTACATTTAATTCGTTTAAAAAACAACGCAACCAAACTGCTTCTTTTGAACCATAACATAAGGCTACATACTCAGATTCTGCCGTAGACAAAGAAACTATACTTTGACGCTTACTAGACCACGATACAGGTGCTCCATTCAACATAAAAACAAAGCCACTTCTTGATTTTCGTGTATCAAGGCACCCAGCATAGTCAGAATCAGTATAACCAATTAACGAACCTAAGCTCCCACTGTTTCCAAATATTATACCATAGTTTATTGTTCCTTTCAAGTAACGCAAAATTTTCTTTATAAATTCCCAATGTTGTTTACCGTAACAATCAAGAAATTGGCTGGCATAATTAACAGCAAATTCAATGTCAGGTCGACTAAGTCTAGCTGCAAATAAAAGAGACCCTATTACTTCGCGGTAAGGAATAATCGCAAATTCAGTGTCGTCTTTATTTATGGTCGGTTTACAAAGGTATAAACCCGGCTCAGCAGGTATACTACTACATTTTGCATCCTTCATATTAAACTTCTCTAAAATTTTTCTAATATAACCTTTTTGAGTAATTTTCAAAGACTTATTTTTACGATCTCGCTCTATTTCTAAGCCTACAAAATCACACGCATCATCAACAGTAATTTTGAAATAATTTTTCAAAACGTTAAGCACTTCATTTATTGCACACATGTTTTCACATATTAAAAGGCCATCATCCACATAAAGAGCTAAATACACGGTGAATCCTTCTACTTTTCCTACAAAAACACACTTATCACTTTCAATATTGTTGAAGTCAAATCTTTGGAGAAAATTAACAAACTTTTTATTCCAACATCTTGGAGATTGCTTTAAACCATATAAGCTTCGTTGGAGTTTGTAAACAGAATCACTATCATCTTCTTTGATGTATCCAGGAGGCTGTTGTAGATAAATTTCTTCTTCGAGTTCACCATACAGGAAGGCTGTCTTAACGTCAAATTTCTTTATTTCATAATCTCGATCTGCTGCAATTGCTAAAAGTATTCTTATGGATTCATATCTGACTACCGGTAAAAACGTTTCAAAGTAATCAATGCCTTCACGTTGAGAAAAACCTTTTGCTACCAACCTGGCTTTGTATCTCTTGATATTTCCATAAGAATCCGTTTTTGTAGCGTAAACCCACTTGCAACCAATTGCACGTTTACCTCGTGGAAGTTCAGTCAACACCCATGTCTTATTTTCTTCAAGTGCTTGAATTTCCTCATCCATTGCTGTCTTCCAATTTAGTACATTATCACTTGCAATAGCTTCATGATAAGACATAGGAATTGTATCGGCGAAATAAGCAACTGGTACTCCATATCGATCTGGTGCTTGTATTTGACTTCGATCTCGTAATTGTCTTCTGTGATGCTCTCCATTTTCTTCCACAGGTGCTTCTGCATTAATTTGTTGCAAAGGATCTTCATTGATAGGAACATTTTCAATATCTTCTGATTGTTGATCAATATTAAAATCAATATCCATTTCAAAAGTTTTATTTTTATCGGAATTTTCAGAATAAATATTATTTTCATTAAAGTCTACATCGCTGCTAATATAAACTTTATGATTCTCATTATCCCACAGTCTATAGTTCGAGGACTCTCCATCATAACCTACGAAAATAACCTTTTTGCTCTTTGTGTCAAATTTTCTTCTATTTTCCTTTGGTACATTCAAATAAGCGTCAGCTCCAAACACTTTTAAGTGTTTTACCTGTGGTTTATGGCCAAACCATTCTTCATAGGGAGTATTCGATCTTCCTTGTTGTAAAATTCTATTTTGGATGTAGCATGCAGTATTAATTGCCTCAGGCCAAAGTTTACTATCAACCTTTTTTCCTAATAGCATAGTTCTGGCACTTTCCACAATCGTCCTAATCTCACGTTCAGCTCGACCATTTTGTTCGTGTACATAAGGCGATGACAATTCGTGTACAATACCATTTTCTTTCAGGTATGCAGTAAATTCACCCGAAATATATTCTCTTCCATTATCTGAGCGAAATATTTTTATTTTTTGTCCTAACTGTGTTGAAACAGATGCTTCAAACTCTCGAAATTTCTCAAAAACTTCAGATTTATGTCGCAAAAAATAAACCTTTCTAAAACTTGTGCATTCATCCTTAAAAAGTACAAAATATTTTGAACCGCGTGGAGACTCTACGTTTATTGGCCCACAAACGTCGCTATGAATCTTTTCACCAGGTTTATACCTTTTTCCATTATTCGAAACATAATGAGATTTACGCGATTGTTTGCCCATAACACATGTTTCACAGAAAAAATCTAATTTAGCACTTTTTGAATTACATATGTTAAAATTCTCACAAGTATTCTTTACTGCGCGAATATTAACATGACCCATTCGTTCGTGCCAAAGCTTCAATTTAATTGCTTCTGATTCTAATTTAACAATATTACATTCAATAGGCAATTTAACGTTAAATAACATTCTATACAAAGTTTTATATTTAACACCAATGGATGATATCTCACCATTCGCATCGCGTATTTCGCATTTTTCCCTATAGGCGTGAAAGGAAAAATTATTATTGCTTATTGTACCAATCGAAAATAGGTTACGCTTTAAACCCGGAACTAACAGTACATTTTTGAGTTCTCTTGTTTGTAACATACCATTTATTTCCTCTTCAATGATGATTGTGCCCTTACCAGTTGCTGATAAAATCTTGTCGTCGGCTACTTTAACAAAATGATCTTCAATGGTTTCGTCGATTGATGTAAAGAAATCACTCCTAAAAGTCATGTGCATACTAGCTCCAGAATCAGCAATCCACACATCTCTGTCTTCATCACTTGTGTTCGAATAAAGAGCAATAATGTCACAAATATATGCTGTTGCTGTCTTAGTCACTTTTTCACTGCTTTTATCAGAACTATTGTTGTCATTTTTTTTCGGACACTCGCGCACCCAGTGACCAATTTCCTTACACAACATACACTTTGTTCGTTTTTTCAATTCCTCAATCTTCACCTTTTTTTTTTTTTTATTATTTAAGGACGTTTTTTGAACTTGAAGCGCGAGCACTGACACATTATCGTTTATTTCAGAATTTCGCTTGTCTTCTTTAATCAATCTAGCTATAAGATTAGATTTCTTCTTTTCCGTTTCGGAAGTACAGTCCCATGCGATCCGGAAGAGCGAAAAACTGTTTGGTAAGCTGCTAATAATTTTAGAAATTATTGCTGTTTCTGAGACTGTTTCTCCAGCATCACTTAATCTTTTACATATGGTTTCCAATCTTTCAATTTGGATAGCCATATTTTCTCCTTCAGTCATTTTAAAGGAATAAAATTGTTCCCATGCATTTTGCTTAGCATCTACACTGCTATCGCCATACAAATCTTTCAATTTCGTCCACATTTCATCAGGTTTGGTGCAATTAATTAAATGTGGATGCAATTTCTTTTCTATTGAAGAAATTAAAATCACAGCTGCTTGTGACGATTTCTTCATCCACTTTTTCCAGTCCTCTAAAGCGTTTGCCTTATTTGGTTCATCTTCTGTGCCATTTACAAAACCTGTGAGTTCTTTTGCTTGTAAAAGAAAAGTAACTCCAAACTTCCACATGGAGTAATTCGTCCCATCAAGTTTTGTAAAATCTAAAATTTCCTTATCAGACATGATTTTGAGAAATTTGCTATTCAGACACTTCACCAATTAAACAAAAAAACACTTCACTTTTAGTACACGCTGATTGTCAAGCTTGAAACACTTTTCACAAATTTATAGTCTGGCGCAGTGGAAGCGTGCTGGGCCCATAACCTGTGAGGTTATATTTTCCACAGAATAAAACACTATAAATTGGTTAAATAAATATGTAAGATTTATTTAAATATAAAAGTATTCGTGACAATTTGTACACAGATTTAAACAAGAAACTTTAGTAACGCAGTTACTCAGCTGAAGGTTTCTTAAAGACTAAATTACAAATCATACCTGGATCTTGAGGGTGGCAAGAGTAATAAAAATACGGTTCCTCAGCTACAACATTGCTAATAGGTAACCAGTGAAAATGAAGGAGAACACAATATTCAAAATACATAGAAATATTATTTTCAACAAAATGAAAAAAGAAATTTTCGAAAAATTGTCAAATAAAATTTATACAATCGAATTAAAAAGAAAATAATAAGGGACAGGAAGAGAAAAATAAGAGAATGAAAATTGGAATTAAATTACATTAAGTAAGCCAGCATTGAAGGCCACTTCAATTTGCATAATAAAATCGTCTCCAATATCATTAATGAAGATATTTCGACTAACGACAATATCGATTGATTCCAAAACTAGTTTATATGTCGAATTTTCCATTAATCGTGCAATTTTCCCTTTCTAAATTTTATTATTTAATTTTTTCCTTTTATTAATTTTTATTAAAATTTTTCTTTGAAACATTGATTTAATAATAAATATCATCTTATTTTTGCTGCAAATTTTTAAATAAATAATTATCTAAATAAATTTTTTCAATTTCTCATCTACAAATATATAAAAAAAAAACAAATTTTGTATAATATTAAAATAAACTATTTTTTTTCTTATTTTGTATAATAAAAAAAAAGAAGAAAATAATTGTAAAATTACAAGTGTTTTAAGTACACAAACTAATCGTGTTGTAAAAAAGGGTGAAAGCACCTTTGAATTATAAAACAGGGAGTGGCTTACATAATGCAAATTAATGTTTGTGATTATTTTTAAAAGAAGGGGTTGGAAAAAAAGGCCTGGCCAATTTCCAATTCTTATTGAACAATCGAAGTCTATTGACCATAGAGTAAAAAAGAGAGATATATAATTTATTTTTTTTCTCCAACAAAAGAGGTCAAAACGTGAAAGGTTTTAGAAAATTTCTTTTCATCCATTTTTCAAGAGTCAGCAAGCACAAGAAATCCATGACGGGATCCAAGTTTCTATTGTGTAAAAAAAAAGAGAAGACATTTTTTTCCGTGTTAAAAAAATTGGTTCCTCGAAAAATTTGTATTAAAAACATATATAAAAAAAATAAAAAAAATAAAAAAATAAAAGAAATAAAATAAAAGAAAAATACATACAAAAAAAAAAGGAAAATAAAAATCGTTATTCAATAAACCAAATATTTCAATCTCAATTAATATTTGTCTTCTAAAATTGAAATATAATAATTTAACTCTGCAGTCTAGACTTTCAACCATTTTCACATCGATCCATTTCGAGTCTTTCTTGTTATTTAGTTTCCCCAGCTCGGATAATTTCTGTACCATTTTCCCTTTATCTAAATTATTACTTTTGATTTTAAAAAATATCTTAATTTTTTAAAATATTTTTCTTTTAAGAAATTTTTCATTTTCCTCCGAAAAAGAAAATTTACTTTATTGGAAGCATAACAATAATAATTTTAAAAAAAACATTATTTAAATTAATAATAATAATAAATAAATTAATAATTAATAATTTAAAAAATATATTACTTGTTGCCTTCATTATCAACTAATATGTAGACTGTATGGTCCGAATTTCTCAATTTTGTCGCACTTGTTATTGGTTTACTGAGCCCTTGTGCTTTGGATGATGCCTCGCCTATTTCGTCCAAAATTCGAGTCAGCTGCCTCTGGCATTCGCTAAAATAAGAAAAAAACCACATAAATTGTTAGTAAAAAATAGCTTTCAATATTTGAATATTTAAAAAAAAATTTTTTGTAATTATTTTACTCTAAATCCAAAGATTAAAAATAAAAATAAATTAATTAAAATAAACGAATTAATAAATAATTAATTAAAACAAATATTTTTAATTTACCATTTTTCAAATTCAAATTTAATTTTTCAAATTTTATCATAAAACTAAAAGAAAATAATTTCAATAAATATTTTACAGAATATAATAATTATTATTATTATTTCGTTGAAAATTTACAACCTTGATAATTTTGATAAATTCTCAATAAAATATATAATAATTATATAAAATTTGCATTTCACTTGCATTAATGAGCACACGAATGACCCGCAAGATCCACTTTCAAAACATTTATTATAATCACTATAAATCATTTATTGCTATATATATCAAGTTGCTCCAATTTTTCGTTTCCTTTTTTTTTTATCATCAGCTCATAAACGCGAATTCATTTGCCACTTTTCAAAAATAAAAGAGGAATTACAATCAAATTCTGACTCATTTCTGTCACGCAACATCCTGTTCAACATGCTCGCAATATTCCACAAAAAAAAGAGAGACGATTTTATCACAGGTGTCTAACAGAAAAAGTGTGAAAAGAAATGAAAAAATAAAAATTAGTTTATAAACGAGAAAATTACAGATAAGCACGAAAATTACAAAAGTATCGATTCAGTATGATAAAAAAAAAAAAAATTTAAAGCGAAAAAGAATTATTTTTTCTTCCAAATATCAAATTAAAGTAAATTAACTCAAATTAAATGAAATAAAATAAAATTAATCTAATAACAAATGTGATTTTTCCATTTCTCACGATATGAATTTTTTTTATGGAAATAAATTTCGCTCTCTGAAGCAAAACAGAGGTTTACCGAATAACGGTGTAAAAACACACCACTGAGTTAATTACAAACGCGTAATTCCGTTAGTAAAATCTAAGGGAACGCGATGGAAAGAAAACTTTCATCTTAAAAGAAAAAAAAAAAAATATTCCAATTATAAAATAAAAGAAAACCAGTTTCTTTTTTTCTGAAAATATTTTTTCTACCTGAACAATTTTCCTTCCTTTTATGTTCATTTAATTCTATATAATGATTTAAGTGTGATGTATGATTCAAAACACGTTTTGAAATCAAGGTTGAAAGCTCACGCCTGAGTAACTATATACTATGAATAATTACATATAAGTTTATCAGTCATCGACATTTTAATCATCATACTATTAAAGGCATCATCTAAGTATTAAATTTCCAGATTTTCAACTAAATTGCTTAAAGAGGAAATTAAATTTTTAAATTTAAAAAAAAAATAAAATAAAAAAATGTAGAAAAAAATATGTAAATGTTAATAAAATTAATATTAAATATTTTGAATTAAAATATTTAATTTCAAAAAATGAGTTAAATCATAAAAATTATATTGATGTGAAATACAAAAAAAAAATTAAATAGAAGAATTTATATTTTTTAAAGTCGTAAAAATATTATTTGCAAAAAAAAAGTAAAATATTATGATTTGTATTTTTATTTTCGAAAAGTGTAGTCAAATCTAGGTTTTGAGAACTATTTTATACACACAAGTCCCTTTCGCATCGCGTGTTAGAAAAATGTTTAAATGCGATATTATCAATGCCTTTTTTCAGTTCAGTAGAACAATTCTATGATAGTAAGTCATTTACCTAATGTTTCTCATCCTAATCGAAAAAATGACGGATCAATTTAATTCTAATTTCTCCTCTTTTTTTTAACAATTATTTTTTTTCTCTCTCTCTTGAGATTACCATTTCCTACTTTGCAATTGCGGATTTCCTTCGTGTTACCTATTACATTCTAAAATTCAAGTTTCGCTCTTTACCGTATTCCCTCATGCGTAATATTTTTTTATATAAAAAAAAAAAAAATTCCTCCAACAATATTGTTCGATTTTTCGTTTAACAGAATAATTAACTGCGTTTTTATTAATTTTTTTTCATTAAAAAATAATAAATAAACAAATAAAATAAAAAAATTATTAAAAAATCAAATTTATTATAAAAAATACTTAATTAAAAAAAAAAAAAAAATTTTCAAGAAGGTTAATTTTCGAAAATAGTAAATTATGACACTAAATTTAAGGTTCTAATCAAAATAGATCATTAAAATAATGACGAGAAAAATGAAATCCCACATTTCGCGTAATTATTTGGCAATAACGTAACTATAACTACAGCAGTTTGTTGATATATCAATTTCCATCACGCTACATTCTAAACTTTCGTGACTGTGAGTCACTCTTGAACAATTCTCAACTTTCATAATAGAATAAAAAAAAAAAAAAAAAAATTCGCAGATTTCCTCTTTAATTTCTCATTTTTCTTTATATTCAATTATCTACACTGTTGTTTGAAATAATTTTTTTTTTCATATCATAATCGATAATTTTAAAAAATTAAAATTTTAATAAATAATAAATTGAACAATAAACAATTTTTTTTTAGACCGAAAATTTAAAAATTATTTTTTTGTAAATTAAAATACCATTATACCATTTTGCAGCATATTTTAACTGCCCACGTTGAGTTTTGTCTCTCAACGTCCCACGCAAAAATATTCCAATAAATTTTTCCCCTAAAGAATAGATGCGAAATATTTTATAGAAAATTTAGTAAAAGTAGATAATTTAAAAATTACAATTAATAAAACGAAAAAAATGTTAAATGTTTGTTTTTTAAATATGAAAAATTTCGTTATAAATTATTATTTTTCAAACGATACTACAAAAAAAAAAATAAAATAATTTCCTTATAATGAAAAATTATTCAAAAAGGAAGCAAAGATTAATTTATTTCAATGTCAATATCGCACACGTTTCATTATTTATTATCGCCCACAAGTTTCAAAATCTAAAAATATCGTCTCATTTTTTGAAATTATTACAAAATTATTTATATATTTTTTTCTCATCACTGAATACACGATGAATATAATTTTATGAATAATTGACAAAAAAAATTTTTTTTCCGGGTAGGAAGAATATATATATTTTTTTCAATAAAATATAAGTTTTTTTTTTTTTTATTCTGTCATTGAACAGTGAAAGTGAACTGTACTCAATAATATATATCACAATGGAAGGTTTAACCTTCAATTGCGTTTGTTGCAGACGTTCTTCAGACGTGAAACTTGTATAAGACGTAATCTCCAAAACCGGCAAAAGTCACGCGATGACTAACTAACATTTACATATTATCGAAAAATTATCAAATTATCTATTAAAATTTTGTTTTCATGTAATTGCGCATTTTCTATCAATTTAATTACAATAAGTATATTTCAGTAATTTTTATTATTCTATAAAATTTTATAAGGAAAAATTAACAAAAAAAAATTGAAAAAAATTTTTATTATTTATTTTATTTTATAAAATTTATACAAGAAAATAAATAATAAAAAATTTAAAAAAAAATCTTTTTTACATCTTTACTTGAAAAAAAAACTATTTCCTATTTTTACCAATTAAAAAAAAAGACGAGAATATTATCTCAAGAAATAATATAACTTACATAATGTTATTTACAAATTTTACACGCCAGATAATAGAAGATTTCGTCACAATACACAAAAGGAAAATTTGCGATTAAAGTCTCATTTACAATAATATTAAATTAAAATTGATAAATTATTTAAGACGAATAAAATTAAATTGTATTTTTTGGATAATTTTTAATTTGAACGATTTTTGGATAAGAATTAAAAAATTAATTAAAAATTAAACTAATTAATTAAAAATTTTTAACTTTGAGAAAATAACCCAAAAAAATTCTATAATTATTTTTTAAATAAAAATAAAAATAAATAAATGAATAAAATTAATGAGGCGAAAAAGGTTAAAAAAAGAAAAAAAAAAGAAAAAAAATAGTAAAAAAATAATAAAAATAGTTTAAACAATCAGTAACTCACTTGAATTCCCTTCGATCACCTCGAAAATCCTCAGGAATAAGGGTGTGCGTGATCTTGTTGATTTTCCGGGGCAAGAGTTTATTCACGTTGAACTTGAACTCCATTGCAAAGGTCTCAATCTTCCAAACAATTCCTCGCAGTCAATGTGTCACGTTTGTTTATAAAATCACAAAATTTTTTACTCAAAATAATTTTTGTTCTAATTCTCCTTTTTTTTTTCTTCTCCAATTATTATTATATCCTCTTTGTAATCAATTATACTTTCTTCCATCAATATCACATCAGTAAGATTCTATATGTTTTCTACACAAGTTTCTATTTTTTCTCAAAAAAAAAATATTTTTACAAAATTACGTTATTTCCTTGAAAATTGCAATATAGAATTTCAAAGCATTTTTTTTTCTTTTTTTATTGAAATATTTTAAAACCTCACTTTTTTTTGACAGTTTCTGTCAAGTCACGTGGAGCAACAAATGTCAACAATTATTTGAGAATTATTTTTTTTTCTCACATAAGAAAATCGATTTCAGGCAATTTTTTTCTTTTCTTCCCCTCTTTAGGAAGAGAGATTTTCCGGAAGAAGATAAAGCTCTTGTGTCTCGAATGGATCGATCTTGCGACAACCTCCTAGAAACTATACTGATTTACTCTCCTCTCGACTTTGCATCTTCATTTTTCAATTCCTTGTTTACTTATTATTTCCTAGAAGGAAATTAATTTTTTTTTTTTTTTAGAAAAATGTAAAAGAAAAAAAATTTTTGAGATAAATCTTACAATAAATAAGAGACACTTAAAGTCACCTGGTGGACCTTCGACTGGTCCGGACTTTACTGGCAAGCGTTCCGTTCATTTTTTCCATCAGAAACTCGCGCCGTACGCAAAGCCAAGGCCCCTTCACTGCGCATGTACCTGTTGTAGGTTGTGGATTGAAAGTGCTGAAACACTTTAAAACATACGCAAACACGTTTTTTATTGTTCAAAACCATAAATTATTGCAATTCAAAGCAAAGAGGAGAAAAAAAAAACTTCTTCTTTCGCTCCAATTGTATTTCATTTTCTTCAAAGAGAAGCTGTTAAAAAATTTTCTTCCACAAATCTGAAAGAAAAAGTAAAATCAAATTGAAAATAGAAACCAAAAAAAATACCGAAATTTGAAAAAAAAATTATACAATTCTTTGAGAATTTTTTTTTAACATACAAAACTGAAATATCAAAAATACTTGAAAAAAAATTTTTTGAATTATTTTCTACACAAAAAAATAGTTATCGTACACTATAATAAATACTTTATTAAAATTATGGAATAATCACACTTGTCAGAGAGATTTACAACTTGAAAAAATATATATACAGGAGGTATTTACAAATTAATTGGGAAGGGCAGGTAGACATTTCATTTTCTTTCTTTTTTTTCCACCATGTGTACAAAAATAAAGGTCTTGGAACGTTACTTTCTTTGAATATACATATATATGAATATATATATATATTATAATACATACGCGCAATTTTACGAGATATTTATAATGGATCAATGAAACGCTCTAATTACGCTTGAATCTATAAATATTGTAGTTTTGTTCAGAAAACACCATTATTTGTTTACAATAAAAAAAGGGGTACTAGATGATTAAAAAATATAAATAAATTTTGGAATGTCATGAGTTGTGATCAGTGAAAAAGTAGCGGTTGTTAAACCAGAATCGAGATTTTAACTTAAAATTTTTAAAAATTGTTTTTCTTTTAATTCTACTTTTTGAGTAAAATTAGGTCGTTTTAAAAACCTAAATTAGACACTTAACAAATATGTGAATGAATATTTACAAATGTTGATAATGAAACTTAAATTACGTAAATTGATGATAATTTTTTAAAAATTAATTTTACACATGATTTTGAAGAAAAAAAAAAAAACTTTCTTAGACTATTGGTGTTGATATTGTTATTAAAATTAATTTCACAGCACGATTCTGGGATACAACTTTGTTTTTTTTCTTTTATCAGATACTAAAATCTATGAATGATAATTTGATATTTGAATAAATGAAAAATCTCCGTTTTTAAAATCGTACTTAGAGCCGACTTTCAGTCTCGTCCATTTTGATTATTATTGTTTGCGTCTCATATATATTTTTTAATTTATTAATTTGGACCAAACGTAATTGTACTGATATCGCGGATATTAAATACCGCAATCGCAAATTATTTTCATGCGAAATATTTTAATTTGTAATTTTGCGAATTGTTCTAATTTTCTTTTTTAGAAACATCGAGAAGTTTTCATTTAATTTCCAACAATTCGGCTTTTGTCTATACAATTATGATTGTTTTCCAGCAACATTTAAAGAGAAGAGTGACGTAAAGATATAATTTTTTTTTTTTTTAGATTCTATCATTTTAACTCTTCTTTGGTTTGACGACTGTCTTTGGTTTCTTCTTGAATCCACTTTGATCCCTGCATTTTCTTTTTTTTCGATGCGAAACTTTTAACGATGGTTTCTCAACGTATAAACGCTTTTGTCATAAATTTGTCTCCTCGACAAATTCTGTTCTTTGTAGTTGTTTACTCTCGTCAATTCCAACAAAATATGTGGTCACAAAACCCTTTGGTTTTACCCATGTTTCACCTCTTAAATGACATTTCACGCCATTTTGCTCTAAAACTGATGCCGTCTCCTTAGTAACCTGCAAATAATTTTTAATTTTAAAATAAATATAAAAAATTAATATTTTGTAAATATAATTTTTAATAATTAAACCTGAATTTTTCCAGCGACACCAGTTGTGTCCATTCGCGATGCCATATTAACAGCGTCTCCCCAAATATCGTAAAGTGGTTTTTGAGCACCAACAACACCGGCTGTGACCTCACCATGTGATATTCCTATTCTCAATCTAATTTTTAAAAAAATTAATATTTTTCAAAATTAAATTCACTGAAAATTATTTTAAAAAAATAAATTCTTACACGTAGGGTTTATTGTAAGTAAATGATTCTGCATTCATTTTGTCAAGAACAATAATCATTTGTGCAGCGAATTGAGCCATAAGTTTCACAACATCATAATGTCCCTGTGTATCATCATTGCTTCCTGTACTTCCGGTACTTCCTGTACTGTAAATAGAATCTCTTCTCGATGCCTCCAATCCACAAGCCGCCATATAAGTTGTACCTTTAAAAATTTTTACAATTTCAGATTTAATTTTAATAATTTTTTATAAATTACTTCAAAAAAAAAAAAAAAAAAAATGATAATTTAATATTAATCATAAAATATCATTTACCAGCTATCTTAATTTTTTCGATTTTACAATTGAAATCAGATTCGAAGAGAAGCTTGTCAAATTCACAAATAATCTCATTTAAGTCAACCAAAATATTGCTCTCATCAATTGACAAATCCGTGAGTGAGGCAAACATTACTGCTACATTTTCATGTGCCTCGTGATAAAGTTCATTTTCCTCTGTTCGATTCATATTTAGATAAAATTCCGCTGCAATGAATAACAATTGTTTGTTTTATTTTATATATCAGTTATAGATTAATAAAATCTCCAATAAAAATCAAAAAGGATTCCCATCACCAGATAAATAATTAATTCATTAAATTTCCTTATTAAATTTTTTTTTTTTTTGAAAAAAATACAAACCAACGTGTTCAGGGAGGATGTTCCTTAGCAGCAATTTGTTTGCATTTCGAGTGTGAAAAGCTTCGTCCTGCTCCTTGGTCAGCTGTCGTTTCCATTGGTAGTCCAGTCTGCTTAAGTACTCTGCCTGAATGAATCGTCGTGAACGTGAACTTGAACGAATGATGAAACGAAAAGGATCGCTCGATAATTCGAACTTTTTGAAAAATGAACTCAAATATATCATGGACTTGAATTGAATTTGATTTTCTTTTCAAAATTACAATTGGGGGAAAAAATCAAAAAAACAGAAAAAAAAATGAATTTTAAAAAATAAAAAATTAATCCTTTCGTTTTATGCATGCCCATGATCCTTAACTTGACTAAACTCACCTGACGATCTATTAGATGCAAGGAGAAGGTCAAAAAAGCAACACTTAGGCAATGTGCCAATTCTGGTTCCAAATACGGATTCCATGTTTCACCAGACTGCAAACGGGAAAAATTATTAATTCCTCAATTTTTTAATTATCGAAATTTAAAAAAAAATATATATATATACCTTGAATATTAGAGCTCGATTGTACCATATATTCCAACTGTAGAAAACAACTATAAACACTCCAATTAGCCATTTGAGAAGATAGTGAACTCGCAAAAAGAGAAAACTTGTCAGAATCGCCAATGAACAGGTTTCCGTCATTTGCTGAAAAAAAAATCAATTTGAAAGTAACAATTTTGGTAATTAAATAATTAACGTAATTAATTTACGTAAAACTGAATTTTATTTACCCATGGTGTTGACATGCAATCCAAATTAGCTGAACCAACTTCCGCAATGTCCGAAGTTACATTGTTCGATGAAAGTTTATCCGAATTGTGGCACTCGAACTAAAAAAAGATAAAAAAAATTATGCTTTCTGTTCAATAAATTAATATAATTATACTGACAATTAATAAAATTATATTGACAATTATTAAAATTATATTGACAATTAATAAAATTATATTGACAATTAATAAAATTATATTGACAGTTAATAAAATTATATTGAGAATTAATATAATTAAAATTAATAAAAATATATTGAAATTAATAAAATTATATTTACATACCAATAAATCGAGCATTGCGCATGTAGCCAACATAATTGAAATTACTAAATAAAGTATAGTTCTCAATAAAGCGCTCCAAACGACCTAAAAATATTTTTATTCCTTTATATATTTAATTTTTTAAATATTTTTAAATTCCATAATTCTCTTTCTCAATTAAAAAATTTTTTTTTTCCATGAGATATTAAAAACAAACCTTGATACTTGTCTGATACATAAAATGAAGAAGTTTATTCGTTGGTTGAGGGAAATGTCCCTCATGTTCATCATGAGGATCTTTGTATCTATTCCAAATAAAATGCATCCAAGTCAATGGTATCAATGCTATGAGAAAAAGCATTACCACCGTATAACCAACAGATGTTGTCAAATGCCATCTAGAAATTAAATTATATTTTGTAAATATATTATTTATTTATATTATTTTAATTTATTATTATTTATCTTTATTTTATAAATTATAATTTTCTATTTCTTTGTTTTTTAATTAGTTTTAAAAATAAATTCCATCTTTAATTTAGAGGGAATTAAAAAAAAAGTCTTTCAAAATTAATTTTTCTTGAAAAATAGAAAATTCAAAATAATAATTATAATTTTCATACTGGGAGAGTGATAGAGAAGGAACCAAAAAAATAAGACCCATAGAGAGTAGAACGAGAGCTGCGCAACCAACGTAAAATTTGAAAAGAGGATCTGGTTCTTTCCAAAATGGTATCTCCCAACTTCTATCAGGAAACGTTAAGAAAAGAGGATTGATATGTTCCCATTTACACCATTGCCTGGAAAAAAAATTCAATTTTTACAAAAAAAAGTTCGTTATTAATTAAAAGAACCTAACAAAATTTATTTTCAGTAAATCGTCACATTTATTTCAAATTAAAAAAAAATTTAATTAATGTTTTGTAAAGAAATTTATATTTATAAAAAATTGATTTATATTTTTGAAAAATTATTTAATTGGAAAAAGGTGATATTTCATTTTTTTTCATACTAAATATAAATTTTAATTTTTATATAACTTTCCAAAATAGAAATTTGTAAATTTAAAAAGAAAAATAAAAAAAAGCAGATCACTGAATTAAATGAAAACTAAATTAGAAAATCATTTACACTAACTCCCATTTGCTGAGTGGCATTTGCTTAATAGCATTCTCCATTTCAGCATCGGCCGCTTTTAGCATAAGATGATAATCCTTGAGACATGAGTCCATAAAGTGAGTTCTTCTTCGATAGCTACTTGCAAAAACATCAGCATGATTATTCATTGTCGATGTGAGTCTTCTTGTACTTCTTGCCGATGGTCCAATTGTCGTGCTAGGTCGTACATTATACCATCTCACATAATGTTTACTCGTCGGTGGTGGAGTACTTGGTGACAAAAGTGTCAAGGGGTTCTCGCTGTTCTGGAACAAAGGTTCGCCTGTCAATTATTTGCATTGAAAAAATCATTTCACACTCAAACCAATTATTTATGAATATTATTTTTAATATTAACATTAAAATTATTTATTAAAAAAAAAATTTCTGATAAAATTTTTTGTTGAAATAGAAAAAGAATTTTAAAAAAATTAAAAAAGTCACCCACCGGCGACTCTGGCGAAGCAGGTAACGTGGGTGTGATCAGGTAACTTTTCTTAATACCATATTTCTTAAGTGTCTCATCATTTATCGTTTCAGCTGGAACGCAATCATATTGATTAGCGTCTAAAAGATTGAGAGTTTCTTGTGTAATATGAACTTTGCCAGGTTTGCCAGTTTGTTCCATTTTGTTAGCAATGACTACATCGCGTGACCAAACATCATATTGCCATTTATTGGCACCAAGAATACCCGATATAATCTTTCCAGAATGTACACCAATTCGCATATTCACATCAACTCCACTTTCACGTTTCACTCTTGCTCTTACTTCCTTAATGATTTTGATCATGTCCAAACCTGTAAAACAAGTAATACACACGAATTTAGTGAAATTCAACATTATTTGCACGAACATATATATATTTTTTTTTTAAATTGAGAGAAAATAAAATCTGTAAGTACCAAGATCGACACAACTTTTCGCATGTTGAGCATTTGGAGTTGGCACACCACTGACACAATAATAACAGTCTCCCAAAAATTTTATCCTAAGTACATTATGCCTTTCTGAGGCCTCGTCAAAACTTCCAAAAAGATCATTAAGTGTCTCGACCAATTTTTTCACTGGTAATGTCACAGTAAGTCCGGAAAAATTCACCACGTCTGCATAGAGAATACTAACATTGTTGTGCGTCTCAACGTACAAGTCGCTAAAAAAAAAATACACAAAATTATAAAATAGATAATAAAAATAAAAATTGTAAATTCCAAAAACTCACTTGCGCTGTCGTCCCTTTGGTGGTGGTTTCTTGTGCTCCTCGATAAATTTGAAAATATCACGAAAATCTTTTTTGATCTTTGCTGCAAAATGAGGAGGTAAAATACTTCGTGTGAGTTGCTCCTAAAAAAAAAAAATGAAAGAACAATAATAATAAATTTCGAAAAAAGTTTATTTCGATTATTTAAAAAAAGAAAAGAATGAAAATGTTTATTTATCAACTGGGGAATTATTTTAGAACTAGAATACAATTTTTCCTCATGACTCAGAAAATATTTTGCGAGACGGTCCACACGCAATATGTGGTTTCTTTTATCAAATCGGGCAAAAAATTAAATTTTTTTAGAAATAGTTCAATATTTCGAATTTTTTTTTTTATTTTCGCAAAGTTTAAAAATTAAATATTAATCATTTCGTACTTCTTGATCCTTTTCATAGTTAAGCCTCAATGTGGATTCAACACATTTTCTTCGATCTAAAAATGATCTTCTGATGACGACTTCATTCATGAATCTGAAGTATAATCCTAAGCCATTCACACTAGCGAAATATATTGAGTCTGTAATCATCTGAAATTTTAAAATAACATTATTGATCACCAAATTACCAATCGATAAGATAATGAAATAATTTCTTTTTTTTTAACATTATTACTGATCTCTATTGACAAATAAATTAATATTTCACAGTCATAGTCACTCAACAATGACAAGTCACAAATCTTTTTTAATTTGTGATTGAAAAAATCAAAATATTTTGCTTCTGAATAATTATCCAATTTACTATTTTTATTCAATTTTAATAACAATTGCCATACAAATAAAAGATATTTTAAAAATTAATAAATTCCATTAAATTTTTTTTTTTTTTTTTTGACTTATCAAATCAATATTTCGCTTATCATTGTCAACTAGTTTTTTTTGAGATTTTTTCTCTTATGTCAGAAATGCTTGTATAAAAATTAGTTTCCAAACATTTACTTTGTCGACGTTCTTCTTTTTTTTTCTCTAATCTTAAAGGAAAAATAAACATTTCGATCATAAGTGGAGATTCAATGCCAAGAATAAAAAAATTCATTTTACTCGTATAGAAAATGTTTGTGTAAATATTTTTTAATTTTTCTCAAAATATTTGAAATTCCTTAATGAAAAATAAACAAAGCAATTTTAAGACAAATATATTGATAATATCTCCTATGGGAAGAATAATAAAAAAAAAATGTTTTATTTTTATCATAAAAATTAACAACTTATCAAATTCATCTTTTCTCTCTCTAAAAAAAAACTTCGTTTGTTATTCATTTAAATAGGGAGGGAAACTAGAATATACCAATTGTATATATAATGCCTGGGGGAAAGAATTTCTTTGAGAAGCGAATATATATATATATTTACATATAAAATAGAGTTTATCATCATGATTGTTGGAATCTTTAAACACTTTGATTTAATTCTTCTTCAAAATGGAATCGGTGTTACCAAAATAATCTTTGCCTTCAAACAGTCGTTATTTCGAAATTAGAATTAGTTCACGTGCAATTATATATATATTTTCGTCATTTGCACTATTGCATGATAGTGATTCATTTTTGTTAGAATTCGCAATTTATATATATATGTATATTCATATTATATATATGACAAAATAGATTGCATCTGAAGCGTAGTTTCCATGAGAGAAACTAGAAACCTCGACCACAAAAGCCAATGTCAATCCACAAAAAAAAAAAAAAAAAAAATAGAAAAGAAAAAAAAATACCCTTGTGTCCCTCTAACAATGAAATACTACCATATCAGTTTAAAACTTTTTCCGCAACTCGAAAACTTCTCTCACTCTCATTTAATTAAAACATCACCTTTAATAAACAATCAATAAAATTTCAAGTTTGAAAAAAAAGATAAAAAATAAATAACTAAATATAAAAAATATAATAAATAATGTAATAAAAAATATAATAAATAATGTAATAAAAAATATAATAAAAAATATAATAAATAATCTAATAAAAAATATAATAAAAAATGTTAAACAAAATAAAATACAAAATGTAATAAAAAATTTACAAAAAAAAAAAAATAAAAAAATAAATTCGATAAAAAATATCTAATAAATAAATTGAATAAAAATTTAGAAAATTTATTTTAAAAATTAAAAGGAAAATAAAAATTGTTTTTGAAACTTACCCTACTTTTTACATCCGGCATGTTTCTATAGGTGACAAGATATAAACTTGCCAAATAAGTAAAAGTCGTCGTCATCCCCAAAATGAAAGCGTGCAAATTTTCCGTCAATGGGAGAAAAACGTAACAGGCCAAAAGAGCATGAGTAGCGTACGCTGGTCTGAAAAAAAAATTCCAATTAAAAAAAATCTCAATTCTCTTTTTAATTAATAATTTCTAATTATTTTTTAAAAATAATTAATAAATAATTTTTTCTAATTTCAAATATGAAAAGAAATAATTTTTTTATTAATTTTTTTTTCTAAATAAATAAAAGTGACAATTTAATATTTAAATTGTAACGTGTTAATAATAATAAAGATAATTGTAATTAACAAGAATGACGGTGAAGTTTAACAATAGTGTTATTTTTTTTTAATTAATGCGACCTCGACCGATTAGCAGTGCTCGCGAGCTGTACATCTTATCGTAATTACCTTATCGACGGACCGTCCTCGGCGCTAGTAAAAGTGTAGTAAAGGGGCACAGCTAAATCGCCAATTACAAGAAGGGCGACAATAACACATGACAGTACAACCGGAAGATAAGCCTTTTTTGCAATTAATTTTGTCCTAAACGAAAGTGCTATTACCGGACAAAGAAGTGCCGCTACCAAACAGTAGGTCACCACGTCCGGTACCGATTTTTGTATCGTCACCTAAAAAACACACAAAAAAAAAATATTATTCGCCAAACCACAAAAATTACATATTTGATAAAATTTGTAAAAAAAAAATAAAGGGAAAAGAAATTTAAATCCGAAAAGTGAATTTAATGATTAATTAATAAATAAATTATTAATAATTTATTAATTATGAAAATATTAATTAAAAAATTATTAATTGATTTACCAACTCAGGGAATTTAGTTTCAAAATCAATTTCCATTTCACTAAATCCACAAAATAATTGAATAAAATTAATAACAAATTTTGAAATTTTATAAATATTACTAATTTTCAAAGTTTGAAAATTATTTACTCAAGTTGGTGGGAAAATTAATTAATTTATTCGTAATTAGTTTGAAACTGTAAACTAATACCATTATAATTAATACAGTGCAATGAGCAACGCTAAGCACCAATTGCAGAAGGATGAAAAGCGAAAGATACCCATTTTGGATCCTCCTTTGATAAATGGTATAGAGCTTTTCCAAGCTCTTGTACTTGAATTGTTTCTGAAATGAAAAAAAAAATAAATAAATAAAATTCATATCCAATCAACTATAAAAAAAAATTCTTTAAAAAAATATTTATCAATATAATAACAATTTGTAAACACATCAGAAAAGTAATTCCACTTTTTCCAACCAAAAAAAAAAAAAAAAAAAAAAAAATTAAGTTAAAAACTTCAAGCAATCAAGTAAGAAAAATATAACTCCAAGAAAGTGTAATTACACTTTTTAAAACAAATTTCAAATATGAAACAAGTTTTATAAAGTTTTCAAATTAAAAAAAAATATATTTTTTCTTTTTTAATTAAAAAAAGTTTTTACAAAAAAATTATTTTTTAAAATAAAAATAAAAAATTGATTTTCAAATTTCAAAACAAAAGGAAAAAAAATTCTTTAATTTTCTAAACTTGTAAAAATGATTGAAATAAAAAAAAAATTATTGTGCTCGTTAAAACACACTAAACTAAAATGAATCGTTAACAAAAGAGAAATAAAAGCTTCTTTGTGTACAACGAAAATGGAAACCAACTGAAAATGACATTTAAAATACATTTAGAATACTTAATTAGAATGTACACACAAGATAAAATAATTAATGAGTTTAAGATATTCTTATTCACTACCTGTGCGGGTATACGACCATGAAAAAAGAACTCGAATTACTGTGTGTGAAAAAAAATGATTGTAAAAAGAGACAATAATGATTTTACTCAATTAAAAAAAAAAAAAAATAAAATAATTTCAACTAAACAGAATATTTTAATTAAATCATTTCTATTAATATCCTTTAATAAATCTCATTCTTCTCCTTAATCAATACTTGAAATTTAAAATTCAAATTAGTCCAAAATTGAGTGAACTAAAGAAACATTACTTTTCATTTGTGAATGAAAATTAAAAAATTAAAATACTGAATTCATTTACAAAAAAAATACGATTTCAATTAATGTAACAAAAAATGGAAAATTTTTTCTATAATTCCTTCCAGTAAATCAACACACTCAATTTTTAGTAAAAATTTTTCTAAATCGAAAAAAAAAAAATTCTAATACCTTTCAAAATGATCAACCACGTTACAAAAGCTCATGTCTTTCACAAATGTCAACACACAATTTCCCAATGCACCTGTAGGATTTTTAAGACCAATAGAAACTCAATTTCCAAAAGAGATTCGATAAGGAAAAAAAAAATCTAAAAGAATTTTTTTTTCGAAAAATTGCAATTTATCATTTTTTTTTTTTTTTTTTTGATGAAAGAAGAAAAATATTTTATTTTTTATTTTACAATGAAAATTCTATTCACTTCACATAGATTTCGAAAAATGATTATTTTCATTTGAGAGAAAAAAAAGGGGAAACAACATCTATTGGGAAATTGTCACCAAAGATTTTTTTTTCAATAAAGAAAGCTCTGCGAATTATTACAGGACTTTTTTCAAACGTTATATATTATTACACCCTCGAAAAGACTTCAACTGGGTATCCAGCCACACTAACTCTTAGTCGCAAGTACAGCGTGCAACATTAATATTAAGAATCTGAATTTCGAGGGTTTGCGCAGGTGCAACTTTTATAGCGAAAACGTTCCCTCATGGAGTAAATTTAGAATCGAATAAGTGTTCCATGTAAAAAAAAGGTTCTGTTTAAAATTTCCTCTAAAATATATATCAAATCAAAAAAAATTGATAGATAAAAAAATTTTTTCTTCAAAGTTAATAAAAAAAAAAAATTAATTTACTCGCTTCATTACTTCCTTATTTCTTCAGGGCAAATAATTTTTTTTTTTCCAATTAACAACTACGTTTCAATATGAAACAAATAACATTTTCTCGAATTAAAAAAAAAAAAAGATTTTCAATTCATTTTTATTATTTAGAAATTGCAAAAAAAAAAAAAATCTGTTTTTATTTTCAATTTGCGAATTTTTTAAAAAGTGGTAGAAAAAAAATTGTGGACCTTCGGAAAATGAAAATCTCGTTAAAAATTATATTCGTCGCGTGATTATTATTTGCGAATAAACAGTTAACTTCAACTTTTGATTCTAATGAATAAAACAAACAGTAATATACAGGACGATCCACTTTGAGTGATGATACTGCGGCTAACCGCATTGTTTGCACAAAAAATATATGTAATCTAGTTTTCAACTTTTCATGAAACAACATTTTTTACTTCTCTCCGTGCATTTGAATTCAAAAACTAAAATATAATAAAGAAAAAATTATTTCTCAATCTAATCTAAAACCTTTTCTTTTACTTATGTTTTCCTTCATTTAGAAAACAAAAACAAAAATGTATTAAAACCCTTCTGACTAAAAAAAATTATAAATTAATTAATTGTAATTACAGAAAAATAATTTCTAAAAAAAAATTTTCTTAGTTTCTTTCATTAAATTTGTATTATTAAAAAAAAATCGAAAATAAATTTATTAAGACCCTTAATTAAAATAATAATAAATGAATTGTAATTAATTATAACAAAAATTAGTTAAAAAATAAATGTCTTTTTTTTCTTAGTTTCTTTCATTAAATTTGTATTATTAAAAAAAATTGAAAATAAATTTATTAAGACCCTTAATTAAAATAATAATAAATGAATTGTAATTTATTACAGAAAAAAAAATTCAGTTCAAAAATAAATATCTAAAACATTTTTTTTTAGTTTCATTAAATTTGTATTATTAAAAAAAATGAAAATAAATTTATTATTTACCCTAATAATTTATTATTTATTACCCTAATAATTAAAAAATAATAAATAGTAATTAATTACAAAAAAAATTAATTTCTAAAAATAAATATCAAAAACAATTTTTTCTTAGTTTCTTTCATTAAATTTGTATTATTAAAAAAAAAAACCGAAAATAAATTTATTGAAGCCCTAATAATCAAAAAAATAATAAATTATAATTAATTACAGTAAAAAAAAATTCAGTTCTAAAAATAAATATCAAGGTCTTTAGTATAATGAATCCTGCAGTACAATTAAAGAATTTACACACACACACACATGAATTTTCGCAATTGCCAAACCGATAGTCTGGTTTTCTCGCGCAGTCGCCCCATGTTTCCTCCCTTTATATCTGGATACATGTAAACGAAATATTAATATACGAAATTTTGAAAAAAAGATAGAAAAACCATGTTTCCAAAAAAAAATTCTCATAATCGATACTAATGAATTCAGTAAAAAAATGCACTAGGAAGAATAAAAAGAAATCGAGAAAAAAACCTCAACCAGATGCTCTGCGATTGGGATGCTGGAAGAAAATTCAATAAAAAGTAGCAAATTTTACAAAAAAAAAAAAAAAAATTGAACGAAAAAAAATTAAATTTCGTATTCGATATGATTGTGAAAATTATTCTTACAAAACGAACCATTATATGAGATTAGATTAAAATATTTACACATGTGAGTCAGGTCAGTAAAGAATGGAATTTGGTCCAGATATATAGGCCTTGTAATATATTGATCTTTAATTTCTCTTCCATCCCTCTCGATTCTCATACTAACATACACCAGGAGAGAAATCTTTTATTTGAGACAAAAAAAATAAATTTGCATCAAATAAAAATATATTTATCTCAGAGCCTAATAAATTTTTATTTTATTTCAAATAAAAAATTTAATTTAGCATAAATAAAATTCTATTCAGCGCAAATAAAATTTTTATTTAAACCAAATAAAATTTATTTGTATAACAAATAATTTTTAATTAAACCAAATAAAATTTATTCGAAATAAATAATTTTTAATTAAATCAAATAAAATTTATTTTAATCAATAAAAATTATTTAAACCAAATAAAAATTATTTGAAAACAAATAAATAATTTTTTTGGATAAATATTATATTGATAAGTTTCTCTTATACTTGAATCTAAAAATTTTTAACGATATTTCCGTTACATGGACATAATTCTGAAAATTCGTTTCAAATACCACAGAGAGGAAAATGCAGGTGACCTCTCATTTCCTCCATCCTGTCATTAAATTGTTGGTGATTCAGTTTTCGATGGAAAAAGAGAGGTGTACACGAAAATAGAACTCTTCATGTTTGAATGAACCACACATGAATATTTTCAGCCTAACTCTGAAGAATATAAAAGGAAATTGCATACAAAAAAAAAGAGTATCACAATTTCAATAAACTATTTTTAGCATTTTCTTTTTATTTTTCGAATTAAAAAAAAAATTTTAATCACAAATATAATCGAATAGAAATTAATGGAAAATTTTAATTAAAAAAAAAAAATTATCACTCGTGGAAAATGAATTCGGTGAATTTTTTTTTTTATTACCTATTTACCGGAATAAGGATTAAGGTGTAAATCTCGCTTGATTTTTTGATCAAGAAACTGGATTAAAAGGAAGGACAACTAATAAAATGTAATTTTTCGATGCAATATCGAGTACTTGAAATAAATCCGATAGCTGTGTGTGGGTTATAAAAAAAAGTGAGTTTTAACACGTGTAGAGCTTTTTTAAGCTCAAATGACTTTGAAAACTCCCACTTCCTATTTGTTTTATATACGCTAGGAGGAAATTCTCCTCCTAATTGAAAATCGAATTTATTTTCAGTGTAAAATAAAAATTATACAAAAAATTTATTTTTACTGTAAAGTAAAATTTATTTGAAAAAAAAATTATTTTTACTGTAAAGTAAAATTTATTTGAAAAAAATTATTTTTACTGTAAAGTAAAATTTATTTGAAAAAAAAAATTATTTTTATTTTTGTTTTCTTAGACAAAGAATCCAACAAATATTTCATTAAATTAAGAATAAATTATAATTTAAAAGCAATTTGATATTTTGCTAAAAAAAAAAAAATAAAACTCACCCGGAGGCTAGACCATGTCCAATCGTCAAGATTATTGGGCGAGATGATGAGATTCTCGTCCACTTTATGAAGAGAGGAAAGGGAAGTCCGAGCCACTAATTCCACGTCCATATTTCTTGAACAGACCTCGAGTAACATTTAAGTTTAATTAGAATCTCTTCAACGGTTTGATTTCTCCATCCATTTTGGCTCTTAAAGACCTCAAATCTTTCAACCAATATTTTGATCTTCACACTGTTGAAAAAAAATTATTTATTAATTATTTTTCTTCTCTCTTAAAAAAAAAAAAAATAAAAACGTTTTTCAAATATTTAAAATCAATTCAGTACAAAAAAAAATTAATTAATTTTAAATAAAAGAATTTTCTTGAATGAAAACAATTTTTTTTCCAATGTCAATAAACTTTTAAAAATAATTTTTATATGTAAAAAAAAATGAGCCAAATTTAAATCACAATGACCAATGAATTTTTTTTGATTTTAATGATTAACATTTAATTTTTAATTAATTAGCTTCGCGTCTCTTCATTATTATTTTAATTATCATTCTGTGAATATGTGTTTTGTATAAACATCATTGAATTGTTAAATATCTCATTAGAGCATTGCACATAACTTAATTTATATGAATTTTGTCTCTTTTAATTTTAAACCGTTATTTAAATATCATTAAGATTAAAATAAATTTTCCTTATAAAAATCGTTTTATAATATTTTTTTTTTAATTAAAAAAGAGTTTTGTTATAAAAATATCACAATTTTTATTTTAATTTTTCTTTTTTTTAATAATTCAATTTTTCTGAAAAAATAAATAAAAATTATAATTATTTCAGAAAAGTTTTCAATTCTTTTTTACTAATATTATCTTGAAAATATCGAAACCATATGAATGAGTGCAATAAAAAAAAAATATGTTTCAATACACAATACATTTCTAAGCCTCTAATTCCATAAACAGGAAAAAGATTAAATGGGATTAAATTTTATAGATATTCGAAAGAAATAAAAAATATTGTTGAAAAGGTGTGTCACAGGAAATAGTTATAAAACATTAATGATAAGCGAAGAAATTTTTCTTGTTATATGGAAAAAGAGGAATTTTTCAATTCAAAATTTATTAATTGAAAGAAAAATATTTTTTTTTTTTTTTTGTAAAGTATCGAATGTGATCAACATTTTTTTTTAATATACCTAAATAAATTAATAATAATTGTCACTTCAATTGACTTTTATGGTGTGTTTATCTTTATATTAATAAGTCTAGCGATAATAAGAATTTTTTCCCGATCCAATTTTTTTTTTTTAAATCCACGTATTTTTTAAACTCTTAATAATAAAAATATTAATAAAAAAAATAACAAAAAATAATAACAAAAAAATAATAAAAAAAGGAGTGTCAAAATAATAATTGGACTGCAATTATTAACGACAGATTTTAAAGAAAAATAATAAATACATTTAACACGAGATAGGAGCGATAATATTTTTCAGCAATTCCACTATAAATCCGTGATGACTAATAAAAAAGACAAAAAAAATTTTTTTTTTAAATCTCGAAAAATTTATTCTCAACGAGTTCAATAGTCTCGATTATTCTACACTTGAAATAACAAATCAACTGTTAAAGGAAAACGATGAGAATATTTATTTAAAACTCTGATTCTTCAATATACACATATATATGTATATTGACTAGGGCAAAAAAGAAGGAAGATACATTGATTAAAAAGGCTCCCACTTGTCTGAAATAGAAAAGATCTTTTATCGCACAAAGGAATTCAATTTGTTTTCTATACGTATATAAGTACACACATATATATAATAAAATAAATACTCGCGATAAAGTAAAGTGGAAACTCGATTACACTATAATATTGACTTGATCTATTTCTCATTTGGTGAAGAAAAAAAAAAATACTTGTTTGAAAGTTTAAAATGGGTCAATTCAGCCTTACAATAAAGTTCTGTGATATTTCTATAGAAATTATGTTGAATAAAATGTCAATATTTTTTTAAAATTATTTTTTAAAAATTTAAACTTTTTCTATAAATTGTTTTTTCAATTTTATAAATAAAAATCGCTCTCTTAAAAAAAAAGAATTCAAAATATAAGGTTTAATATAAATTCAAAAGATATAAAACAAAAGGATTTATTTACAGAATTATAGTATAAAAAGAACAAAATGAGTTTTCAATAACAAAGACTGAAATGATAAAAATGTTCGATTAAATCAACCAATTTAATGACAAAAATGGAAAATATTCCATTTTTTTTTAATTCACATTTCAAAAATTTCTAAACAATATATTTTGTTTATAAAAAATTAAAAAATTCCTCAATTAATAAAAGCTAAACTAAATAATTCATGATTAAAAATCGTTTCGTAATTGCAAAATTTTGTAACCCCGTGTTGAAAAAAAAAAAAAAAAAAAAAAAAAAAAAAAAAAAAAAAAATGTCGAATGTATTTCTGCTTATATTTTCCCTTCTTTGAATTGAACGTGATGAGAAAGAAAAAACAATGCTGAATTGGCCGACAATATATACCTAAATGACATTGTTTTTTACTACGTGAGATTTAGGTAAGAGACACTTTCAACTGTCACGTATATATATATATATAAATATATTCTCTTGCAAGATTTTAATCAGTGAAGGAGAAAAATGTATAAACGGTTTTTCAATAGAATCCTTAATCACAAAACATGTATTTTACATTCAAGAACTATTACAAAAAATTTAATCTAAATTTTATAATTTTTTTTATTATTATTGGAGTAAAAAATAATTTTCAATTTTAATAAAAAAAATTATTTTCAATTTTTTTTTTCGTCATTTAATAAAAATCAATTGATTTAATCGAATCTCTTTGTATCAGCTTTTTCAATATAAATTCATTACATAATTTATTATGAATTAAATTTTCATTCAATGAAAATTCAATGAATATAACAAACGTGAAGAATATGAAAATCAATTTTATAATAAAACAATGTTGGAGAATTTTAATGTTTCGTAAGAACAAAAAAAAAAAAAAAACCTAATGTGTTTTCAAATGACAAAGGAGTATTTGTTCTTAATATAATTCTAAAGACATCGATCTTTTGGATCAATAATTTAATATAACCGAATAATTATCCTTCATTCTCTTAACTATCATTTATTATTAAAGAATATCAATGAAGTTTAATGACACTAACATTTACTTTAAATTACAAAATTTTTCTCAAAAAAATGGAAAATGTTAATAAAAGTAAAAAAAAAAGAAAAGAAAAGAAAATAAAAAGACAAAAATAGAAAATCCAAAAATAAAACTATCGAATATCTTACTTGAGATTATAAAGCTTTTTATAAATTTGAACTTGTGGAAGTGCAGAAACCAAGTGTAAAATATAACTAAACATTTTCTGCAAATACCAATGTGATAAGAAATTAACGTCAATTGTTCCAAAGTGACGTCAATTGAAAAAAAAATATGTTACAAACCTGTAACTATTACTATTATCTAACATCTAATTTACTTTCAAGTCATTAAAATTAACAATTCAATTTAATAAAAGTTAAGTACCGTCTTTTCTCATGTTTATTTCATTTCTTTTATAATAGCCTGAAATTTTTAAATGAAAAAAAATAATAATAATAGTTTCTATTATTTTTTTTTCCCAACAAATCTTTGAAAAATTAATTATCAATTTATTTATTTGAGAATCAATTTTTTTTATCGCACTAAATACAATTTAATAAAACAAGTCAGGCTCCAAACTACGTATGCGATAATTAAATTCTTTGATTTAAAAAGGACATCGCTTTCCATTGACTATTTATAATATATTACATCCTGTTATCATTTCGATACGTGAGTAAAGTTAAATAATTGTCAAAATTTCATGTTCAATTGTTTCAAAAGGCAATAAAAATTCCAAAATTGTTTAAATTGTCCCATTAATTTTGAATACAAATTAATTTTATTGACACTGAATTAAAATTGTATTTTAATTTTATTAATTTGTAAATTAAAAAAAAAAACTCACCGACTTTTGACATTTATTGCAAATCCATATTGAGAAATTTTTTTTTTTTTTGACACTGACACTAATTTTGGAAATACACACTTCACTTCCTTTTTTTTAACAACTGGTGTGCTTATTTAAATTGATAATAATAATCAGAAGGAACATTCAAGGAATATTTATATAAAATTTTATAACTTCCGCTTTTTTCTCAGTGGATATAGCAGGAAATCGTGATCGCGGGTCCTCGAAACAAAATACTCGTCTATTTGATTGTTAAAAAAATAAATACATGCCAAAAATACGAATAGATTCATTAGCATGAATATTGAGTCATTTGAAGGACGGAAAACACCACAGAAAATTGGAGCGGTGAAATCCAATTTTCGTGTCTCATCACAGCCATTGCTCTTCAAGCAATTACAAGTAACTACTATATATATCCTCTTTCTGGCAGTATTTCTGAAGAAGCCTTTCTCAATTCTATATATTCGATACAAGAAAAAAAAACACAAATAAATTACAAGATCGGTCGGTAAAACCGATTTTTACACACCTTCCTTATCCATATTATTAATTTTCCAATGATTTTTATATCAGGATCCGAAAAAATTTTTATCAACAGTCAAATAAAAAAAAAACAAACTAAATTTTTTTCTATTCAAAAAAATTGTGTCTAATTTGAAAAAAATTTCACTGTAACTATCCTAATCACTTATCACAAAAGAATGAGAAAAAAAACAAAATATCCATAACCAAGGGAACAAAATATCGAATTTTTTAATTGACAAAAAAAATATAAACGATGTGAAAAAATTCATTTTTCGAAATATTGTCAAATTGAAAATAAATTTACATGATTGAAATTTAGAAATATATTTTTTTCAAAGATTTTTGAAAGCTGTTCCAATGTTTCTGTATTTAAAGTTAGCTTACGGAAACTCAACTGACCATCGAGTTATCATCAAGCTGTTGATAACGAAATGATAACATCCCCAACAATTCGATAGTGAACACATATTTCACGTCTATTTTATCTACTCTATCTATATACTAAAATGACATATTATATACCATTTTTACTAAATGAAATCGATAATAAAAAATTTGTAATTCGTACAGAAATCGATAAGAAATGTGAAAAATTCCAATGGGGAAACCTGAAGATTAGGAAAAATTAAAAAATCAAAAAAAAATATTTTAACTCTTCTAAACTAATGGTAATAAAAAAGTATTTTTACTTTAAAGTAAATTTTTTTTTAAAAAAGTTGATAATTGCAAAAATCGAAAATGTAACATTCATAAAAAAGATTTTTATTCGTGAAACTATATACGGAATATTATAATAATAGTGATTCAACTCTTTAGGGTTTGTAATCATATCACAAAAAGCTAGAAAATCTTTCACCTGCAACGTTGCTGTACATATTTTTTTGTTTTATTATATAAAATATTGATATTGTATATCACGCTTTTCTCTCATACATCCTTAAATTTAAAAAAAAAATTGAGTACACAAGAAAAATAGAATACGAAAAAACCAGTGCACACAAAATCTCAGTACTTGTATTGTCTCTAAACTTAAAAGCAAATATTTTTTATGCAAATTTATCAAAATTATTCACAAATTTCGATGTTTTACAGAAAAAAAAATATAATTTTTCTTTTTTGATTTTATTTTTAAGTTTTATTATTCAATTAAATAATTTAGATATTTTAAGAATAGAAATTATCGTTAAAAATATCGAAAACTGCAATTTTCATTTGAAAATAGTGAAAATTTAAAAAAAAAATATCTGCTATAAAATTTTGAATATTTTCAGATTTAAAAATTTCGATTAGGAAATTGTTTTTATAAAATTGCAGCTATAACATATTTACATGAAACCTATTAGAAAATTAGAACTCATTAATAACAAAAAAAACAGTCTTATTATAATTAATTTGAAAAGTGTCAAGAATTTCACGATAATTCAAGCTACTTTTAAAAAAACATGGATTATCTAAATTATTTTCACTATCGTTGTCAAATGAAGAAAAAAAAAAAATTATCCTTACATTAAACATTTTAGGGTGAAAATGTAGCTTGTTGATTGATTAGAATTTCAGGTGTTTGATCTCCAAGTACCATTTGATATTCATTTTGAAAATCACTTCTAACTGAATTTAGAAATTCCACAATTAAATTCCTCGTTTCTATAAACAAAAAAGAAATATTTACATTAACAAATTAATAATTAATATATAATTATTTGACTCACCATCATTACTGTATTTTTTTTCCCGTAAAAGAGAACTTGAAACATTTATCAATGTTGTAATGTGCGGTTTAAGAATTTCATGACCTGCTTTATAAAGCGTTAATATACTCTCAAAAACTGCTTTATTTTCTTCAACATCTTCCGTCAATGGTAATTGATTTATAAAAACCGGAAACACCTGGTCCAATGGTAAAATTGTGAAATTTGTGCTAATTAGCCGAGCAATTGCACCAACAACATTATCCCTTGCTCCAGCGTGAGATTCATTTTGTACTCTATTTGATAAAGTTTGCAGAATATTTGGATAATATCTAAAAATATCTCTAGTTAAGGAAAATGTAAATAATTATTTGACAACTGCAAAATAAATAATCAGAATAAGAATCAGAAATAATCAGAATTGAAATAAAAAATTGAATAAATAAATAAAAAGTATGAAAAAAAAGGATACGAGAAAATCACGTCTTTTCCATGATAGGCAATTTCTCCAATTCCGTAAATTGCATTATTACGAACTTCAGCATTCGAGTCACTTGTGAGTTCAAGAAGTAATGGCATAATTTGTTGAACAAATGGTGCAACTGCTTGCTTTAATCCAGAAAAGCATTCCGATATTGTTCCAACAGCAAACGATCTTTGTGCCTCAGTTTTATTCTTTTTCTAATAAAAAAAAAGAAATTATAACAAAAAGGAAAAAAAATCTAAAATTTTTTTTAATGTTATTCTTACCAGTCGTTCTAGAATAAATGGTAAAAGATTTTGGAAAAAGTGTGCAAACTCTTCAGGAGGAATAACTTTTCCAAAATGTGTCAATAAATCACCGGCGCACTCTATTAGCAATTCATCTTGTTCAGCTTCCATATCTTCCTCGTCCACTTCCTCCTGATCTTGACAATACGTTCGTCCTGTCAAAAAAAAATAAAAATATATTTTTAAATTAAACACTTTTTTTTTACTAATATTTCTTTTTTTTAATTATAATATTTTTAAGAAAAGAAAATATTCGAAATTTCTTTTTTACCTGCTAAAATTTCAGTAATACAATTCATAATTGCCTCCTTGTGACCCTCGATTATAAGAACATCGGATTTAATTTCTTTTAGCATCTCCGTTAATTCATCTAAAGCACTAATAACAACTGAACGCTCACAATCCAGTCTAATAATCTCCGAAAACTTTGGTATAAGTGCTGAAAGGACTTTTTGCGTTGCTTCTTTTCCCTCGATACTATTAATTCTTGAAAAATTAATAGAAAATTGTGCAAGTGCTTCTATAGCCGCCTTTCTAATATCGTCCTGCGGATAGCTAATCACTTTGAACACCTCATTGTACGAAACTTCGAGGAAAGGCAAAAATACTTCTCTGCAAGTAAAAAAAAATAAACAAATTTTTTGTAAATTAAAAATTTAAATTAAATCTACTTTGTAAGTGGATAAAAAAACTTACTCTGTATTTTGTGCAATTTCCTTAAGAGCAAGAATAGCCTCTTCTTTTTCTTCCACGTAGGCATTTTCCACACTGAATCCAGCAATATCTTCATCGTCGTCATCATCTTCATTGTCTGTATTTTCAATATCTTCTTCCCCGTCACTGTCACTGTTTTGCAAACACGGTTCGTATACCGGAAACGCTGCCTCTTCATTCTCCTTGTAATGAGTCTGAAAAATATTTTTTTTATTTTACTAATTACCAAAAAATGTGTCTGAAAATCATTTTTTAAATTACCACAATGAAAAATAAAAAACTACATTAAATATTTAATATTACTGTATTTTAAATACAGAAAGCAATATTTTATATAATAAAATTTTAAGCTAAAAAAGTAATAAATTTTTTCGTTTGTTTAGAACTTGAAAAAAAATTAAACCAGAGCTACAAATTCTATTTTATAAACAAAATAAAAATTTTAATTACCACAACACCCTCGGAACTTTTTATGCTATTAATTATTTGATCGACAATTGGAGAGAGTGCAAAATTCATATCCTTCTTCATCACCATACTAGCGGATGCTGCCAATCCATAGACAGATTTTCTTAAATCAGGATCATTGCATTCTTTCAATAAACTCATACCGCATTCCAAGGATTTTACAGCAAGCGCTGTCGTCGAGTGATCCTTTATATTTTCTCCCACAGTTCTCACAAGTACACCAAGAGTATCTAAAAATTTCCAATAATTCAATAAAAACTAAAACTAAATTTCCAATAATTCAATAAAAACTAAATTTAAAATAATTTATCTTAAATAATAATAATAATAATGATAATTTTTCAAATACTCACCAACCGCTTGAATTTGCAAACACATCGTCTCCTCGCTTTGTTTTTCAATTAAATAAGGATTGAGAATAGCGAGAATTCTCTCTAAATATGGAACCATATTTTCTTTACTTGCATTGGCTGCCGCACCAATTGCACTTAATGCAAGTTCTCTGACATGAACCGGTGACTGTTGATCTAAAGTTTCAAATAATCTCTCCATTAAATTTGGCAAATATGGCAATAGACTGACGTTTAAATTTTCACAAAACATTTCCAATGCATAAAACATTCGATCAACAGCAGGTGGCTCTTTTTTTTCTTGTTTAATGAAATTACAAATTTGTGCAAGATATTCAAATAAAATTGGCAACAATTCCGATGAATAATTACTAATGTCAGGTTGAAGAAATTCAGAAAATTGTCCAAGTGCAAATAGCGCAGCATTACGAACAACTGGCGTTGGATCAACAATACCACTGCAAATACAACGAACAAAAGTTTCAAGATATGATGTTCGAATATATTCTGAGCAACCTTCCGCCAAAACTGCCATTGCCAAATAAGCTGCCTTTTTTTTGTAAATATCCGTTCCCTCCAAACCCGGCTCAATGTGCAACAACTGTTAAAAAAAAACTTTTGATTATACATATTTTCGAGGCACATAAAAATCATTAATTAGAATTTTAAAGTATTTTAATAGAAATAATTAGTTTTTTAGACAAATTTTCAATTTTCAAATTAAAAGACAAGATTTTCTTTTTATACGAATTTTTACATAACAAAATTTTTAGCTACCGAATTTTTATTTTACAGTCATTTTCTTCACATGATTTTTTATTTAAAAGAATTTTAATTTAAAATTAATTTCAGACAATTGAAAATTCTGCATCTCAAAAATTTTGTTATTTAAAAATCCGAATTACATAAAATTCGATTGATTGAGAATTCTGTTGAATTAAAATTCGATTAAATTCAAATTCTCTTAGACAAACAAAAATTCGGTAGCTAAAAATTTGTTTAAAGTAAAAATTCGTATAAAAATAAACTATCAAGAACGAAATTGAAAAATCGTTTAAAAAATAATTATTTCTAATTTCAGAAATTATATAACAAAATATTGTTGTTAAAAATAGGTGTAAAATTAAATTTTAATTTGAGGTTTGAAAAAAGATTAAATTAAAATTCAAATTAAAAGACAGATTTTCTTTTTATACGAATTTTTAAATAACAAAATTTTTAGCTACCGAATTTTTGTTTAGCAGAATTTTTATTTTACAGTTATTTTCTTTACATGATTTTTTATTTAAAAGAATTTTAATTTAAAATTAATTTCAGACAATTGAAAATTCTGCATCTCAAAAATTTTGTTATTTAAAAATCCGAATCACATAAAATTCGATTGATTGAGAATTCTGTTGAATTAAAACTCGATTAAATTAAAATTCTCTTAGACAAACAAAAATTCGGTAGCTAAAAATTTTTTTTAAGTAAAAATTCGTATAAAAAGAAACTAGCAAGAACGAAATTGAAAAATCGTTTAAAAAATAATTATTTCTAATTTCAGAAATTATATAACAAAATATTGTTGTTAAAAAATAGATGTAAAATTAAATTTTAATTTGAGGTTTGAAAAAAGATTAAATTAAAAAAAGTATTTAATACCAAATGTGGAATCAACTTGTCGGGAGGTAAATAAAGAGCAAGTGCATCTAACGTCTGAGTAGCGCAGGTCATTGGCGATTTATCTTCATCATCGCCGTTGAAATAAATTTCCTCATTTTCGTCGTCGGGCCGAGAAGAAATCAGAGCAAAGAGAGTATCTAAAAAATTTATTAAACAATATTAAATAATAAAAAAAGGATTCTTTTAAATAACTGAGAAAAAACGAAAATATTTTTTACCTATGATCGGCTCCACTAATTTATTTTTAACAATGGCTTTTTTCTTAGTTCTCACAAGACAGCCAACAACTGCAATGGATTTTACTCGAATTTCACTGCCAAGGCTTTTATTTTGAGCTATAGTTAAACTCATAGCAATGAGATTTTTCAAATGTGGCGATATAACAGTGACAGCATTGTCGCAAAGTTCTTCAAACAATTCAAAACATTCAATTGCTTTTTCTTCGTGCGTTTCAGATAAGGCAGCAACGGTATTTAACATTCGTGGCATCATTTCATGATAGGCATTCACCATCTGAAATTTATTTATTTTTAATTTACATAAAATTAATCTAATTTAATACTATAAAATAAAAAAAAATATATTTTCATTACATTTACTATAAAAATACTCACATGTTGTTTTTGTGAAACGTAAGGTACAAAATTAAGCATCGTTTTTATAATATAATACGCAATTGGATTAACAAGATCCTGAAGATTATTGAGAGTTTGATTTAAAATTGCCATTATGGCCTGAGAAGTTGGTAAATATGCCTCACTGGCAATTTCCGTAATTATCGATAAGGTATACATACCCAACTGAAAATACAAGAAAAAAAATTCATAAAAAAATACTTTTTCCATTTTAATAAAAGAAAATTACAATTCTTTAAATTTCTCACCTCTTTCTCAGCTACATTGTCACTTGTAATCAATTGTTGTATAAATTGAAGAGCTTGTGGCCATGCATTTTTTGGTAATTCATGTTTTATTATAACACCAACCAATTGAACAATCGCATTTTTCACAGACTTTTCTTTTTCGTCAACAAGTCTCTATAAAAAATAAATATTTTTAATAAAAAATAATTTTCAACACTCCAATAATAAATATAATATAAAATTTGTGTAACCTGCAGAATAATAGCCTTGAATTCATTGCGAATTTGTTCAGGTAAAGCTAACCAATTTTTCCACTTTGAATAACGTTTTCTGAGAAGTACTGCTGCATATTGCCTCATCTGTAAATTATGATAAACGAATCCATAAAAAAAAAATGAGAAAGAAAAATACAAAAACTGTATAATTATTAAGAAAGTGAAAATATTAAAATAACCTCAGGGTTTTGCGATGAAATTGCAATATGGCATAGTTCAGGTGTACTTTCTGGTTTTTTGAATGCTTCTCGAAGTTCAATAGTGCCCTGAAAAAATTAAAAAAAGAAAAACATCAATAAATGAAAAAAAAGACAATCTCGTTAATAATTCAGTAGATTAGTAGTAACAGAATGTATCAGCAAGACAATACATTTTTAGGTTAGGTTCTCAAAGATCTTCAATATTTTATCATTAAAAAGAAATAAATATATTCCTTCATCTAACAATCAATGAGAAAAAAAGAGAAAAAATAATTCATATACTTTTGACAAATAAAAATTAGAATAATTTTTAACCGGTTTTAAAAAGCACGTGTTTTTTTTTTTTTTTGCTAGATGAAAATTTTACAACATAAAATTCATTATTAATATTTACATACCTCTTGAATTTTTTCATTGTCTGGAAGTAGTAGCTTTTTTAGTATTTCCTCCATTATAGATCACAATTTTTTATAACAAATTATTTTCTGAAAAAAATATAAAAGAATTGAAACAATTATCTTTAACGTTGCAAATGTGTGGTGTGTGCTACTGCCAGTGATGAACAGTGACGTACTAACTAAAGGCGCATGTCCAAATTTTAAAAAGTACTTTTTGATTCAAAAGTTTTTTACATAATAATTATTTTAATATTATTTAATGAATTTTATTCATTGTAAAATCGTTTTTTACTCATAAATAACATTTATAGACAGTTATATTTTTCTGTTAAGAAATAATTATTTTATTTCAAATGAATATAATTTTATGCGATGTAATAAAACTTTTTAAAATAAATATACAAGTCTTGAATGCCGGTAAGTGTTAATAGAATGCTAATTATTTCGAGTAATCAATTCTACTTAGAATTATAAACGCCCTTTAGAAGAATTTGCTACATGAAAAAATTCAACTATTATGATTTAATTAATAAAATATATTTAAAATTCAATAAATAAATAATTATTATATTTTTATTATCGTTATTATTATTATTTAGAATAAATTTTGCAAAAATATAAATAAATTATTTGTAAATTTTTGCATATTTAAAAAATAAATTCAAAATCTTTCTTTTTTAAAATACAAACAAAAATTTTTAGTTATTTTTTTCTTGAAAAAAAAAATAAAATATAATTTTCTATTTTTCGTTGTGAATAAATTTTATTTTTCTAATTTTATATAAGTTTTTAAGAAAATTAAAAAAAAATGATGTAAATGACTATATTTATCGGTTGACATGTGAATTTCATTTGTACTAATAATAAGTGCCAGTCATTTAAAGTTGTCTAATATATTTTGTTCGACAAAATAATAATGGATCAGGATACTTTACAATATTATTGTAATTTTCGTCGACCTCCAGGTCCAATAAATATTTGGAATATTGTTAATAAAAAAATTAATGGAAAATGTGTAAAATTTAAAATTCAAGAAATTTTTGATGACATGCATGATGCTGTAATTGAACATATGTGCAATGATTTTATTAGGGAGGAAGAATTTTTTTCCAATTTTAGTAAGTAATTATTAAATTAATAAAGAAAGTTTTCAATATGGAAATTAATAATTAAATATCTTTGAAATAATATTAATTAAATAATATAATTAAATAAAATAATTAAATTAAATAATTGAATAATATTAATTCATTTTCGTTCACTAATAATTAAATTAATTTGAAAATTAATTTCAGAAATCAAAGACACTCCAGATTCTTATAAAGAAATACGAATTTTTTGGAAAGAGATTTTAAAGTGTGGTATGAGTATAGTTGCAATTGTCGATAAACCTACTGAAAAAATACCTGTAATTGCAGGTGTTAATATACTTTTTGTTTCTGTTAAGAAAGCTGATGATAAAACAACATTTAAAGTGAGATATTTATTTATCTAAATAATATAAATAATCAAAATAATCAAAATAATAATCTCAGAATTAAATTTAAAAAAAAATTAAAATAAATACAATTATTAATTATTATCAATTAATGCATATTTAATTAAATATTTTGATATAAATAATATAATTTTTTTTTATAAAAAAATAATTAAAATTAAAGGTGCGAAAGAATTAATTGAAAAAAAATCTGCTTTAGAATACATTTAAAACAAAAAGTCTTTCAATGATGGTGAAATTGATGGAAAAAATTGCATCTGAATCCGTTTGGCATCAAATTTATAGAGCTGATAAATATTTAATTGGATGGGGTTTAAGTGTTGATCGTAATTTTCGAGGAATGTCTCTTGGTGGCCATATACTGTCAGCAAGGTAAAAAACTATATTCACTGTAAATATGATAAAAATTGATTTCTTTAAATTGTTAAAACAAAAAAAAAAAAAGAAATAAAATTCAAGTGAGAAATTTTTAATTTTTCTTTTTTTTTAATATTCTATATAGACATCTTTTAAGCCGCAAGTATGGAATTCCAGTTTCCGTAACACTTTTTTCGGCACCTTCTGCGATTAAATTAGCTGAACACGAAGGATATGAATGTCTGGTAGAAAAAAAAGTTTCTGACTTGCTCAACAATAAAGGAGAATTAATATTCAAAGGAAGTAAATCTAACTGTTTTAAATTTATGGGAAAACGATTTTAAAATAATAATTCATAAAAAAATATATTTTTTCCATAAAATATTAATATACAGAAAAAAATTATTTTTGTTGTTAAAAGAAAGAATATTTTTTCAGAAAAAAATATTTTGTAAAAAAAAAAATAATTTTTGTAGAGAAAAAAAAACGAGGAAAAAAATATTTTTTTTTGAAAAAAGAAATATTTTTATAGAAAAAAATCTTAAAAATTAAATTAAAATATTGCTGCCCAAAAAAGATTTTATTCGTCAAGTCAATATAGCGGGGAAAATTCTTCAGTCGCGATCCGCGCGTGGTTGGAGCAAGAACTCCTTTCCTCTCGCTCTCTCTCAAAAAAAAAAAATTATTTCTCTCTCTCTCTCTCTTATTTTTATCATCAAATAAAAAGAAAATTTCATCTACTTTTTAATTAATTAGAATAGTTTTATTTTTTTTAAATGAAATTTAATTTCCTTATGTAATTTGGCAATGCTATTAGAATATTAATTATTTAAAAAATTTTTAAAAATAAAAGACAGCATTAATATATGAAATTGAAATAAATAATTTTTCTTAATCATCCCAAGAAGATATGAGAATAGAAGAAAAGAATGCGAATAAAATGGAACAACAAATTAAATTCTCAAGTCCTTTGCTCATTTTTTTTTTTTTTTTTTTGTAGATCGTCGTACACCATATTATATGGAAAATTAAAGAATGAGTTGACAAAAAATGCCAAGTGCTTTTAAGAATGGTAGACAAATATTTCATATTTAAATTAAAAAATTATAATTTTATTATTAAAATATTAAATAATAATAATAAAAATAAGATTTGTCATCAAAAAATAAAAATTTAATTTTTTTTTACTTTTATCTTTTCCATACAATAGTTATTTATAATCGAAAAATCTTTTCATCTCTGAGAAAGAAAAAATTCGCGTACCGCTTTAAAATATTGCTTAAGTTGACGAAAAATATATCGCGTACATTTTTTCTTCTAATAAAATTAAAATCTGTATTCGGTCGTAATTTAAAAATTTTGCTGTTTTCATCTCATTTTTTAATCGTAAATTTTATTATTTTTATTTTATTATTATATTACAAAAAATTTTTTTTGGAAATATTTTAATTTTATTTTTTAAATAAAATTTTGAAACAAAATTGTAAACAATTTTTAATTGTAAAGAATTGTCGTAAAAAAAATGTAAATTGAAATGAGAGGCATAAATATTTCACAAATTGCCAAAAATTTTATTCGATTGAGAAAACGTGTAAAAAAAATCTAATCAAAAACTAAAGTGCAATGAATTCAAATGATACAAAATATAATGTAAGTGATGAACTTTATCTCGAAATAGAAACCCTTAATGTTTCATTGACAAGTGTCAACATTACACAGGAAATTGATTCGTTCTACTTCTATCAGGTAATGTGTTTTCCATTAAGAGCCACTTAATTAATTTACAATATTATTATGAGAGACACAAAGCCGTAATTTAATTTTCATAATTGTCAATTACAATCATTATTCATGTTATTAATTATTCGAAATAATCACGATTTGTTATTTAACAATTATATTTTTTTTTCTTGAAAAAACATTTGTTTCGAAAAAAAAAAAATTTCCATTAATGTGAATGAAGAGCAACAACTTTTTTTTCAACTTGTCAACTTCACATTAAAAGAGTAAATCTCCATAAATGCGAGAAAACTCGTATAAAGGTAATTTTCTAATAAGATAAGAACTGCGAGTTTTTTTTTTCAACCAAGTGAGGATAATATTCTATATGGCGAAACATCAACAATTTTTACTTTTCCAGGACTAAGCGACAGGTTTACTTTTTTGATTTTTTTTGTCAATCAAAAAAATTTTTGCCAAAAAAATTTCCTTTTAAAACTGGATTATTGGAATCAAATCGCTGGGTTAGTGGAAAAAAGGATACGTCCGTTTGATTTAACTATGACGTGTCCTTTTTTTCCAATAACCCAGCGAAATCATTTTTTCAAAAAAAAAAAAAAAATGACTGCAAAAACAAAGAAAATTGACATCGATCGATCTTCGTAATAAATTACTGAATCGAATTTTTTTTTTTTCAACTGACGTGGATTTTTCTTCTAATAAACACGTATTGAATGAAGTTACTCGGTGCCATAAAGGTTTTAAAGAAATTTTAACAAGAATATACTTTATTTCCTTTTGGCAAAAGAATTCAACAAAGTACCATATGAGTTAGCCAAGAAACTTTTTTGATTTTTTTTTTATCATATAAATACGTGCACGCATCTAAACCAAAAAAAAAAAAAAAAAATGTCTTCACTAATTGCTTCTTTCCCTTAAACTCCACGTATGGTAAAAAGAATTCAAGTCATTCAAACGACATTTTTCATTTCCGTAAATAAGTGCAAACAATTTTTTCCTTTTGGAAAAGATAATCTACCCTTTTTTTTTACAACAAAAAAAGTGAAATATGAAAAATATTTCATGATTTTTAAAATTATTTCCTCTGGTTATAATTTTATTTATTTTTTTTTGGTTATATTTGAATTAATTATGATAATAGAGGAAGCAGATAAAGAAATTCTATGAAAAAACGAAATTACGGTAGAAAAAAAAAAAAAAAAGGGAAACCATTTCTATGGGAGAAGACCGTGTATCGATGTAGAAAAAAAAAACTTCCAAGGGTCAGGAGAGCCATTAAAGGTATATAGACAGAAGACAGAATTTCAAGTTCTTTGTCGACAGATTGATTCTTTGCTGAAAATCTAGAGCTTTCCGGAAGTGACATCCGATTTAGATTATCCTCTAGAAAAAAATAGATAGAAACCATCAAAAGACACGAGATTTCATTACAGCTACTGTGGGCAATAAAAATATTTGAAAATTAATTAAAAAGCTAATATTAGTCGAGATAATTTTATTATAATAATTTCTCTAAAATTTTAGCAAAAAAAAATATTACTAAATCAAATAATTAGTAAAAATTTCTACTAATTTTCAATCTACTAATTTCTAATAATTTTTCTAATAATTTTTTTTTTTTAGTAAAAATATTACGAAATCCAATAATATTAGTGAAAATTTCTACTAAATTTTTTAAAGACATTTTTCACTAAAATTTTATGTAAAAAAAATTAATTAATTAGTAACATTTTTACTAAAAAAAAATTAGTGAAAATTTCAACTAAAATAAATTAATGAGCGAAAATTCAAAATTTAGAGAGAAAATTAAATAATAATTAGAAAGAAATATAAATTTCAAAATTTTTATTTTGATTTCTCCCACATATTCGATTTATATATTGAGGGGAAGAAGGTTTGTTAGAAGTGTGAAATGAAGACATATATTTAGGATTACAAGTTAGCGTGCCGCGAATCTCCCGCGCATCAAGAAAAATTATCGCTCACCATTAAAGCGTCCCGCACATCTGATTTGTGTTAATAAACTGTAAATTTTAAAGTCTAAAAAATTTTTTTTTTGCAAAAAAATAAATGACCAATAATCCTAAAATAAAAATTTCTCTTCTTTAAGGCGAGTTTACAATTTATTTTCATAAAATTTGTTTTATCATTTTAATTTAAAATTATTTTATAAAAAAAATTAATTAAGTTTAAATTTCTATTGTGGCAAAGTTATATATAAATTTGCTCCAACAAAGGTAAAAAAGATAACGTATAATTTAAAGCATTCATTATTTTTAAGATTATTATTTCAAAAATTTATTTCATAGAAAATTATTTTCTCCCCCCCCCCCCCAAAAAAAAAGAATATTATAACTATTTATAATTTGGAAAATATCTTTTTAATCTAAAAAGATATGGATCAAAATATAAAAGATATTATATGATTTACTTTTACGAAATACAATAGTGAGTTTATATAAATATCATATATATGCATCAGATAAATGTCCTTTCCCTTTTTCTTCATAAAATGGAAATTTTCCCCAAAGTTATTCTTCCCTCTGACAGAATTCTAAGTGCTTTTTAAATAATAGTTTATTTCACACTTCTCTCTCTCTCTCTCTCTCTCTCTCTCTCTCTCTCTCTCTCTCTCTCTCTCTCTCTCTCTCTCTCTCTCTCTCTCTCTCTCTCTCTCTCTCTCTCTCTCTCTCTCTCTCTCTCTCTCTCTCTCTCTCTCTCTCTCTCTCTCTCTCTCTCTCTCTCTCTCTCTCTCTCTCTCTCTCTCTCTCTCTCTCTCTCTCTCTCTCTCTCTCTCTCTCTCTAAATAAAATAAAATAAAAACAATTTTGTAAAAAAAAATTTGAATATTATTCCAAATTATATATATTTTTTAAAAATTTTTTTCTATAAATTTTTTTTCGGAAAACTGATATGAAAAATTGAGAAAAGATTATAATAAAATACATCAACAAATTTCCCGTACATTATAAATGTATTTCCTCGACATATAAAAGTATTAAGTACAAAGCAAAAAGCGAGAATAAAACTGCAGTTTCGATCTTCGTAAAGCGAACGAATAAACATTTCGAAATATATGGAGGACAATTTTCGAGTGAATAGGGAGCGGATATTCCCAAATCTACTTGTGCGGTTCGAATTTAAACGACAAGTCGTAAAAAGCTTGCTTTTCATATGTATATATATATAAACCTTTCATTTTTATAAGATCTTCATTTTCAAATTTTAGAGGACATCAAAAATATAATATAATCTTATAAAAAGTTTGACAATCTCCAAAATATTTTTATTTTGCATATAATTATTTAAAAAATAAAAAGAGGAACAAAAAATTTCGCAATATATAAAAAAATGAAAAATGTACACATGAGTGGAAAGACATGTTATGGAATCAAGAAGATCTTTTGATTAATGTCTTTTTTTAAAGCGATATTTTCTTGAAAAGAAAAAAAAAAATTCATCAACTTTAAATTCAGGGACTTTATTGAAAAATAAGGTAAAAATGTTGAGAACAAGAAGAATACATTCTCTTATCGTCATAACCAACTCTCGCGCACTTTTATAATAATATAATAATGCATCACCCAAACTCACAATATAAATTCTAATGTCATCTGTTTTAAATCTATTTTATCTCAGGGACATTTTTCTTAATCTCTTATATTACTTTGTTCTTTTTTATAATATTACATATATTTCTCTAAAAGAAACTTGCAAAAGATTCTATCGTAATGCATCAGAAGATTAAAAATTCGTAATTTATTATTTCAAATGTTTCACATTAAATTTTGGATAATATAAATCTTAAATAAAAATAAAATTTCAAAAATCAACATAAAATTCATATTTAATTAAATTTTAATTTTCGAGATAAGAAAATTTTATTAATCAATCCTATGAATCACATTACTTTAAGGTAAATTCTTTGACCGTTTAAATTGAGTTTCTTTCTGATAACTGAAAAGCGTCTGGCAGACTTTTCTCTTGATTTTCTATTTTTCTTTCTGGTTTTTCTCATACTCCGTGTGCATGATAACAATCTTTCTTCCATGAATCTCATTCTCTATAAATTTACTTCCAAATTCCAAAAAAAAGACAACTATTAAATTCCTTTTCTTTTTTTCAATCATTAAAATTCGATTTTTCAAATTTTTAAAAATGTGAATTATTTTTGTCAGTAATTTTCCAAGACTGCGTCAAATTGAAGATTATAATAAAACTTTTCAACGTAATTTTATTTCTTTTTTTTTCTTTAAAACAACATAACGTGATATTGTCCGTAAGTCTGGATTAAACTACTAAAATTTTCACCCCTATACATCCACCTCAATATATATGTATATATATATAGAAGATTCGAGATTCTTGACGTAGCGGCAAAAGCCAAAGAAGTTGAAAGGAGAACACGCGATCTTGGCACAGAAAAAGAGATAAAAAAAGAGATAAAAAATACGTAAAAACGTTAAAAACAAAAAAGGGGGAAAAAAGGAAAAATGAGATAATGGCTAGTTGTGCTAAACGAACTGTGTATCAAGTTTGTCAATGTGATTATATTATAATATATTCCTAACTTTTCTTCTTCCTTGACATCATTTAAAAAGAGCGCATATATCGCAAAAGTGTCCGTATAAAATATATATATATATATATATATATTACAAAATCCAATTTTTTTTCCCTTCAAGAAAATGATGATGATGATACACCAAAAATTATGATTAACCAATTTCGAATCTATAAAAAATTCTTATTTTCATTTGCATTTAACAATAGAATTAATTTTTAAAATATATTTAATTTTAAATGTATTTTTTAAAGTACCAGAGAAATTTTCTTTATTTTGGAAATAAAGAATTAAAATAGTATTTTATTTTTTATTATAAACTAGCAAAATTAAACGCGCGCAAGCGCGCCAAATTGAATATTTAATTATTTGTTATATAAAAATTAAAGATTAATATTATTAATAATAATTTAATTTATTAGAATATTATTACATATTGAATGATAATAATGAAAATTATATGTTTACAGGCCTCGGATTACACGACTTTTTCCGACTTTTTTCAAAAATACGACTTTTATCGACTTATTTTATTTTTAATAAAATGCGACATTTTTTTTTACATTTGAAAAAAAGGAATAAAATACATTTTTTTAGTATAAAATGTAGATCTTCTTCAGATCTTCTTCAATTCAATTATTTAACAAATTTTGAACTAAAATGATTCTTCACTAAATTAATTATTTTCAATAATTTTAATTAAATACATCACAAATTCAATTATATCAAAATTATTTTTCAATTAAAATTTTTTGAAATTTAACAATTGTTTATAATTTAAAAAAAAATATCACAATAAAATTGAATTATTTTTTAAAAATTTCTATTCAAAATAAACTAAAATTCAATTATTACCCGAAATTTTAATTCAAAATCAATTAAAATTCAATAATTATCAAAAATTTTCAATTTAAAATTTTATTATTTACCAAGTTTTCAATTTAAAATGAAATAAAATAAAATTATTTTCTAAAATTTCTATTCAAAATTAATTATCCAAATTTTTAATCAAAAATGAACTTAAATGAAATTATTATCCAAAATTTCAATTAAAATTCAATTATTTCCCAAAATTTTCAATTCAAAATGAACTGAAATTCAATTATTTTCTAAATTTAAAATCAAATAAAATTTCATTATTCTCAAAAATTTGAATTCAAAATTAATTGAATTTTCAATAATTTGAATTTAAAAGCATCGAAAATTTAATTATTTCTAAAATTTTCCATTGAAAATTTTGTTTTTGAAATTTAATAATTTCAATTATAACTCTAAGGAAATTCAATTATTTTTAACTATTTTAATAATATTCTTTGAAATTTCAACTGTCTGAAACCATTTTTCAATTAAAAATGATTTTCAAATTATTGTATTTTGTCCGCATTTTCTAATAAATTTTTAGTGAAATCATCTAAAATTTTAATTACAAAACACTTAAAGTTTCAATTAATTTCAAAAATCTCAATTTTAAATCTGTGAGAATTCAATTAAATTTAGAAAATGTTTTCCAAAAATTGTTTGATAAATTATTTTCAGTTCCGTAAAATTTAATAATTGTTTGAAAATTAACAATATCTTTTGAAATTTAATTATTTCTAAAAATTTCAACTTTAACCCTTCGAAAAGGATTATTATTAAAAAAAAAAAATTTTTTTTTTTTTTTACACTTTTTATATGATTTTAAATAATCGTATGGATTTTGCTAATTTTTAATTTTATTTAATTTAATTTTTTTTTTTAAACAAAATTTCTAAAAAATGGTAAAAAAAATATATTTTTTTAAATTTTGATAACCTAAAACACTTTTAAACCCTAAATAATTTTATGGAAAAAATTTTTGCCTAATAACAACGACATTTTTTTTAACTGAAGGAAACCGAAACTTTTTTCCCCTTTGTCAAAAATTTGTATCTCGAAAATTTGGGCACTAAAAAAATTTTTTTAAAAAAATATTTATCCGAATTTAAAAGGTTTTAGAATCGCATTTTTACATTTTAGAATCGCCAACACAAAATATATGATAATTTAAAAAAAATAAATAAATAAATATAAAAAAAATATATGGAAAAAACAAGCTCCAAGCTCATGAGCACATTATAAAAAATTAAATACAACAACATGAGATATAGTAATTGATGATTTATAATATAGTAATTTTCCACGATATCTGAAGGCAAGATCATATTGTCATTTTTTAAATTCTATCTAGAATCTCACCTCGTGTATATAAATGTATAATCAAGCACCGATTAAAGTGCCTGTTGTTTATGATAGGCGTATAAGGTATAAACCAAAGTTGATGCCAATGACCGAAGAAAATTTATATCGCGATGGTATATATAATACAACGACGCAAACGGGGTGTTACAAAATACAAAGTGGTAATAAATCTTGTTCTCCTATTTCTCATAGTATAATTTCCCCCCATTTTATGGGTGACGAAATTTCATGTGCACCAGCAAAAAAAAAAAAAAAAAACGAAAATAATCCACATTTTCAAAAATTAATTCAATATATAATTGGAAAAATAGATTATTTATATTTCAAAATTTTATGAATTATTTAACTAAAATATTGCAAAATTTTCTCGAATGCGAGAGAAAAAAAAATGCAATTTCTCAGAAGAATTTATTTTTGTTAAAAAGACCATTAAAGAATGACAATGTAACTATAGGGTTATTTCAGGAGGTGAATTTTTTTTTTTTTTTTTTTTTTTTTAACAACTTCTTGACATGATATCGACATATAAAATAATTGATCTGTATATATATTCAACGGTCAGCCTTTCAAATCAGTAGGCCTGGCAATTCTCATATGATTACACGAATCACAAACACGACTTATAATGATTTCTCCACCTCTATCAAGAAGGCGGAGATATCGATATCAATCCATATTGGTTAAAATATAAAATCAATATGTAAATTTTTATACAAATATAAAAAAACAAACAAATAAAAAAAATAAACAAATTTCAAATTAAAAATCGCCAGTGTAATTTACAATATTTCGATATTTATTGAAATGCGCTAATTTTTATTTCTATCATTATTTAGAATCTAAAATTATTATTATACAATTATTAAAATTAAAAAAAAATATTTTTTTTTCAATTTTAGAAATTTTAAATTAACTTTTTTTGAAATCCATATACGATTGTTTGTTCAAACTCATGAAAAAGCGTATAAAAAAAAATTGACAAAAAATAATTAAAATTGTAGAAGTTCAAATTTTAATTTTTCGAAAATTTTGAGTTTTATTTACAAAATTATTAACTAATTAATTTGTTCTCAATTTTATAATAATAATAATAATAATAATACAAATAATAATTTGTATATTTTAAAAAATACACCAAAATGTTAATAAATAATAATATTAATGTAAAAATTTATTTAAAAAAATATTAATTATAATTTATAAAAATAAAAAATAATTATATTATAATTTTAAATACAAAATTATCAGAAAAAAAAATTGGCAACCCCAAAGAGCATAAATTTCTATAGATTAAAATTTTACTTGTCCCTCCCCTTAATCAATGATTCAAAACTGAATTTTTTAAAAATTATTATTAATAAATTATTAATAATATTATTAATAGTATTTTTAATAAATTATGATTAATAATATTTATTGAAATATTGAAATATTAATAAATTTTTGTATTTTCATCAAATAATTAAAAAAAAAAAAAAAATAATATAATTTTCCACTGTTACAGACTGAACAATTTACATTCCTATCTATTTTACTCGCAATAATTGTCGCCGGAAATACAACAGTATTAGCATGTTTGCTAATGGGAAAAAGAAGAAAATCACGAATGAATTTTTTTATCAAACAACTTGCATTTGCAGGTAAGATTATAATATAATCAATAATTCACTAAAGGGATTATTATTTTTCATTAAAGAAAAGTAATTTGTCATGATGAGTTAGAAAGACGAATTTCTCTTATTTTTTATTTTTTTCCCTATAAGTAAAAAGCCATTGTCCAAAGATTTTTTATTGAAGTGTAATATTCGCTCGACATCATTATTTCTACTCAGAACATCTGGCTTTCCATTGTCCTCGCAACAAAAACCATACGATTTTTTTATTGCCTAAATCTAATACATAGAAGAGATTTATATAAATCCGCCATTAAGAACAAAATTTCGTGAATTTTTTTTTATAATTATTAAAAAGAATGAAATCAACAAAAAATGATACGTCGCAAGATGAATAATAATCTAGTGAAATTTTCTGTTTTTTTTTTCTTTTTGGCGAAAGGAAATGAGAAAGATCATAAAACTCAACACAATATTCCAGCAATTTGAAACCTACGCCTTGGAATCGTAATAATTGAAGTGACGTTGACAATTTTACGACTTTATTTCGAGATGGCAAGAGGGATGTTCCTGTATTATAATTAATTTCGCTGTATTAAATTTTTTTTTAATCAACAAGTCTGAGAATTTTTTTTTTTCGAATATTAAAATTAGAAGTATAGTTTTTCTCGAAAATGAATTTCTGTTACAGATTTAATGGTGGGTTTGATATCTGTTCTAACGGATATTATTTGGAGGACAACAGTCACCTGGTATGCGGGAAATATAGCTTGCAAGCTAATTAGATTTATGCAAGCAATTGTAACTTATAGTTCCACATATGTTCTCGTTGCCCTTTCCATCGATAGATACGATGCCATAACAAGACCAATGAACTTCACAGGAAGCTGTACGTATGTATTTTTTATTAAAAATCTATCAGTTTAAAAAAAAAACATTTTTATTCTTCAATGAAAAATTTTTATTTTTATATAAATTATAAATAAAATTAACAAAATAACTAAAAATTTTTTTTTTTAAATTCTGTCCTAACTTGAAGTTGGCCTTTTCTAATTTCACGTGTATTTTTAAATAGTAGTCTTATTACGTGTCAAATTTTGACAATTCTTTTTCTCATTTTTGCCAAAGTTGCATAATTGTGTTTCCAAATTTCGGAATAAGTTTTTTTAAAATTCCAAATTCGAAAATTCAATTCACGAAGCTGAAGTACACAACGTTTACCAACGAAATTTTTTTAAAACTTGTATATTGATTTAAAAATTGTATACATATACAAAAAATTTATGATGAGAAAAAAGATGCGCCAGGAAATTTCGTACAAGATAGTAATTTGAAAAAAATGTATTTTTCAAAATTAATTTTTAAGGTACTAGGGGCCAACGAATACCTATTAAATATTAATTATAAAAACACAGGCCTCGATTCAACTTAAAGACACAAAAAAAGTCGATTTAGTCGATTTATATTCCAAAAAAAAGTGGATTTGTTTTTTATTTTAACAAAAATATTTTACAGATTTTTAAATAAAAATTTTTTTTAAATAATAATCCTTTTCGAAGGGTTAAAGTTGAAATTTTTAGAAATAATTAAATTTCAAAAGATATTGTTAATTTTCAATTATTAAATTTTACAGTACTAAAAATAATTTATCAAACAATTTTTAGAAAACATTTTTTAAATTTAATTGAATTTTCAAAGATTTAAAATTGAGATTTTTGAAATTAATTGAAACTTTAAGTGTTTTGTAATTAAAATTTTAGATGATTTCACCAAAAATTTATTAGAAAATGCGGACAAAATACAATAATTTGAAAATCATTTTTAATTGAAAAATGGTTTCAAATAGTTGAATTTTCAAAGAATATTATTAAAATAGTTAAAAATAATTGAATTTCTTTAGAGTTATAATTAAAATTATTAAATTTCAAAAATAAAATTTTTCGATGGACAATTTTAGAAATAATTAAATTTTAGATGCTTTTAAATTCAAATTATTGAAAATTCAATTAATTTTGAATTCAAATTTTTGAGAATAATGAAATTTTATTTGATTTTACATTTGGAAAATAATTGAATTTCAGTTCATTTTGAATTGAAAATTTTGGGAAATAATTGAATTTTAATTGAAAATTTGGATAATTAATTTTGAATAGAAATTTTAGAAAATAATTGAATTTTATTTCATTTTAAATTGAAAACTTGGTAAATAATTAAATTTTAAATTGAAAATTTTTGATAATTATTGAATTTTAATGGATTTTGAATTAAAATTTCGGATAATAATTGAATTTTAGTTTATTTTGAATTGAAATTTTAAAAAAATAATTCAATTTTATTGTGATATTTTTTTTTTAAATTATAAACAATTGTTAAATTTCCTAAAAATTTGAATTGAAAAATAATAATTTTGATATAATTGAATTTGTGATGTATTTTATTAAAATTATTAAAAATAATTAATTTAGTAAAGAATCATTTTAGTTTAAAATTTATTAAATAATTGAATTGAAGAAGATCTGAAGAAGATCTACATTTTATACTAAAAAAATGTATTTTATTTACATTTTTTTTCAAATGTAAAAAAAATTGTCGCATTTTATTAAAATGAGTCGATAAAAGTCGTAGTTTTGAAAAAAGTCGGAAAAAGTCGTATAATCCGAGGCCTGTAAACATATAATTTTCATTATTATCATTTATAAATGATAATAATGAAAATAATAATTAATTTAATTTATTAGAATATTATTATATATTATAATATGGAATAATATTCTAATAAATAAAATTATTATTGATAATATTAATTATTATCAATTATTAATTAATTATTAATTAATTTCTTTAATTTCTTTATAACAAACAATGAAATACTCAATTTGGCGCGATTACGCGCGTTTAATTTTGCTAGTTATAAATAAAATTAACAAAATAAATAAATAAAATTTTTTTTTAAATTAATAAAAACTAATTTTGTGAGATTGGATGAAAAGAGTTTTAAATATCTAATTATATGTATATGACTTGAAATATATTTACATAAACATTCAAGGGGTCGTTTGAGTATATTTTTGCCTCCTTCTTTTCTTCTGCGACATTTTAGCATTTGATGAAAGGAAAGCTTTACGAAAGAGGCAATTTATCACTCGACCGTCTTTTTCCTGGGGGCCATTTGCAAAAAACTTCAGATGCATTTGTTACATCGCTCAGCTTTCACAACATCTTAACAGCTAAATCAACGATGTTATTCTTACAAAATACTCTTGAATATATTCATCTTTTTTTTTATGAACTACCATAAGGACATTTGTTAACTCTAACCATGAAAGGTTTATGAAGAACATTTTTTTTTCCAATTTCAATACAACGTATTTGTCGTGATTTTTCTTTTTTATAATAGCAATTAATTATTTTATTTTTACAACTAGAAATTAAAAACTACAAACAAAAAAAAATTTTTTTTTGATAATATTGACAATATGAAATTCATTGGTCTTTCAGGGCGAAGAGCTCACATATTAATTGCCAGTGCTTGGGGATTATCGACAATTTTTAGTAGTCCTATGATTTTTCTCTATGAAGAAAAATTAGTTCAGGTAATCAAAATTTTTACAACGAAAAAAAAATTAATTTAAACAATGTTTGCTTTATTATCAAATAAATATTTTCTTGAACCAAATAATTTTTTTATTTAAAAGAAATACCATATTTGACTTAAAAAAATTATTTCATAAATATTTGATAATAGTCAAGTAATCGATTATTTGAATTAAATAAATTTTTTTTCAGTGTATAAAATGAAAAATTAGAAAAAAATTCCTTTGAAGTAAAAAGATTTTATTCAACAACTTTCAGGGTAAATTGCAATGTTGGATTGAATTGGGATCACCTTTATATTGGCGAATCTACATGAGCCTTGTCAGCATCACAATTTTTATTTTACCAACTTTTATAATCGGTGGATGTTATTTGGTAATTGTGGTAACCATTTGGTCACAAGGAAATGTCATACAAGAAGGGCCAACACGTGAAATAAGAAGAGCATCATCACGAGGACTTATTCCCCGGGCAAAAATCAAAACAGTCAAAATGACCTTTGTCATTGTATTCGGTAATTGTTCAACAATTTTTTAAATTAAAAAAATTTCTGTCAAAAAAAAATTCCTGATAACAAAATTTTTAATAAAAAAAATTTCAAATAAAAAAATTTCTAAAAAATATATTTATAATTATATATAAATAATATTTATAATAATTATTCCAAGAAATTCCAAGGCGGAGAAAATAAAATAGAGCGAAAATTGAAATGATCTGACCGCAAGGAAAGATAAACCGTCGTCAAAATCGAATCGCGTTTGAGATAGACAAGAGAAGAACGGGTTGAAACGGCCAAGTTCGAAATAAACCTTGTCTAGGGTATTACGAAATCCCTTCTTTTTTTTCATTTATCCCGAGGGAATGATTCCACTTTGTCGAAAGATAGCGAGTTTACCAGATTCGGCACTTTTTATCTAGAAAAAATTTTGCCTACTTTATCAAGAAAAAAAAAATCAGTATGAAAAAAAAACCCAATATTTTCTAAAATCAAAAAATCATATTTTTTTTTCTTTCAGTGTTCATTTTATGCTGGAGTCCTTATATAATTTTCGATCTACTTCAAGTTTACGGTCACGTGCCTGCAACACAGACAAATATTGCAGTTGCCACATTCATTCAAAGTCTAGCACCTTTAAATTCAGCAGCCAATCCTATTATTTACTGTCTTTTTAGTACACCATTTTGCAAAAATATTCGGTAAGATAAAAAAAAACTAATTTTTAATTTTTCAATCGAATTTTTAATGAAAATGAAATTTTTAAAATTGATAAATTTTTTAACAATAAAGTATAGGGTTAAAATAAAAAATTTTTATACATTGCAGAAATACTCAAGCCATATCGTGGATCGTGGGATGGTGTCCAACCATTCCACAATATTGCTTTAGTACAACTGCCCCTCAGAATAGTTCAAGAACGACAATGACGACTTCCTTGACTGCCAATTCATCCCGAAGGAGTGGTTGTCAAAATGCAACGTTGCATTCGGCATCAAGAAAACGTGTAATGATTTCTTTGGTTTAAAAAAAAGTGTTTTTTTTTCGTAATGAAAATTCAACTCTCAAAAAAGACTTGACAAGTTTTTCCATAAAAATCTCATCGATAATTATTACGAGCATTGTAATTATGTAACTTTGCTATGACATTTGTAAATAAGTTAATAAATAATTGTATAAAACAAAAAAAAAACAAAAAAAAATTGTTTCAATCTTTCCTTTCATTCCAAAAAAAAGGAAATTTAAAAAAATTTCGACAATGGAATTATAAATAAAAAAAAACAAATGATTTTCAGTTTAGTCTTTGTTTTCCGTTCATGACATTTAAAAAAATTCAAATTAATAAATAAACTACTTTAAAAAAATGTCAATAAACCAAATTTTAATGTTTCTATTGTAATAAATAAAAAATAAACAGAAAAATTCTCTGTGAAAATTGTCAAACAAAAAAAAAAAAATGGCAATGAATAATTATAAAATTGATTACATTCCACAAAAAGGTTACAATCATTTATCACATAATTCTCAAAATTATCGTTCACCGTCTTTCCACTACGAAAATGGTGATTCAATTTTCTATACACATTAAAAATACCAAAAATTCTAAATCATTTTCAAATTTGAAAAAATAAATAAATAAAATTCTCAATCTAGTTATAAAAATAATTTAAAAATACGAATTATTTCAGATTCATATACACGTAATATAAGGAATTGTTTAGAAAGATCAACTCCAAAATATCACTCTTTTCATGATAGGCAATATTTAGAAGGTGCCAAAAAACTTTTTTTTTACAAACTCTAAATTATTGACAAAAAAAAATATAATAAAATAAAAAATTATTATTTATTTCAAAAAAAAAATAAAATTTCAACTTGTGCATTTTTAAAAAATGGCAAAAATAAATTCTAATTTTATAATTAAAATCGCAATGTTGAATCAGATAAGTTGAAATGAGAACAAATATTGATACTTAAAACTATCGCAATTTCAAGAAGGCGCTGCTTGGTGAAAATTGATAAAGTTCGAGAAAACTTGTGTGAAATAAGTTCAAAATGATTGTTACCTTTTTCCTCACATGTGAATAAAAAGTGGAAAAAAAAGCTTCTGCAAATTTTCTTTTTACGAAAAATAAAGAAATTATTTTCGTTTTAGTAACAATTAATTTAAATATTACAATTAAATGTAAATTAACTAACAAAACAATTTAACAAAATTAACTATCTTATTTCAATTTTTCCCCAACTTTATATTTTAAGTAGAAAAGTTATTATGTGATCAGACCTCGCGTCTGACTAAATAAGAAATTTCTACTTATTCAAATAATTCACTCTTTAAATTTAAATGTTATAAATTTATGAATGAAAATATTTAAATTAGTAAAATGTATTAATAATTTATTAAATTATATTGAAAAATAATATAAATAAATTAAATTACTAATTAAAACTATTAATTATTATTATATAATTATAATAAATTAAAAATTTTAAATATTAAAATTTAAATAAATATTAATAAATTATAATATATTAATATATAATAATATAAAATAATTAAAATTACTAATTACTTCTTATTTAGGAGAAGGAGATCCTCATTTTTTCACAACGGAAACGCAAATGCGAAAAATAAATGCCACGAACGGACGTGAATCGCCGAATGGTTGTAATTTAATAATAAAAAAAATTCAAATGCTCGAGGATGAAAATTTAGCAACAAGAAAAAAATATCAATGTCTTTTTATAGAGTAAGTTAATTGAAAATATTTAACATTTAAATGATGTTATAATTTATAAATATAAATTTTCTAAATATATTTATAATTATAATTTACAGTATAATTCAAATTTTTAATTTAAAAACTATAATATTAAATATTTAAACTAAAATATTATTATTATTATTATTATTATTATTATTATAATGTTGTTAAAAACCTAATTTCTACAGAAAAGAAATAGAAGTCGAAAAACGTATGAAACTCGAAAAAAAAGTTGCAGAATTAGAAAAGTTTTTACAAGAAGAACGAGAAAAAGCACCAGCAGTATTATAGTTTCAATAAAATAACTATCTTATATTAATTAATATTAATATAATATATTAATTTATTTAATATATTATCAAAATTATATTATTATTAATTAATATTGTATTAATATATTTTGTATAATTATTTAAAAAAAAAATATAGGAAAAAGATCACCGATCATTAAAAACTGTAGAAACTTTAACAACAAAAGTACAGTGTGCTAATGAGGAGGTTCAAGTTTGGCAAGTATGCAGAGCATGTCGAAGAGAATTGCAAAGTCAAGAAAATAACGAACCAATTATAACTATGACAAAGTATATAGAAAATAAATAAAAAAAAAAAATTCCAACAAACTAAATATCAATTATAAAAATATTAATTTTTCCAATTTATTAATTAACAGAACAGAATTGGAGAATTTAGAAAAGGATATGACAATTCTAAGAGATAGTATTCTTGCAACAGAAGAAACTTTAAACAGATCAAAGATAAGAGAACAAAATTACAGGGAACAAATAGCACGACTTTTTGTTGAAGCCGATTCCTCTCAGACACTTTGTAAAATTCGTTCAGATGAAATAAAAACCCTAACACGTGAATTATCGGTAAATTCAAAACAAATTCGAAAAGAAAAATTAAAAATATATGAATTTTTTTTATTCATTTTTTAGGACAAAGACATTGCTGTCAGAAATATGGAAAAAAATATAATGGACATGGGAAAATTAATAATCAAATTAAATAAACAATTGAGGTATATGTAAAATCAAAACATAAATATAAATTAAAAAAAAAAATCTAATAAAAAAAAACAATAAATAAAAAATAATTTAAAGTCAATATAATTTTAATTTATATCAACAAGTCACAAATAGGTTTTTCAATTTCCTGAAATCTATTTTCAGAAATCATGAAGAATTTTGCCAGATAGAAAACGGATTTACTACGGAAATAAGTGAAAGAGAACAAAAGTGGATGGAGGATATTGAACGACGTCTTTGCAATACGAAGGGCAAACAGAGAACAAAAGATAAAGCATCCTCGAGTCAGCAATCTAGTCCCCGTGGGGTTAAAATTACAGAACGTGGTATAGAATCATAAATAGTATGTTAAAATTTATAAAAATTGTAAATTTCCCCAAAAATGTAATTGTTTAAAACCGTATTTTAAACAATCAAAAATTTCTATCAAATAATAAAATAAATAATAATAATAAAGTAAAAAATAATTAGTTAACTCCCGATTCGACTAATTTAAAATAATTAATAAACTGAATATTAATTAACTTTCGATCAATAAAAAAGCTTCCTTATTCGCACAGAAAATACTTTTTTTTTATATTTAGACTTTTTGTTTTGTTTAATTTACACTGCCTTATATACATATGCAATTAGACGCCATTTTTAAGCATATCTACACTCGTACGTAAACTTCTTTTTTTTTTCATAAATAAAGCGTGCCTATAGACGCCATTTTCTTATAATATTATCCTTCTCTTGTAATACGTTGCTCTGAATCTAATCCTAAGTAAACTTAATAGGAATGCGAATAGGACATTTTCTTTTTGTATATCTTACAATAAAAAAAAGAACGTAATTGCAATTACGTCTTTTTTCTCGAGTAATGATTAATTTTAATCAGAGGTAAAGAGTAGATTTTTTTTTTTTTTTTTGAAATTTAACGAGGATTATTACCTACGATAATTAGCTAAATAAATTTTGTTGGCTCGTGTCATTTTCAAATGCACTCCAAGCATTATTTAATTCCATAAATATAAGCTTTGCAATATTTTCATTATTCGTGCCGGTTTGCTGAAAAAATAAAAAAAAATTTGTTATTAAATTAAAAAAATGTATTCACTAATTGATATAAATAATTACTACCTGTTTTTAAAATGGTAACTAGAAATAATCAAATCATACCTTATCTGGATGAACAGACAAACAGGCTTTTCTATAAGCTTTCTTGACATCCGCATGTGATACAAGTTGATGCATCTCACATTTTTGCCATCTACAATCCTCCCAAATGACCGTGTGCATCGAACAAAGAAGCGCTCTTAAATTACTCTTCTTTCCTTCAGTCCATTCCGATATTTTCAGTCGATCAGGATCCATTGTCTTGGCAGCTTCAACTTTTCTCATTTGATTTATTGTCTTTGGACTCTCCTTCTCAGCTTTTCTACTACTAAAATTATAACCCTGACTTCCCAATAAATCTTCAAAAGCATCACCAGACTTTGTTGGTTTATTATTTGCAGCACTTGGATCACCACTATTTGTATCACTGGACGTATTAGATTTGTGCTGCATCCGCTGACTAGAATGCACTGGAGTTCCACCAGTTGCAGGACTAGCGGATTGTGGAGTATTTGCTTCTCTTGGAGTACCATTCCAACTTCCAATTAAACCACCACCCAATGAACCAGCCAAATTTGCAAATGGATCTTTATTTTGTGCTGCGAAATTTGGAACACTGGAATTACGTGGAAAAGATTCTTCACTGTTATTATTTGGCTTTGTGGCATTTTGCCATCCGCCAAGTGGATCAAAGAGCATATCAGCATTTTGAGATTGTGCCTTTGCTGTTTGTTCCTGTCCAAATAGTAAATCGTTCATATTTGCATTAGACGATCCATTTGTTGAAGGTTGAGTCGATCCAAAAAGTAGATCACTAGAGAGCGATTCGTTAATAGTAGGCGGAGGATTCGGTGTATGCTGATGAAATTCACCAAAATTACCCAAGAGATCACTTTCATTTTGACTAGAACTAGAAAATATATCTAATCCTGGAGTAACAGGAGTTGTTGTATTTCTACTATTGGAGATCAAATTAACACCAGAATCAGGCATTCCAAGATTGAGTAAATCTGCCTCTGCGAATTTTGCAAAATCTTCCTTTTGTTCGATTTCAATTTTCTCTTCATGTGAAGATTCCTCCGGAGAAAAGATTTGTTCATCAGCAGATTCTGTTTCTTCAACTAGAGGCGATTCCTCTGGGGCCTAAAAATAAGAATAAAATTTTTTTTAAAAAATTCCACATTCGAAACAAATTCAGCGTAGGTACATACCTTTATACATTTATCAGTCGTTCGGAAATTTTCCAAAGTCTCCTCCATTTCTAAAGTCGAGCCAAATAAAGGATCGGGAATTGGTTTTGGAGTAGTTTCCACTTCCCATGGCGATGGAACACGTGCAGTTTTACCCGATTCCTCTCCAATCATTGCATTCAATACCACACGAAATTTACCACCAATTTCTGGAGTATCATCTAAATCTTGTTTCTCAAAGATTAATGTACTTTCAGTCAATGGAACATATCCCGTGTGAAAATGCATTGCTGCCATTTTTATTCCAATAATTCTTCCCAATTGTTGTCGTGCATGATAAACAACAATTGTAATATCACCACGAACTGTTGCTTCACCTAATATTAAACAGACTTTTCCCTCCATCAAACTGAATAATTTCATTTCCTCATATTCAGCGCGTTTTGTTGAAAAAACTAATGCTCCATTGCTATAAATTTCCACATATGGACGACATCCGTCCTTAGCTCGTGTAAATAGAGGCACGGGTTGAATCAAAAGTGAACGTAGAACTAATGGCTTTGAATGTGGTAATTTTCCAACACTCAAGTTACCCATATATTTTACTATTCGTAATTCTGATGGCTGTAATTGAGGTGGTTGACAGCGTCTCGTTGTAAATAAAGATATTGCTTCGTCACTCGTTGTAAATGTACCCGAGTAAAGCAATAATGCACAAGCAACAGTTGCACTCGCTCGAAAACCATCCTGAAATTTAAAAAAAAAAAAAAATACGATTAATAAAAATTAATTTATCTGAAGGGTCAATCAATTATATTTCGAGTCTATTTTTAGAAAAATCTTATAAATAGTTGCAGTGATTTAAATCGAAGGTTTATTTAAAAAAAACATTATTTTAATCAAAAAGTTGTGTACATTAAAATGTTTTGAACATTTTTTTTCTAAATTTTTATTTTTTACATTTAATTTTCTATAGTCTAAGGTTCAAAATTCATCTTTTAACCCATTGGCGAATTTTTAATTAATAGTTTATTCAAAGTTATTTACTTTTTAAAAATATAAAATTTTGAAAACACGACTTTTTAAAATCAGGGTTGCCACAAAAATTTAATTTATTTTTTTTCTGATTTTTCCCTGATTTCCAGACAAAATTTTGTTTTTTCCCTGAATCTGATAAAATATTTTTTTGGTTAAATCATGAACATTTTTACTAAATTTCTCTATTTTTCTTTTTATCAAGTCTGAATTTTTTAAAAACAAATTCAACTTTTTGATATTTTTTCAGTGTTTTTAATAAAAAATCTACGAATTTTTCCTGACGTTGACAAAATATTTTTTTATTTTTGTTAAATTTCTCTATTTTTTCCAAAAGTCTCAATTTTTTTTAAACAAATTCAGTTCTAATATTTTTCCAGTATTTTTTAATAAAAAATCTCTGAATTTTCCCTGATTTGTGACAACCCTAAAAATATTTGTTTAAAAATCTCTATATATTACGTCAAAACAATTATAATTAGTTAAACATATTTTAAAACGTACCGTTTGATTTAATTGAGCAATTTTACTATTATTACAAAGTTCAGGGTAGCCGCAAAATTTCATTTTCAAAATTCCCTGACTTTTCCCTGACTAAAAAACTTTTTTATTATTTAATATTCTGCATTGCTGATTGAAATTTTTATAATGCTTTTTAAATAATAATTTTATTCGTAAAGGAAAAGATAAGATAATTAAAAATTGTTTAATAACAAAATTTTATTATCCCGTGTGGAAAAGTGATGTGGGCCCCCAGCGGGGGCCCTTATGGATCGCCCTCATGCCATGAGGGCCGCATATGGATGATCCATAGGGGCCCCTCATGGAAACGACATGCTCATCGATGAGGGCGCCCGCATGGGCGATCCATGAGGGTGCCCCTACGGGCGCCCTTATGGGCCCTCACGTTTGCCCTCATCTTGCCCTCAAGTTTGCCATAATGTTTTTTAATCAATAATATTAATAATAAAAGTTAATTAATAATAAATAAGCTTAAGTTATGAATAAATAACATATTTATTTAATAATTATTCAATTTTAAATTAAATTCTTACTCAAATTGAATTTATTAATTAACGTTCTAATTAATTAACTGTCGGATATAATTAAAAGTAATAATAAATTAATTAATTAAAAAATTAAAAAATATGTAATTTATGCATACTATTAACGAATATTTTCATTTTTCAATTAATTCATACATAGAATTAATGATTAAACGCAAACCTGAGAAATAAATAAATCTAACGCATGGGGGGAATCGAACCTACGACCTACGGACTATGAGTCTAACGCTTTACCAACTACGCTACGCACGCTACTTCAAAACGAATGCTAACTTCTTGATGCTATTTAAACTTGAAAAATACCTAACAAAGAAAAGTGCTTAACATCATTTAGTTAAAGTTAAGATATTAAATTATATTTTCCAATCAAATGCAATTTATAAAATATAATTAATTATATGCTTTATGATTATTATCATGAATCATCTCAGGCGAATTTTCAAAAAAGTGTAAATATATTTTTATTAAAAACGCGTTATTCGTTGTTTTGAATCATTGGAAACATTCATTTTTTGTTGATAAAAAAATATTTGATTTTTGGACTTAGAAAATTTTGCTAATCGATCATGAGGGCGATCCATGCGGGCCCCTACGGTGGCCCTCATCTATTTTGCCATAAGTGTGAGTGTTATTTTCAAAAAAGTGTAAATATATTTTTATTAAAAACGCGTTTTTCGTGGTTTTGAATCATTGGAAACATTCATTTTTTGTTGATAAAAAAATATTTGATTTTTGGACTTAGAAAATTTTGCTAATCGATCATGAGGGCGATCCATGCGGGGCCCCTACGGTGCCCCTCATGGATTCGCCATAAGTGTGAGTGTTATTTTCAAAAAAAGTGAAAATATATTTTAATTAAAAACGCGTTTTTCATTGTTGTGAATCATTATAAACATTAATTTTTTGGTGATAAAAAAATATTTGACTTTTGGACTTAGAAAATTTTGCTAATCGATCATGAGGGCGATCCATGCGGGGCCCCTACGGTGCCCCTCATGGATTCGCCATATGGATCAGCCCTCATGGGCCCCCGCCGGGGGCCCCAAACTCTTGAGGGCAAGATCGTGGCTTTTTCCACACGGGATATTTAAAAATTTTATTATAAAAAAAGTAAGTACTTTGAAAAATGAAAAATCTTAAAAAAAAATTTCCTGACTTTTCCCTGATTTGCGGCCACCCTGAAGTTATTAAATTTATTGTTTAAATATTCATTAAAAAATAAATTTAGAAATTTTTTGGAAAAATGTAACGTAAGTAAAAAGAAATTTTATTTAAATAACAAAAATTAGATTTAAGTCGAAAAAATCGTATTTTTTTGATATTTAAATTTTAGAAAATTGTTTCATAAAATTTTGTATATTTACCTTAAAATTTGGATTTTAAAGATGAATTGCACGAAAAAATGTTATTTTGACAACTGTAAAAATTAATTTAAGAAGCATAATTGTTAGAAATAATCTAATTTACTTATATTTATTGATTATTGTACAAGACAAAATTAATTAGTGAAAATTATTTTTTAAACTTACCTAAGAAATTAATTTTACAGGTAAGTTTAAAAATTAATTTTCATTTAATATTTTTTTTTTACAATAATCAATTAATATACCTAAATAAATTATTTTCAACAATTATAAATTGAGAAATTGAAATTGATCTTCTCTACTTTTTTTTTTTATAAAATTTTTACATCTGTCAAATTAACCATTTTTTCCTGTAATTCGTTTTTCAAATTCCAAGGAAAATATATAAAATTTTATTAAATTTTAAAAAACTAGTTGTACGGATATAAAAAATGATTATTAGAAATTATAACATTTTTCTAAAAATAGATCGCAACGATTTTAGGTAAATTATAATGTATTGATCCTAAAATACTATTTTTTGTGTACATTAACCCAAAATCAAAAAAACCTTCCAATTGATTTAAATTAAATTCTCGCTTCAAAATTTTTATAATTTCTTTCTTTGACATAAAAATTTAAAACAAAAACTTACCGTGCAGTATAAGACAACAACGTGATTAAAATCAGCGTCCAAATATCGATAAATATCCTGGCAAATTTGATAAATAGCTGACAATAGAGGAGCATTGGAATCAACAGACGCATAAGCAAATGAACAATCAATATGCCTTCCCTGTAATCGTGATACATTTGGTCGTCCTCGTGACAAATTGTATAATTGAATTTTCGCCGGTGGTGGATGTCGTGCTTGTAAAAATGCCCTAACATCTTCAACATGATTTGCTCTATATGCAGATTCAATTCCATCAGCTGGATATGGCATCACCATAATTCGTGATGTTAAATAACTCGCATCCAATTCTGTTCTCGCCATACTTTGTTGAACAGTATGCATTACTTTACTGGAAGTGTCTTTTAAATTTCGTAAAATACTTCCTGCACCACCTTTCAATGAACTAAATAATCCACTGGATTGAGCGGCGGGAATTCTTTGATTTGGAGGATGAGTTAGTGGAACTGGTCTTGGTGGTGGTGGCGCAGTATTAACAGTAGCAGTTGCTGGCGGTGGTCGTGGAGGTGGTGCCGCCGATGTTGGAGGTGGAGGCGCAGGTCTCGGTGGTGCTGCTGGTTTTATAACAACATCAATTTTCGGCGGTTCACGTGGATCAAAATTATTTGACTCTGCTATTGCAGCTAAACGTTCAAGCAAGGCCGATGTTGTCAGTCGTTGAACAGGAGAAATTTGTAAACATCCTTTTATTAAATCGTTGAAGCAAGCGTAACGTGGATTTGGTGGGAGCGGTGCGTATTTTGCATTGAGAACTGCTAATTTATTTCCTGTAAAAAATAAATTTTAGTTTCAAAATCTAATTAACTAAATTAAATTGTTTTTTCTACCTTCGGGAAATGGATGACGAAGTGTGACTAAAGCATAGAGAATACATCCGAGAGCCCAACAATCGACAGGTGGACCAATTGGTTCATTATTCCAAGTGTCTGTCATTTCTGGAGCGCGATACATGGGTGTGGTAAATTTTGCCATGTGATCCTCCAAAGTGGCTCTTTTCTGTGCATTCCATGAAGAATCGGGTAAAATTTGTTGTGTTGTGACACTGCCAAAATCACAGAGTTTAACTAATCCATCGCCACCAATCAAAAAATTTTCTAATTTTATATCACGATGTACAATAGGCTGAGGTTGTTGGCTGTGCATATGATGAACAGCTCGAGTTGCTTGATAAGCTATTCGACAAACTTGAGCGACTGTCAATGAATTTGCAGAAATATTTCGTAGAATATCGGCAATTGTCCCGCCAGGACAATATTCTGTGACTAAAAGATATTCGCAACTTTTTCGATCCTCACGTTCTATTCGATGAACGCATAAAAATTGAATTATATTCGAATGACCCGATACGGCTTTTAAAGTTTCTATTTCTTGTAAGACACTTCTGTTTGCCTCCTCATCAACGGCAACGAGTTTCTGAAAAAAAATCAAATGTTGTCATTTGTATAATAGAAAATAAATTATGTCATATCAAGATTGAATTTTTCCAATTGACGTAAAAACTTACTTTCAAAGCATATTCTTTTCCTGTATTTACATCCTCTACGGCAAACACCAAAGCACAACCACCTGTTGAAACAAAGTTTGGAATAAATTACAATATTAAAAAAAAATATACATTTATATATATTCCAACATGATGAAGAGGCAAATTTTCTACATCAATAATAAAATTTAGATTCATTCATAAGGAAATTTGATAATACAAAAAATCTAACAGAAACTAAAAAGTAATTAGACTTAATACGTTTAAAACTAAGACTACATTATGATAAATAAAGAATTTTCTGATAAAATCATTTTATATTTTTAAATCTTATTTTCGGAAAGAATTTTCCTTTTTAAAAAAAACTGTTATATTATAAATTACAATAAAAATTAACATTTTCAAATATATTTCATCTCCAAATGAAAGAAAAACTAAATGTATTCAAAGAAAGAAAAAAAAAGTCATCAATTTTACAAGTGACAAATGAAGATAAACAAAGCATAAAAAAAGAAAATTGCAAGAAAATATTTCCATGTCATTTTAAGATTTGAACCTTCTTCTCAGGTCGAGTTACAATAAGGTTAAGATACAAGGTTAAAATAGATTTCGATCGACAAAAAAGTGTTGACCTTCACTTATTAAAGCCCTTATTAAAAAGAAAGTAACCTTCGTAAAATATTTGCTCCAGAAATTTTTCAATATCTTTGACTGATACTCAACATTATTAACTTCAATAATTAGAGAAACAAAGAAATAAAATATTTAAAAAGTAATAAAAAAAAGTAACATTCTATCCCTATAATGACAAAAAAAAAAAAAAAAAAAAAAAACATGCGTTTGACATATGATTTTAAAAATGAAAAAAGAATCAAAATGTCAATAATAAGATTTTAAAAAATTACAAAAATCAAAAAATAAAAATTAAATTTTTGCCTTCAATCAATGTTGTTTAACAAAAGAAAGTGACAGCTTTTGTGGTTCAAACAACGGTAAATCTAAAAAGTGGGAGGATTGACCACTCACCCTCTGCGATAAGTCTATTCACTCGGAGTTTTACATTGTTAATTTCCACAATTTGACCAACATATTCATTTGAATTTGTGCTTCCGTTCAAGTATCCAAGGGCGGATCTCAAGTAATCCGACATATTTGCTTAATCGTTGATTAAAACTTCCACAATACTCTTTTTTCTTGACAATCAAAAACTACCGATGACATTCGCCATATTGGTCTTTGTACGTCACCCATTGCCAGGAAAGTGACTAGTACTTTAGTGCCCTGCTCTTCTTTGTACTTCAACAATTAGAAAGTGAAAATAAGAGCAGCCGGATCAAAGAAGGGCACATAACTCATTTGAATTACATTAGTTATGTGCCCTTCTTTGATCCGGTACCTCAATTAGTTCAAATATTTCACAATAAGAAAACAAAAAATAAACAATGAAATTTACAAATAAAAATATTGCATATTATAAAATTTTATAATATATAATATTGTAATTTTGCAACAAATAAAATTAAACAATTTGAATAAGATATTTTCCTGTGAACAGAAAAAAATATATGTTTAATATATATTAGGCAGTATAATATTTTAAAACAACATTGGCAAAAATAAAATAATTAAGAAGCAAATAATGTTAACTGAAAAAATTGAAATATTTTCCATTTTCCATCGTCCGACAATCTGAAACATAAAAATCAAGATATAATAATAATAATTAACTATAAAAAGTATTAAAAATGAAATTACCTTAATCAATTATTGTTGACTCTGAAATTCTTAAAAAAAATAAATAATTAATACACAAAAAATTAAAAAAAAAAAAAAATTCCTGTAAAAATTAAGAAAATTATTTTTAAAATTCTGTGAACAGAAAAAAGCACATTGAAAAGATAAATAATTACAAAATTCAAATGTACAGACAACATAGAATAATATAGAATAAAAATGAAAAAATTATCTTCTTTCTTCTTAGGTGGATTAATATTAATTAATCCACCAACCTAACACGCGAATCGCGACTCCAGATTCCTATCAACCTATATCCACCTATCATTTTCGCAATATCTGGAGTTTTTATTATTCGATAACGAAACTAATCACTTATTTTTAATTAATGCTAATTGATATTAATATCAAGTGAATATGAACAAAAAAGGTTCAAATATTCTCTCGATAAAAATAACAATTTTTTCAATGGTAAAATATTAATTATTTTCTAAAACCCGCGCGAAATTAATATTTTACCAAAGTAACTACCTACTTAAAATTAAACATTCATTCCAGAATAAGTAAGTTACCTGCCTCCCTAGCTATATATAAAAAAAATTCAAAATATCACACTCATACCTGGTACCCCTGCCCTTGTTTTGTCAGGTGAAAACCTATTAGCACTTATTGGGCAACCCTACTAGTTAAAGCTTTTGAAAAAGCTTTTTACACACATTGTAAAGCACACAGAAATATTGGCACACCTTTTTTTTCATCAAGTATCAATTTTTCATATGCATTTTTATTAAAATTCTACTTAATTTTCAATATAAATTTTAATTCTCAATAAACTTTTAAAATTTAATTTTCTTGATATAGTTTGCTAGTAAGAAGAGAAAACATTTAATAAACTAAATTAAAAAACTAAAAATTCTTTAAACACTATTTTAATTTAAATTAAATATAAAAATTAATATCAAATTCAATATTATATTAAATGTAAAATTTAATATTAAATTCAATATTATATTCAATATAAAATTAAATATTCAATTAAATACTAAATTTATTTTAAAATAAAGTATATATTTTTGAAAATACAATACATTAAAAAATTTGATTATAAGAAATTTATTATAAAATATAAAAAAAATTAAATTGAAAGACGTGTGTCAAATTAATTTAACGAGTAATTTTAAACACTCTGTTGATTTATAATCAACAAATTTATTTTTACCTGAAAAAGATCCTAAGCTAAATTATTAATTGCTCATGCATTTGACTTTATTAACATCTTGTAAATTTTACATTTATTTCAAAATTCAAAAGCAAAATTTAATTTAATCTTTAATAGATACTTTTTAAAAATTATAATTCAAATTTGAATATTTATAAAAATTCACCATGCAATTCAAATTTTGAAAAAATTACAAATTATATCATGCACTATTATTTAAATTTTTGATTATGTTAAATTTAATTACTATAATTAATAATTAAAACAAAGCATTCAATCGGATGTTCATTGCATGAAAGGAAAAAATCGGAAAATACTAATTAATAAATTCTACAAAACGCGAAATTTCCTTTCATACAAAAATTGAAAAAATTCTTCAGTTATTTAGGAACCAAACAATTTTTTCAATTTCAACTTTTCCGTCCCTATTAAATCTTTTCTTGGTTTAATTAATTATTTTCAAAAAAATTCCATTAAATATTAATTAGAAGCAAATTTAAAGAACAAGAAATTCTTATACTTTATATTTGCAATCTATGATCAATAATTATTGAAATTAATTAAAAATTAATTGTTTTAATTAATTCAAAATATGTTTGCTAATTTGAAAAGGAAAATCCAAGAAAAACCTAGAACCTGATCTAATGAAAACATGTAAAAAATAAATGTCTACACGTTGGAGAAAATTTAGTAAATATTTATTACAAGTTTTAACCAACGGCTCTATGTTGTCTGTAAAAATTGCAAACTGACTTCATTGTTGGTTCGGACCATTCATCCTGCAACAATGAAAACCAGATGCAATGTATTTCAAATACGGACTCACCGGCCCAATTGCTACCTTCAATCAAAGTACTTCAGAAACGGAGCGCTCACCAGCCCTGCTTTCCCAACTAGTGATGGAGTATACCTGCAAAGTAGTTCAAGTTTGATCAAATATGAAGAAAAATGTTTATTTTGAGAAAAAAAAATTATTTGTAAACAAAATTATAAATATATAAGAAAATAATTATAATTTTTTTCACTTTTTTCTTTTCTATTTATTATATTTTTTGTAATTTCATTGTAAATATTTTTTTTTAATTAAATAATTATTTCTTTATAATATACAGAAATTTGTAAATATCAGAAATAGTATAAATTTTTTCTTGAAAAATAACCTTAATAACCTTAAACATAGGCACTTTTTTGAAAATAATTATAAACATTTGACATTTGATAAAAGAAAATTAATGAAACTTACATTCACTTTGATTGAAGGTTGCCTGGAGCACGTTCTGATGAGTCCTAGGGTATAATCACTCACATTTTTTTACACACCATACATAATTATTTTTTATTTTAAATTATTTATTACGTTCATTTAGTTCATAAATTATTATTTTTGTTCGATATTTTAAGTTCGTGTACTTTTTTATGCAACACAATTACAATTTTCACGAGTATTGGGGAAAATTTTCAATAAAGAACTTTTTACGCGACACCGCGGAGTTCACGATTATGAAAATACGCGGATCAAAAAATGTCGAAAATGAGGAATCACTTGCCCAATATAATTATAATCGTGATTGTACTCAAATTTAACATTTTCTAACACTCAAATGATGTAAAAGAATTTAAAACCGGAACCGAACACAAGGGAATTGACGCGATGTCGATATTTATAAACATTGTTGAGAAAATACGATTCGCAGAATGTCAAAAATGAGAAATATTACTTACTCAACATCATTATAACCGCGATTTTATCATAAAATGTATACTTTTAATCTCTTAGAGGATGTAAAAAGAGTTTAAAACCGGATCCGAGAAAATACACGAGGAAGTAGAAGCGATGTCGACATTTATTTAACACATAATTATTGAGAAAATACGATTCGCAGAATGTCAAAAATGAGAAATTACTTGCTCAACATCATTATAAACATGATTTTATCATAAATACTATATTTTTAACACTTAAAAGATGTAAAAAAGAATTTAAAACAGGAGCCGAACAAAACACTACACAATGCACAGTGGAAAAATCCAATATGGCTACTTTTCGGCAGTAACAATATTGTCCGCTAGGCGCAGATTGGCGCTGTTCAAGCTTTTTTAGCGCCAAAAAATATACATAAGAAATAATTAAATATAAAAATAAAAAATTTAATTAACTTGAAACCGATAATATATATACGTATAGCTTTTGTTGTCAATAATAATTGATTCTGATAATCCGAACAAAATATTAATGAATATTGCGAATATATAATTATTACTGCGATTTGTAAATTCAAGGTCTTCAACCTCAAAAAAGTCTGTTAAACTGATGACAGAGAGCTATTTTTCTAATTAATTTAATGTTATAATATATAATAATTAAATAGATTTATCCATCTCTTCTCTATCGCGATTATCAAAGTATCACTTTTTCAGGAAACTTTATTTAATAAATTAAATTTATATTAATAAAATAAATAAAGTAGACGAAAAATTCAAATCTGGGTGTATATACCGCAAATTGCTTGAAATTGACGGAAACCACGTGATATGCGAAAAAAGAACGGTATGCGCATGCGCAAATGCTATAACAAAATGGCTGCCAGGCTTCTGTGTGTGAGGACGTGCTATCCAATTGCTAATCAATATTTCTTCAAATATAGTGATTTATTATCATTTCCAACAATAAATTCTATTTAAACAGGGTGAGTATTAATTCAGAATTACAAATTTGTGTTTAAAGTAAATGGACTTTCTTAATTATACTTGATATTTTAACTTTTCTTGACTCCGCATCACGTGAATGTAACAATATATTTTTTCGACTTCCGGTTTGTATCAGTGGAATAATAATAATTAGTTTCACAAATCTAATAGTATTGTTTTAACAAGTGCTTAACTGTTATTAGTATTGTCGAATATTCCCAATTTCTTTTGAAAATAACGAAAATGGTAATTTTATATATATAGGTATATACGACAAGGCTTTGTCTATAGAGTACTTGAAAAACAGCAAAGACATGTATATAACACCAAAGGTGTAATATACCTACAAAATCGTATAAATATAATTTTATTTAATCGCAAATTAGTTCTGAGAAGACTAAATTAGAATTATAAATAAATATATATAATTAAAAAAAAATTGATAATTGGTCTTTTAACCAATAGTTCCACCTAGTGGCGCTACTGCGAACTTATTACGAACAAAAATTGAGTTTTGTTGAAAAAGTTTATGTTTTCTTAAAATCATCTGATGACTTCTATTCTTAATAATTTAGTTTAAACGTAAATTCAGTTTTAAAAGTTCGTAATTTCTGAATAATATTGAATTATACCAATAGTATAATCGTTATTGAGTAAAATTAGTGTTCTTTGCAGTGACAAACGTTCCGCAACAAAATATTTCAGATTGTTATTTTTTAAAGTAAATATATAACACGTTTAGCAGTATTTGTGTATATAACATACAATAATATCTTAATCAATTTTTTGCTTTTATTCTACGCTTTGCTAAAAGAAATAAAATATACACGGCGCTAAGGGTAATTTTATAAATAATGTTTATAGGTTATGTTGATTAAAATATTCACTGTGAAAAATATTTTGCCCAATTCACAGCTGTGAATTGTAAATTTACAGAAAATAATATACATTTTTAAATGTTGAGAATTTACACAATTTTCTGTAAATTTAATACTTTGAAAGTATCAATTTTCCAATTTTTTTTTGTTTTACCACCTTTAAATAAAAGTATATAAATATTTATTTAAAAAATAGTTCTTCGACAGTGTTGACTTATTTTTAAACTGGTACATAATAAATTATTAAATATTGCATATTTTTAAAGAAAATATGATCAATTGATAATTAAATATGGCGTATAGTCAAAGTGATTTAAATTTGTTTTTATAATTATATTATTCACGTATTAATTTTAAATAAACATTTAATTTATTGATTTTTATAATTTTTTTTTTCAAGTAATATTGAAGAGGTTTATTAATTCAAGAACGTTAAAATTATTAAATGTATATAATTTAAATAAAAAATATTTAGTTTCATGAAAATTAATCAAAATGTTATTTTTATTCTAAAATTTCTATTTGACTCAGTTGCAGTTCTCTGTCATCACTAACTGTACAACCAGGGTTGGAGAGTCGCACGTAGAAAAGTCGAAGCTAAAAGCCAGAAGCAAAACGAGAAGGAGAAGATGATTAACGTAGATCTAATGACGGGAATCCCCTTGATGCTCCATGAGTATAGTCAGCTATGGTTCAATGCTAGTCTTCAAGGTTCAATGTATGGTTCAATGTGAGTCGGTATTTAAAAGTACTTCTGCATCTGGTTTTTATTGTTGCAGGATGAATGGTCCGAACCAACAATGAAGTCAGTTTGCAATTTTTACAGACAACATAGAGCCGTTGGTTAAAATTTGTAATAAATATTTACTAAATTTTCTCCAACGTGTAGACATTTATTTTTTACATGTTTTCATTAGATCAGGTTGTAGGTTTTTCTTGGATTTTTTTTCAAATAAGCAAACATATTTTGAATTAATTAAAACAATTAATTTTTAATTAATTTCAATAATTATTGATCATAGATTGCAAATATAAAGTATAAGAATTTCTTGTTCTTTAAATTTGCTTCTAATTAATATTTAATGGAATTTTTTTGAAAATAATTAATTAAACCAAGAAAAGATTTAATAGGAACGGAAAAGTTGAAATTGAAAAAATTGTTTGGTTCCTAAATAACTGAAGAATTTTTTCAATTTTTGTATGAAAGGAAATTTCGCGTTTTGTAGAATTTATTAATTAGTATTTTCCGATTTTTTCCTTTCATGCAATGAACATCCGATTGAATGCTTTGTTTTAATTATTAATTATAATAATTAAAATTTTAACATAATCAAAAATTTAAATAATAGTGCATGATATAATTTGTAATTTTTTCAAAATTTGAATTGCATGGTGAATTTTTATAAATATTCAAATTTGAATTATAATTTTTAAAAAGTATCTATTAAAGATTAAATTAAATTTTGTTTTTGAATTTTGAATTAAATGTAAAATTTACAAGATGTCGAATGCATGAATAATAATTTAGAATAGGATCTTTTTCAGGTAAAAATAAAATTGGTGAGTGTAAATTAACAGAGTGTTGAAATTAACGCTTTTAATTTGCTTGGCATTCTGTGTGGTTTAGCTTGTGTGTATGTGTGCGTGTAAAAGAAACAAATTTCTTTAAAAGCATTACCCAGCAGGGGATGCTCCATAAGTGCTAATAGGTTTTTACCTGGCAAAATAAGGGCAGAGGGGGTACCAGTAATGAGTGTGATATTTTGAATTTTTATTTTTAAATATAGCTAGGGAGGCAGGTAACTTACTTATTCTGGAATGAATGTTTAATTTTAAGTAGGTAGTTACTTTGGTAAAATATTAATTTCGCGCGGGTTTTAGAAAATAATTAATATTTTACCATTGAAAAAATTGTTATTTTTATCGAGAGAATATTTGAACCTTTTTTGTTCATATTCACTTGATATTAATATCAATTAGCATTAATTAAAAATAAGTGATTAGTTTCGTTACCGAATAATAAAAACTCCAGATATTGCGAAAATGATAGGTGGATATAGGTTGATAGGAATCTGGAGTCGCGATTCGCGTGTTAGGTTGGTGGATTAATTAATATTAATCCACCTAAGAAGAAAGAGGATAATTTTTCATTTATATTCTATATTATTCTATGTTGTCTGTACATTTTAATTTTATGATTTATACTTGATTTTCGTTTGATGTGTCCATGTGCTTTTTTTTCAGTATTAAAAATTTTTTCCAGGTTTTTTTTAGTTTATTTTATTGTCTTTTTATGTTTTAATACTAATTTTTTAAATCCATTACAGAGTAAACAATATATATTTTTTAAGGTAATTTCAATTTAATACTTATTATTAGTTTCAAAAATTCTTTCACCTTAAATTAAAAATTTATATTACATTTTAGATTTCCCGCTTGTTCACGATGCCACATTTCTAGAGACTTTCATGATACTAAAAATAATTCTAGATATGGAGAGAAATATCTAGGGAATAATAAACAGATGACAAAAATAATAAAAGAGTAGACAGATACAAAAAAATAGAGTTATTTATTATAAAATAGTATTAATCGTCAAGTTGATTTATTATATAAATATTATGTGGCATAAGAAATAAGAATTTCTGATCAATTGTTGCACGCAGTGAGTATTCTTCATTCAATATATTATTGTTTATCAAAATAACAAATACAAATTGACAATTAGAATTATTTTTTTATAAAGTTATTTTTAATTTTGTTTATTAATTGATAAAGAATTATTTGTTTACTAAATAGTTATATTAAAGTTAATTTTATTCTTATTAAATGCGTCATTACGTGAAATGTTTACATTTTTCTAACCTCACTTTTTTTTTATTTCTCCTCGACTTGTTTATCGAGTGATATTTGATTAAAATTAAAAAAGAGAATGCATTTATTAATTTATAGTTTAACTAGCTTTTTTCTGTTTCAGAATCGTACATACATAAATAGATATTTATTTAAAAAAAAAATAAATAATGGCAGATAATTTGGTAAAATTTTCAAAATTGAGATCTGCAACAGAAACCAGTTTTTGGGCAAAATTTTCCGAATTGAAAATTGATAAATTCAAATTGGATGATAAAATTAATATACCTCTATGGGGGAGCTATAATTTAGATGATAGTAGATCAACTCCATTGTTTTTAGATTATACATCCTTCAACAAGTAAGAATATTTTTTTTTTTGTTCTTTACAATTATTGTAATTAAAAAAAATATTTACATTTTTTTTGGTATTTTTAGAAATTTAGAAACCACATTACATAACAATGAGGTCGCTTGCTATGGATTCATGATGAATACAAATACTCTTGAATTGTTCAAACAAACACAACCTGAACAATTTATTAATTCATTTGCAAAGCATTTAGTTGAATCAATTAAAAGTGGTACTGCTCTTCAAGAGCCATGGAGACTCTCATTATTTATAATGCTCTCCTACTCTGATTTGAAAAAATACAAATTTTTTTACTGGGTTGCACATCCAACTCCATATAATTTACCTGAAACTTTTTACCAAAAGAATCCAATGCCAATATGTGATGAATTCAATTCTAATCAAATTATTGACTTACAAAAAAGTTTTTATGAACTAGATAGTAAATCGAAATCATTTTTCACTGTTTTTATATCGAAAGAAGAAAATAGCGTTAAAGTTAGAACATTAGCTGAAGGAGTAGAATATATAAAAAATAATCCAATTTCCGTAAGTTGATTTACAAAAATTGTTAATTTTATATTTATAGGAAATTATTAATCGTAATGCTTTTATACAATTATATTTTATTTACAGGATTCACAGTCACAGAATGAAGTTAATGTTTATTTTGCATTTTACGATCCATCGGGAAATTCGACAATTACACCCGGTTGGCCTCTTCGAAATTTATTGTGTCTACTTTTTTGGCATTGTCCAAATTTCAGTTTTAATGAAACAATGAATTTCCTCGCAATAAGAGGAAAAGATATCAATAAAGCAATGATTTATTCTATAAAATCAAAAGAATATACAGATATTGAAAATATGAGAAATGAAATTTTAAAAGAACATTTTGTCGGTTGGGAATCGAATTCAAGTGGAAAAATGGGTCCCAATATCACAGACTTATCTGATACTATGGATCCTGTTAAGTATGTTTCTTTTAAAATAATTATTAGAAACTAAATTGAAATTTACTAATAATTTCCATTTTTTTAGATTATCAAGTAGAGCAGTTAATTTAAATCTTAAATTAATTAAATGGCGTCTTGTTCCTGAATTGGATCTTGAAAAAATTAGTCAACTTCGATGTCTTTTATTAGGTGCTGGAACTTTAGGTTGTTCCGTTGCACGAGTCCTACTTGGTTGGGGCGTTAATACAATAACTTTTGTTGATAATTCCGTCGTATCGCATAGCAATACTGTACGCCAAAGTCTTTATACTCACGAAGATGCTGTTAAACGTCGTAATAAAGCTGAAGCAGCTAAAGAGGCTCTACATAGAATTCATCCTAGTTTGGTGAGAAATTTTTTTTTTTACAATGAATGTAATTTTTACTATAAAATTTCGATTTTAGCGAATTTTAAAAATATTGATTATTATTTTTCAGAATGCTGAGGGTGTAGTTTTACAAATTCCAATGCCAGGACATGTTGTTGGAAAAAGTATGTTGGAATCGACAGAGCAGGCTTTTAAAAAATTGGAAGAATTATATGAAAATCACGATGTTGTTTTTCTTCTTTTGGATTCTAGAGAGGCAAGATGGTTGCCCACTGTTTTATGTGCTGCAATGAATAAAATTGTTATTAACGCCGCTCTTGGTTTTGATTCGTATACAGTACAACGTCATGGTACTCGCAATTCACAAGAAGCTTCGACTCCCGATTTATTGGTACAAAATCCATCTGGCAAAGATCTTGGCTGCTATTTTTGCAACGATATAACACAACCTGGAAATGTAAGTCTTCAAATTATTAGAAAAAATTACTTTTTAAATACCTTTTTGAATTCTTGTGATTTTTGAAAAAATGTAAAAAAAATTTCAGTCTCAGGTGGATAGAACTTTAGATCAACAATGTACAGTGAGTCGACCGGGTTTATCAAACATTGCCTCTGGTTTGGCTGTTGAACTTTTAGTGGCATTAACTCAACATCCTGATGAGTAATTAATCTTACTTCAAAATTAATTAATTTTTTTTAAATTGAAATGATATATTTTTTTGATTAATTTTTCTTTTTAGAAATGATGCAGTTGCCATGTTGGATGACAGTAAAGATCAAGCACGCATTAATAAAAATAATTCTAGTATTGGACTATTAGGAGGAATTCCACACACAATTCGTGGTTCTTTATGGGGTCATGAAATGAGATTAACGATCACTCATAGATTTCCTTCTTGTACCGCTTGCTCTTATCCTATTATTAATGAGTACAAAAAAAGAAGATTTTCATTTGTTCTTGACGCTTGCAATCAACCAAATTATTTAGAGCAATTAACTGGTTTAGAAGAATTGCTCAAAAGTACTGATTTTGATGAGGTTTGTTTTTAATTGTTTCTAAATTTTTTTTTATTAACTATTATATTAATTGAATCGTTTTTAATAATAATATATATTTTTCAGTTTTGTTACGCTCTTGATACATCAAGTGACGAGGAAAAAGATTCGTGAAAAACAAATTTTTTAGAAAATGAAAACTTAGAATTCTTGTAAGTTTCATAAGTTATTTTTTTATTTTTAATTATTTTTCTAAGTGTGTTTTAAAAATTGTCAAAGGGTCGAACAGTATTGAACAGTAATCCAGTTATAGGAAAAATCTTTTTATATTTTATTCTACGTGCAGTTTTAATAGTGATTGTAATTTTTTTAAATTTATTAGTGTTTATAAATTAGTTGCGTGGTACTTTTTGAAAACATAGAAATTCGAAATAATGGAGTAAATCAACTTTTCCAGTTTTTAAATTGAAAAATATAAAAATATGAATTTGCGGTTTATATATTTGAAAATTTAAGAAAAAAGTATTGGCAAATTTTGCTCTTTAAGGGGAATGTTTATTATTAATATATAAAAAAAATGTGACAACGTAATTGTTCGTAATTGTTTTTTTATTCGATTTAAAACAAAGTTTATAAAATATATAGGTTAATAACCTCATAAAGTATAATACTAATATTATACTATAATTTTTAATAGTAATTATAATAGTAATAATGTATTTTGTAATGCAAAATTTTAATAGAATTCTAAAATAGTCTTATCTCAAAAATTTTTTAAAAATAATCTATTGTCTTATTTCTAGTGGAATTTTTATAATGGGCATTGTTTCATTCGAATCATAAAAGTAGTAAATGATTCTTAAGTTAGGAAATATTTTATAAATGCTTTTTTATCTAAAACAAAATTTTTCAATTTTGAGCTCAATTTTTACTACCTGAAATTATTCATTTTAGAGATTTTATGTTAAATCAACGATAAAGAAAGTTTATATTTAACATATGAATAAAACTAAAATTTCAAACATTAATTAATATTTACTTTATTAAAATATTAGTAATTAGCAATTTGAGTCTTTTGAATTTTATTGGTTATAAAGACTTAAAATGCTAATTATAGTTTTTTATTATTTAGCTGATGAATAATTAAAAATGTAATTTTAATTTATCATTAGCAGTGTTTTAATCTCGTTGATAATTTTTGTTCGACCCTTGTATAATTTTTTTTTTTGCACTTACATTGATTTTAATTTATTTTTTATTTATGTTTGTTTTTTGTTTATTTATTTAAACAAATGTGAAATTAACTTAAAGTTGATGGAGAAAAATTCTTAAGATTTGTTTATTGTGTTTTTGCTTATAATAATGGTTTTTTTTTAAAAATAGGTACAACATATTATGAAATGTCAATAATCTGTGGAATGATTTTTTGAATTTAAGGAATTTTGTTTATTCGAAAAAGTTTGAAAATTCCTAGATGATCCTTGTGGGATGCTGTGTAATATAAACAGCAGTGATCTTTTGAAATCATTTTGGAACATTTCAATGTTATTCTTTCCTTCTCTTTTTTTTGAGATTTTGACCATATTTATAATGCGACTGGTGTGTGCGGCAATTGGCAATTTTGCCTGTAGAGCGCGTCGAGACAGCCAAATGCCAAACATTCCAATGTAAAACGTACATGGCTAAAGTGGTGGGGAACTTACTACCTCTTCGTGTCAAACAGGCCGTGCTCGTGCTCGTGTGTTCACCCGCATATCATTTAGATTTTTCATCATTTTCAATGAAAATACGCGTTATTAACGGGCTTGATGTGCCGGGTAATATTGTGCTAAACAAATAAATTAACAATTGTACAAGTGCCAATCACTAAAAACAGGTAAGTTGTCATTGTTAAAAAAAATATATATATATATATCATTTATATTCCCGTGGAATGCATGTCTTGCTCCTTTTTTTCACGCTACGCCGCATTCCTATTGATTCGTACGGACAACCGACATAATAAAACCAGGATGCCTCCTTCGAATTTTGCCCCCTTTTGAAACAAAGAAATTCTCCTTTAATTTTTCTTGAAAAACATTTTTAAATTATAAAAAAAAAAATTTGTTTTTAATCATTATAAATAATAAAAAATTTTAACTATCACAAAAAAAATATATATTTATTTGTAATATTGATTTGTTTTTTTTTTAATGTTTTTTTAATTCTCACGCTTTTTTTTTAATAATCAAATCAGGAAATGAAACGATTGTTTTCAATTTTAAATTGTTCTTGTAAGTAGCCTCAATTTGCGCGCGAATATTTCTTGAATGTTTATTCTCAGAAAGTTTTGTGAATTGTTTATTTTTTGTTTGTGACATTGATGGAAGATATTTAAAAATATTTAATTTCTTTTTTTTAATTATTTTTTGTCATATTTGTATAGAATGTTAAAATATTGAAAAATGGGTAAAAAGAATTAAAAATTTTTTTTTTAAATTATTTTTCGTATTAATTATTTATGTTTTGTTTGAGATATATATTTTGCAATTTTGAAAAGTATGTAAATGCCAAGTAAAATGTTATTTTCGAATTAGTCGTCAAGATATAGAGATTTTTGCGAAGTATTCAGTAGTGGAGCAATTATTTTCAGTGCCCGATGTTTTTATTTCTATATTATTATGAAAGAAAATGATTATTAAGTTTTAATAAAGTATTTTATGATTTAGGAAAAAAGCGAAAATTTAAAACTTTTTTTAGTCATTTTCTTTAAATCGTTAAAAATTTTGTAATTATTTTCTTTCATCAAACATTGTACTTGGAGGAAAATGTGTTTTTTAAACTAGATTTATTATTGATTTTTTTTTTAACAAATAAGAATTTTTAAAAATAATAACAAAAATTCCAAATTTATTTTCTCTTTCACTTTCTTTTTTAAATTTTCGTTTTCATTCATGACTGAGTCAACTTTCTTTGCATGCAAGGATACGCATCGAATGACCAGAAAATTGTGATTGTACTTTGATTTAGACTATTTTTCGATTTTCTTAAAATTTAGAAGAAAAAAAAATTGATAGTTTAGATAAAAATAGAAAAATAAAATTAAAAGATTTATGTTTATTTTATAAGATATAAAATTTTGCATTTTTTTCTCCAAGGACAATGAAGAAAGTGGCAATGTAGGTTTGAAGGATAATTTTTTTCAATTTTTTTTTTTTATTATTTAAAGGCCTCGTATTATAATATTAAACGATGTAAAAACTGAATTGATGAATTCTGAGTATTTTAAATAAATATAGATAAATAAAAAATTTATTTGACTTATCTGGTATTATGAATTCAATTAAATTATTATTATTCAATGATTGAAATGCCTTTGACGATATAGAGAAATATTTTTTAAAGTATTTATAGTTTTTTTAATACTTGGATGCGGGTTCATTTAATACTATATAGGGGTGGGTTCTATTTTTAGTCATCGAACAAGGGAATAGGATATAGAGAGAGCTAAGTTATTTCCCTTTTAGAAATGAAAAAAAGATCAATTTTGACAATTTATTTTTTATATATTACAATTTATTTTCTTTAAAATTTTTTTTTTTTTGTAAATTGATTGATTTTTTTGAAATTAGAAAAATTTTGTTTACATTTTTTTTACCTGGCATAAGACGTACAATTTTTGTATTATTTAAATTTAAAATAACCATTGTTTGAAGTGAAATTAATTAAACACTTTGTTTACGCTAAAGACGTACATTTTTACGTGTAGATTTGAAATTAAAATAATAATGAAAACAAAAAATTTAAATTTAAAATTACATTATTTTTTTTTCATTTATAAATAATTATGTGTTTTGCGCTTTTGTATTTCTATATTATTCTGATGCAAGAATTATCTTGGGAAAGAATGTAATTTAAATGTCATAAATAAAATAAAATAAAAAAATAAACAAACCACTGACAATAAAGAACAATTGAATTTTGTACAAAAATTCCTCGTGAAAATACCATTATTTTAATTATATATTTTATATTTTGAATAATTAATTCTTTTTTGCGTTCTTTATATCGCAAAATCATTTATTTATTAAATCGAAAAATTAACATCGTTAATTTCTATTATTATTAATAATAAAAAAATAAAAATATTATTTGCAATAATTCACTCCAATGTAGAGTAAATTTTTAGTTCCATTTTAAGTGAAATTTCATTCCATGAAGTGAAATCTTACTCTACTTTCGGGAGTCAGATTCCAAAGATTTTCGGAGCTTAAATTTCAATATGAATATAGATTAAAATATTTATTTTTTTTTGGATATGTTGTCAAATTAATTCAAAATTTATATGGAATTTCATTTTTTAAAGATTCTAATTTCACTTTTAAAAATGTCATATATTTTTAGTTGTAGAAAAAAAAAAATTTTTGGTAACATAAATTAAAAACAAAAAATCAATTTGTTAAAAAAAAATTTTTTTTGGTTAAATTTTTGTAGTTGAAAAATTGAATTGCAATTGGCTCGCGATAGGCTCGCGACGACTGATTATTATGATGAAATTGTGATGTTTGAGAGAGCGCGAGCGCGAATAAGTGGGAGTTAAAAAGAGACTTGAAAGAAAGAGAGTAGGAGTAGGGCCCCGCGTGGTTTCTAAAGGGGGTGAAGGAGAGTCTCGCGGGGGACCCCCGGATGATGGAGGTGGGAGGGAAGGTGGCTCCTGGTAAGGGGTCCGCATTCCACAGACAATGTCACGTTTTTTAATCCTCGTTTTACTTTTATTTGCGCTGCTTGGGCCTCTCTTCCCAAGAGCGGCCCAAACAGTTTCAAGATCGACTTTTATTTATATATATGTATATATATATATATATATATATGTTTTGCCTCACTGGTTTATGTGTAGTAATATTTTTTTTTCCCCCCTTGGTTATGTCTACAATATAGAAACGAACGGATAATAGAAGAGGAAGAAGAGGAGGAGGAGGAGGATCGACGCATTGACACTCTCGGAGAGCGAAACGATATAGACGATCCAAACGTTGAGTGCCTGTTTATTTGTAAATACACACGTGCTGCAACTGCACAAGTGTATCGAGTGCAATTCTCACTTCTGGAGCTGTAGTCGTACACAAGGAAAAAGAAAGCTTTATATATCCAGAGAGAATTGTATAGGATGTCGGCTGTTGAGAGTGCCTTGGAAGTCCTCTCCAGGGCTGCAACAATGGTGCAAGGTCAGTATCATAAATTAAAATATCCTTAATAATAATTTTTTTTATTCCTATAATTCTTCGATTTTTTTTTTTATTATTAAAAATTATTAAAGAAGAAAAATTATAAGGAAAATATATTTCCGAGATTCGCAATTTAATTTATTCAGCCTTGAAGAAAATGATTATTAGTTATTTCGCAGTTGTGCTCCAGAATTCAAAATAGTTTTTCATTTAAAAAATAAATCCTGGAAAAAAAAGAAATATTCAATGGAATCTGATTTCAAATTTAAATTATATATTTATTTCGAACCCGCATTCCATTAGATGTCTGAAGGCCCGATAGGAATTTCTTTTGTATCAACGAAATTTCTTTCTATATTCAATATCGACTCATTCCTTCTTCCTTAAAAAAAAATGTATTTTTTCGCCTGACTATATCATTCTGGAATTTGAATTTGAATTCAATTTCGTTGTTTTTAACTAAATGAGGTTTAAAGAGAGAAAAAGAAAGAGTTGCGCTGACGTGTGAAAGACACGGAAATTAATGGGATCAAGGACTTTGGGGAAAAATGCTTCCGTAATGATATGATCTAACAGATAATATAGAATTTAAAAAAAAAAAAAAAAACCGGAGCTAGCTAATAGAATAATTATTTATTCTTGAATTGATAAATACCTAAATGAGTATATGAAAACAAAAATTTATTTGATTCAAATAATTGGTTACATTACTATTATCAAATGAATATTTACTTGAACCAAATTATTTTTTAATTAAATTAATTGTATTTGTACCAAATAATTTTAAATTCAATGAATTTTAATTGTAGACTTAATAACTTTGCAAAAAAATATATATATTGAACCAAATAATTTTTACTTGAATTAAATAAATTGTGATTGAACCAAATAATTTTTAGATTTAATTTTGCAAAAAAAAAAATAAATAAATAAATATTGAACCAAATAATTGTTACTTTCGAATTTAATAAATTGTATTTGTAGACTTAATAATTTTGCAAATAAAAAAATAAATATTGAACTAAATAATTTTTATTTGAATTAAATAAATTGTAATTGAACTAAATAATTTTTATTTGAGTTAAATTGTACTTGAACCAAATAATTTTTGAATTAAATAAATTATATTTAAGCCAATAATTTCTGTATTTAAAACAAATACCATTTAATTGAATCAAATAAAAATTATTTGGTTCAAGTAAATATTTATTTGATAATAGTCAAGTAACCGATTTTTTGTAATAAATTTTTTTTTTCAGTGTATATCGTCAATTCAATGAATAAATTTTAATATTGGTATCAATAATTAATCAATATTCATCAAATATTTTTTTAGTCATTTTTTCCTTTTTTTGACGAATTAAAAAAAAATTCCATTAATTATTAAATAATTTGATTTTAAACATTCGACTAAACTAATGAAGTTATTTGATTTTTTTTAGGTAGAATATCTTCATATAGAGAATAAAATTTGTTCGTTATCGAATTTATTTTTCTGAAATAAAAAATTAGTTCAGGGGTCAGTTGGAAGATTTCGGCGTGAACATCAATTTCACAGATTCCCATCAGATTTATATTTATAATATTATAAAAGAATTGCCACCGCGCACTATTCGATTATAAGGTTTTGTGAACGGCTTGAAAATTCTTTTCGAATCTCTCCAACTCCTCCAACTTTCTGTTAACGCCCAGAGAGAGAATAACTTGCCGATAAAGGTATGCGCCCATTACATAAGCTATATATATATATATTCACTTAGTGTTTTGTAATTCCTCTTTGAAATTCGTCGACTCATGGAAAAGCGAAACGCTCCTGAACATTCCAAAAGTACCTGGCCAAGGTCCTCTTCATTGGCACTTTACTTGACTTAGATTCCATTCGAAAGAGAAAGAACAAAAAGGAATTTCTTGCTGGTATATCTATTCTTTTTTGAAAGATTTCATTTTTCACAAGTTTTGATATTTTTACCAATTATATTGAGGAATTTAATAAATAACAAGTTGCCAAGAAGTTTACTTTAACTGATAAGTTATGGCTGAAAATATTTGTATTGAATGGAGATTTTTTTTTTTTAGAGTTGCGTTTAATGTAATAGTTTGGATTTTTGCGATATTCCGACAATATATATGGACTTCACGTACCGATTAGATAACGTCGAGAATTTGAGTCAGATTATTTGAGAATTCATATAATATATATATTTTTATATCAAAAGAATTGAAAAATTATTTATTAGGTTTTATTTTCGCGTCATCTCTATATTGTATATGAATTGTGCAATGAATCACTTATAATTGTTTACACAATCTTATAATTCAATATCAATTTTTAGTGTTCATTGTTAGTCATCAATTTATTATTATTTTATGAATTCTATAATTATTTCAAGAATTTTTTTTATTTTTATTATTATTTTGTTTTGTAGAAAATAGATTATATTTTTTTCTTGCAATTCCATGTAGGTCTTTACATTGATTATCGAATCCTTATATAAAATCGATTACATTATTATTATCATTAATTTTGATTCTATCTGAAAAATTATTTAGAATTTCAATGAAATAATTCAGAAGAAAAATTCTCCAAAATTGTTTAATTCTTGGATTGAAAAGATTTTTGAGAATTTTTCATTTTTTTCGGAGCAATATAAAGAGTTAAAAAAAAATACAATATCAAGTGATATAAATCGGTGGATTACAGTTTCGTTTGTTGTCCTTTGTCGAGAGAGAAAGGAGAAGATATAAATAAAGATCAGAATACACTAGAGGAATTTCGAAAACGCACCGCGTCTCATTATCGCGCGCGAGAAATATTTTGCATTCCTATTCCAAAACGACTATTTCCAGCTTCTGCTGTATGTATGTGTGTGTGATGGACATGGAGTAAAATGTAATTACTTTTTTGATATAAATTAAAAATGACTAAGTGTCGATTACATTTTACGATAAATAAAATTTATTTACCCTTTAGAAAGAAGGGGGTCTTTTTTTAAAATTAAATTATACTATGCGCGTGTTTTTAGAGAAATTAAATGTTTTTTTTAATCAATTTTGATACAGATAATATTTTTAATCTGATTGAGCACATCAATATTTTGTCTATACATCAAAATTTTCTTTATAGAATTTTATCAGATATTTCAAAACAGCAGGAAATTCCTTAAATTTCAAAATAATTATTTTATAATTTTTTTTTGGTTCCGAGATTATTTACAAAAAATTAGATCATAGTTAAAAAAAATTATTTTCTTTTAAATATATTTTTTTTTAGATTCAAAACCAAAATTCCTTTTTTGGGAAAATTATTTTATTGATAAATAGAAATTCTAATTTGATTATTTGTTTCTTATTATTTTCTTTATTTTCCGCTTTTATTGAGAAATTATCTTTATTATCTCTCACATGGAGTATTTTTTTATGGGTTGAAAAATTCAAAAATGTGAGGAATTTCGTCTCTCTCTCTCTCTCCTCGTGAAAGGAAACATAATCCTTATCAGTATGTTTACAATGTGATGTGTAATTCTTTGTTTTTGACATTTTATATATAAATTATGTAAATTTATGTATTACACAAAATACCATTTACTATATTTTGCCATTATGAAAAAAAAATAAATATAAATAAAAAAAAATAACAATTTAGAGATAGATAAAATATCTTGGCAATTGGAAAGACCCTGGCAATTGTTATCATCACGTTATATCGTTTAGTTTGCGAACACTAACTAGGATCTTCCTAAGTCATTTAATCGTCTAGCTAGACACGTATCAAATAAATAGAACATTACAATGGCATCTTTTACTCGACATCATTTGTGATTGTGCTTTGTTCGTGTGGTTTGTTAAAGTGATGGCATGTCGAGGGTCGAACCTGTTCTGAATACCGCGAACAGTTCGACCTCGAATCAACTCGCGGCGCTGTCTACTATCATATTTGTTACAAAGTATATATATATATATATATCTATGTGATTACAAAAGAAAAAAAAATATATACTTGAAATGCCTCTTGCGGCATTCTTTTATAGTTTCGAAGACAAAAGAATCCTTTTGAGTTTTACCGCCAAAGAAATGATTTTTCCCAATCGGTATAAGGTTGTCGGTAATAGAGGTTCCACTTTTTAAATTGTTTTAAAAAAAAACTAATTTTTCCATTTCTTCTGAAATTGGGGTTTTTGGAATTCCTCGTTTTGAAATTTTCATTTTTCATTTATTAATATTTTTTTTTTTTTTTTTTTTTTGTGGTAGAATTTTATTTTATCGACTTCATGTATCAATGAATGATGATACAGGTTCCTTGATAATTGTAGGTAAATTAGAAACTAAATAAATAATATTTAAAAATTTGTTGATTTTTTTAGGTTTTATAATAAAGTTAAAAATCTCAATTTTTTACAACTTTTCCATATTTGATAAATTGAAAATTTATTTCATATCATATAATAAATATTTTATTAATGTAATTTATTTAATTATTATTTTTTGTTTACTGGCAAATATATTTTAACTATATTTATTACACAGGAAAAAAAAATTTGATTCAAATAATCGATTACATATTACTATTATAAAAAAAAATATTTTCTTGAACCAAATAATTTTTGAATTCATAATAAATAGTATTTTTACCAAGAAAGTTTTATTCGAATTAATTAAATTGTATTTGTACCAAACAATTTTTATTTGAATAATTTAAATTGTACTTGAACCAAATAATTTTTTAATTAAATTTTATTTGTACAAAATAATTTTTGAATTCAATAAATATAGTATTTGTACCAAGTAATTTTTATTTGAATTAATTAAATTGTATTTGTACCAAACAATTTTTATTTGAATAAATTAAATTGTATTCGAACCAAATAATTTTTATTAGAAATAATTAAATTGTATTTGAACCAAATAATTTTTATTTGATTCAATTAAATTGTATGTAAACCAAACAATTTTTATTTAAATTAAATTAATTCTATTTGAAACAAATATGTACCATTTAGTTG